GAAGGTATAGTAATTTATTATATAAAGGCTAACCTATTATTAAATAATTATTATAATTAAAAATCTATTTTCTATATTACCTATCTCTTCTATTACCTAATTATTCTAAGACTAGCCTAGCTTATTATATATAATCTAAAAATATATTTCTTTAATTAAATAGCTATATTTAATAGCTAATACTACTATAAATACTATAATATACCTCTTAAGCTTATAAGAGTAAGAGCCTTAATAAATATTCTCTAGAAAGATTAACCTAAGTAACTAAATTAATAAAAAGAACTACTAAAATTAAAATCCCCTATATCTATAGAAATATACTAAATATTATTAAAAGTACTAATTATATATACCTACTATCTAGTATAGAAACTATATTAAACCTTATTAGATAAAATTAATAAAGAACTAAAGTATAGAAATACTAGTTCTAAATTACTACTTATATTTTTCCTAAAATTATAAGATTTCTAAGATATATTTAATTCTTAAGAAGTAAAGAAGCTACTATTATACTAATTATATAACTATAATATTAAGATTTAAGAAGGAAAATAGCCTCTATTTAGTAAATTATATTTAATATTATAAATATAATTAATTATTCTAAAAAAATAACTAGAAGAGAATCTAAAAAAAGATTTTATATATTTTAGTTTATTTCTAGCTATTTTTCCTATCTTATTTATTAATAAGCCTGGAAGTAGCCTTTACCTATATATAGATTATTAAGGACTAAATATTATATTAGTTAAGGATTATTACTTATTATCCTTAATTAAAAAAATCTTAAATAACCTGCAGGAAATATAATACTTCTCTAAGATTAATCTAGTAGCTATTTTTAATAATATCTATATTAAGAAAGAGTTAGAATACCTAATTACTTTCTAAATCTATTTTAGACTATATAAGTCTCTAGTTATATTATTTAGCCTAACTAGTACCCTAGCTACCTTCTAATATTTTATAAATAATATCCTATAATAATATATAGATATATTTTATAATATATTTTTAGATAATATCCTAATCTATAGCTATATAAAAAAAAAATATACTAAATATCTAAAATAAATATTATAAATTCTAAGAGATAATAACCTATATATAAAGATATCTAAATATAAATTCTACTAGCTAGAAGTCAAGTTCCTAAGTATTATTATTAGAAGAGAAGATATTTATATAAACCTTAAGAAGATTAAGACTATAGTAAATTAGAAGCTACTTAAGATAGTTACTAATATTAAGAGTTTTATAAGATTTGCTAGATTTTATTAATACTTTATTAAAGGATTCTTGTAGATTTTTATACTTGTTATTATCTTAGAGAAGAAAAAAATCCTATTCTTATAAATTCTAACTTACTAGACTACTTTTAAAATATTAAAAGTAAAATTTATTAAGAAATTAATATTATAGTTCTTTAATTAAAATTAACTAGTTATTTTAGAAACTAATATCTTAAACTTTATATTTACTAGAGTATTATTATAATATAATAATAATAAAATTCTATACCTAGTAAGATTTTACTTAAAGAAAATAACTCTAATTAAGTATAATTATAAAATATATAATAAGGAGTTACTAGTAATTATCTATTATTTAAAAAAATAGACTCTAGAACTAGAAGAATACTAGTATCTAATTAAGATTATAATTAACTATAGAAATTTAAAATATTTTATAATAATTAAGATACTAAACTAATAACAAGCCTAATAATTTAAATTTCTGTCCTATTTTAACTTTATAATTAATTATTACCTGGGTAAGTATAGGGTAAAACTAGATAACTTAACTAGAAGGTTATAGGATCTTCCTAAGAAGGGGAATAAATACTTACTATACTAGAATTAAATAATACTAAAAAGAGAAAATTTAGTAAGTTTCTTACCTAAATATTTAAAGAAATTATAGAGCTAGTAAATACTATAATTAATCTAGCTCTAAATTACTATTAAAAGGAAGTTAGTATACTTCTAGCTACCTAAGCCTAAAGAAGAAGAGACTATCTAGCTCCCTAAATAACTAAAAGAATATCTAGATAGAGGTTATAAATAAGATCTAGCCTTTAATAATATTCTAGAAAGCCTAGAAAAGAGCTATAATTATTATTTATTAATTATATTATCTAAGTATACTTACTATTCTAGACTCCTATTTTACTATAATTAACTATATATTCCTAATATAAAAGAATTAAAGATAGAACTAATATATAAATATTATAAAAATATAGTTACTAGTTATTAAAGTAAATTAAAGATTTATAAATTATTATTATAATTATATTACTAGCCTAGAATATTATAATTTATAAAGTAATAAATTTATAATTATTATATTTATAAATAATCTATATCTTATTAAGATAAATATTAAAATATATTCTATTTCTTACTTATACTTAAGAGTCCCTAAAAAAATATATCTATTAATTTTATTATATATTTACTCTAAAACTTAGACTTTAATACTATTATAGTAATAATTAATTAATTAATAAAATTTTAATATTATATTTCTTATAATAGTACCTATAATATTAAGAGAGCTATTTATTTATTTTAAAACTATATTTAAAAATTTTATAAATTCCTTAAGTCTATTATATTTAATTAAGAATTCTAATTTATATTAATATTTTAGATATACTTAAATTATACCTTAAAGATAAGATTACTCTTATTTACTACTTATTATTCTAAGATTAATAAGTAAATTAAATATATAAATATTATTTTAGAATAATATTTATAAGTTTATATTAATTACTTATAAGATAATTAGACTAAATAATTACTTATAATAAAATTTACTATTAATAATACTAGTTCTAAGATTACTAGATACTCTCTATTCTTTACTTTATATAGTTTTAACTCTTATATAAGATTTAAACTTATCTTATCTAATTATTATTTATAAACTTATAATACCTATTAATTTGCTCTAATTATAAAGTAGATATAGAAATATTACTATATTACTATAATTACTACTTAAGCCTGCTATAAATACTATACTAACTAGAAATATTATCTTACTAGATATTATATTAAGGGCTAATTAGTCTAGTTAAATATTAAGAATATTATAACTTTATACTTTTAAAAAAAATTAAATTAGAAAAATCTAGGTCTCTTTCTTATTAGGAGGGTTATTAACCCTTATACTTATAAACTAGACCTACTTAAGAGTATAAAAATATATCTAGTATTTTATATTAAATTATTATATTTAACTACTAAAGACTTGCTATCTAGATAAGAGAAAATTAAATCTCTATATATTAAAATTAATAGTATTAAGGAATAAGAAGTTAAGGAAGTAGTTAACTTCTATTAGAACTATTATAGCTAAGGTAGCTATCTATATTTAAAGTATATTATTAAGTAGGTTAGATACCCTATTATTACTAAAGTTCCTACTAGCTACCTAGAGAATACTACTAAATATATTATTACCTATTATTACTACTATTTTAGAAAGCCTGGACCCTAAGAATACTTTACTAGAGCTTAGCTTAAGAGAGGGGATACTATTATAGTATAGCTATATACCTATTTAGTTAGATTCTGCCCTAACTATCTACCTCTACTCCTATATTTAAGCTATATTGCCCCTAATCCTGTTATAGCTCTTCAAGCTACATCCTTGTCCTAACCTAACCCCTACCTATTGTACCTGTACACAGATAGCCTGAATATACATCCTGCTGTTAACTACACCTACTGCCCGCCTGCCCTCTGTGACATTAGGGAGGCTAGGAATTCTTTATAAATAAGGATAGAGTAATACTTATATAATAATAATAGTAATTTTCTAGATTTTATAAGTAATTAATAAAGTTATAGTATTATAATAAAATTTTAAAGTATATTAATATTTCTTAAAATTCTTAATTAATAGCTTATTTTAGAATTATAAATAAAATATTTTTATTTATATTTTTTTTTAATATAAGATATTAAAATTTAGTAAAAAAAATACTAAACTTATAATAAATTTATTAAAGATAAAATAAATTAATATAAGTATTAATTTTTAAATTTAGATTTCTAAAAGTTTTCTCTAAGATTTCTAAAATCTTAATATAATTATTTAATTTATAGATTCTATTTTAAATATATAATAAGATTTAAGTATATAAGATTTTTTTAAAGTAATTAATTATATAAGCTATTTTACTATTTAAGATTAGGAAATAATTAAGATTTATAATTATTTTTTAATAAATTTAAAAAGTAAAGTATCTTAAATTATTTTATTAATTATTAAATTTATTAGGGTTAGGAAGTTATTTAAAGGTTTAGGTAGTAAGAATAAGTATAATAAGAATAATAATAGTAATAAAAAAGATAGTAATATTAGTATTTTTTTTAGAAGAAAATAATAATTAAAAAAATATATTATTTTAAGTAAGTACTTTAAATAGCTCTTATTAAGTTTTTTTAACTTATATCTTCTAGTACTTAATTATATTATCTTTTTATTAAATATAATTAAGAAGGTTAATAATAATAAAATATAAAATAAATAATTTATAAAGTTTTTCTATAATAATAATAGAAAATTAATATATTTTAATAATATATTATCTTAATTTATTAGAGATATTATATAGGAAGGTTTCTATACTTTTAAATAATATAGGTAATAAGGCAGGTATAATAGTAATAATTAACTTCTAGTAAAGAGGAGCTATATAATATTAGGGGGTAGAGTTAGATTTAGATATTTATTAACTAAGAGTTAACTAGATAGAATAGTAGAATAATAGGTACCAGGTAATAAATAGGATATAGCTTGAAGAGCTATAACAAGATTAAGAATAATATAGCTTAAATACAGGGATAAGGGTGGACAGTCAAGGCAGAATCTAACTAGATAGGTACTACGGCTTCGCGCCGTGACATAGTGTAGGCTAACCTCATCATGGGTAGAATCTCTACCCATGCTGAGAGTTAATCCATTCCAGGGTTCTACTCACGCGGAGTTTTTTTCTACCCACGCCGAGCTGTAAGCCCGTGATCACTGACTGTAAGGCTAGTATATTATAATTAATAAGTAAAGGCAGTTAAGGCCCCCCCTATATTAGTACCTACGGCTGTCATCCTAGCGAAGAGACACACAACTATCTCAAGAATTTAACCATCATGTCTTTACCATTGAACTACCCCCTGGATTACCTAATATCCGACATGACTTGATCACTGAGCCTGAGCCCGTGCTGACATTTACTTACTGAGCCTGGGCCTGAGTGCCCTCATAAAAGCAGCGGCAGCCGAGATAGGAAAGCCCCACCCGCCAGACATTATCCGGTCTATATATACGCATATTTCGTTCACCTAAACTTCATACCTCATTACAAACCCGTCCCTTCCTTTCCTCAAAAGACCGCCAATTGATACTCAAATTTCCCTTTTGGAAAATTCACAATGGCTGCCCCCAGACTTATCCACCGCTTAGTGTGGCAATCCACATCCCCAGCTTCCTTCGCGACAAGATTCGCAACTCGTTCATTCGGCAGCTCGGCAGTTCGCTCAAAAGACAACAACCATAATGGCCGAGCTCCGTCTGCATCTCCCGAGATTCTGAACTCGGCTGATCCGAATTACAAGCCCGCATACCCGGGTCGCGTTGAGCATTTCACGGGAGGCAGACAGGAACCTGGAGCGCAGAAACCGGAGCTGGGAGTCGGAGAAATGGAGGGAATTACATTTAAGGTCGAGCCACTTCGACGAAGGGGCGAGGATGCGGTGACCATGCGCGCTCGGTTATTATGTTAGTGATTACGAAGCGTCCCGAAGCGTCCGGCTATACGTTATGTTATATACGCGATAGATGTTATGTGCTTCTTTGGGGTTCATGGTGCTAACCGGTTTGATATAGACCAGAGCCGCAAGCGTGGAATCTTGGAATCTGACCTCCTGCTTTCTACCTTTGCTGACGTCTATCTGGCGGATATGAGCAAGGAGCAGCTGCAGGAGTACGACCTGTTCCTCGATGAAAACGACTGGGATATCTACTACTGGGCTACCCAGGATCCCCCGGAGGAAGGGGACTCTGCGTCTGCAGTTGATAAGGATACTCCCACGGAGACGTGGCAGCGTACGGGGGCTAAGAGCGGGGAGTGGTCACAGACAATTGGTGCCTTCAAGGCTGCGTACCGTCCCGTGCCTTCTCGATGGGCGGACTCAGATGTTCTGAGTCTCCTGAGACAGCATGTCCGGGACAACAGTGCCACTGGCTTCCACGCAGCAAAAAACAGGAGGACGGGTGGGCCTGGCTTGAACCGGATGCCGAATATTCAGATCTTCGAGTCCTGAATACTTTGATTCCAGCTCGCTCTTGTATGATTGGGCTCTGTACAACATTGTGGTCTGTAGCGACGGTTGACTATGGATGTATATATAGGAAAATTGTAGACCTTGGCCTGAGTTAGAGTAACCGCTTTTCATTCTTTTTATGCATGTTATGTTGTTTTGCGCTCTTTAATTCAGCAATAGCGGAACCAGGTTGCGACACGTGACTCGCTTAGCTTTAGGGTTTGCGGCCCACACAACAAGCGGCTGCGGTAAGCTCGTTACGTTAGGGCTTCCCGTAGGCGTGGCTCTCTTGCTCCTCCATCCCAACGCTGTGATTTTATCTCCAGCGCAGAGTCTACGACAATTGCTCCGCCCGCGTTCATCCTCCTCTCTCCTCTCGCGGCCCCCTTCCATCGTCACCTCCCAGACTCCGATCATGGCTGAGCAGCTGGTCCTTCGCGGCACCCTTGAGGGTCACAATGGCTGGGTTACTTGCCTGGCTACCTCTCTGGAGAAGTAAGGGCACCACCACCGATGATTTGCACATGGATGAGATATATATATGAGTATACACATGTACCCTATGCATGTCTATGGTCGTATATATATTGAAGACATGTTTTTGTACTGGCTGAATGTGGATAATTGGTTTCTGACTTGATATCTTTTTCTCTCGACTTTAGCCCCAACATGCTGCTCTCTGGCAGTCGCGACAAGACTCTGATCATCTGGAACCTTACCCGCGATGAGCAGGCCTACGGCTACCCCAAGCGCAGCCTTGAGGGCCACTCTCACATCGTTTCGGACTGTGTATGCATACGATACCCCTCCCCCTTCGAGATCCCGAATCCCCGGAACATGAATTTGAGCGGGGGCTTGGTGAAAAAAAAAAGAAAAAAAAAGAAAAAAAAAGAAAAAACACCAAGACAGAAAATTTCAAGGAAGATGTTGGCTGACAGATGGGGGTGTTTTTTTTGTATATAGGTTATCTCTTCCGACGGTGCCTACGCTCTGTCTTCTTCTTGGGATAAGTCTCTCCGTCTGTGGGAGCTCTCCTCCGGCCAGACCACCCGTACTTTCGTTGGCCACACCAACGATGTTCTCTCCGTCTCTTTCTCCGCCGACAACCGCCAGATTGTTTCCGGATCTCGTGACCGCACCATCAAGCTGTGGAACACCCTCGGAGACTGCAAGTTCACCATCACCGACAAGGGCCACACCGAGTGGGTGTCCTGCGTGCGCTTCAGCCCCAACCCCCAGAACCCTGTCATTGTCTCTGCCGGTTGGGACAAGCTTGTCAAGGTAAGCCATCACCATTTTCTTGTTCAAATTATGGGTCAACCCCGTCCAAATGATGTTTGCATATTCTACGTATTTGCTACTTCAGAGCCGTTTACGGCTATGAGACAAACAATCACCCAATGCCTGATGGACCAACAAAATATTTGTTTTGTTTTGTTTTGCTACAATTCTTGTGTTATCGGATATTATATCCATACATTACCAGGAAAGACAAAAAGCCAAAACTAACTTGCTCCCCCCCTCACTAGGTTTGGGAACTCGCTTCCTGCCGCCTCCAGACCGACCACATCGGTCACACTGGCTACATCAACACCGTTACCATCTCTCCCGATGGATCCCTCTGCGCTTCCGGTGGCAAGGACGGTGTCACCATGCTCTGGGATCTCAACGAGTCCAAGCACCTCTACTCCCTCCACGCCGGCGACGAGATCCACGCTCTCGTCTTCTCCCCTAACCGCTACTGGCTCTGCGCTGCCACCAGCAGCAGCATCACCATCTTCGATCTGGAGAAGAAGAGCAAGGTTGATGAGCTCAAGCCCGAGTACATTGAGAAGGGCAAGAAGAGCCGTGAGCCCGAGTGCGTCAGCTTGGCCTGGTCTGCTGACGGCCAGACTCTGTTCGCCGGTTACACTGACAACAAGATCCGCGCCTGGGGTGTTATGTCGAGGGCGTAGATGGGAAATGAAAAGGCAATTAAAAAGTCGGTCGGCAACGCGAGTCCAGTCGAGTCGAGTTGAGTTTTGAGTTTGGCAGAGGAGAGACAAAAGATAAACCCAACTCTGTTTGATAAATTATTTTTTTATCTGTTTCCCCCCCCCCCCCCAAAAAAAGAACTAGGGCAGGCATTGGTTGGGATGTATGAGCCATGAGCAATGAAACACCCTCGGGTTTTTTTTCCCCCTCCGGACCTAGGGTTTTTCTTCTGACATGTCGAGCTTACTTGATTCTCCATAAAATCTGAAGATCTCTGGGATCTTGTGACGGATGGCATGCGATGTTCTAATACCATATAAAAAAACTTAAAATTCTCCTTTTTCTTAAAGATACGTACGTACGCTCGGGCAGAGCTGGAGTGCTCTACCTAGGTCTAATTTGCTTCACCTACGTCAGGACAAAAGTAAATATCTTTGCAAAAACCAGTTTACCTAGGTCCAACGCATACTGATGCATGTGGATTTGGGGAAGATGCGTTATTCGTTATTCGACGCTTATTTTACAACTGGCCACCGTCCACGCTATTTCTAGATATATAGTATAGTATATATATATATTGTACACAAAGCGGGTATTGATTGAATAAATCTGACACAGAGAGGTTGCAAGAAAACACACAACCTTAGGTCTATTCGCGCTTCTTCCTCTTCTCTGCCACATTCTCAATCCCCTTTTTCGAAAGCATAATCCCCGTCATATAGTCCACTTTCGTGGACAAGTCATGCGCTTTCTTGTACCAATCCTCAGCCTCATCCAGCCGATCCTCTCGCAAGGAAAGGTTGCCCAGGTTAGAACATGCAGCGGCACAACACTCAATACAAAGCTGGTCATTCTCCCAATCTGGGACTGCGGCAGCAACTTCGAGAGTCTTCATCGCCCACTTTCTGGAATTGGCAAAGCCCGCGTGATCGGTGATCTTTGGGTTCAGCCGCACGGCTTTCAGCGCCTCGCTACCTACGGCCGTGGAGACCCCGTTCAGGACCTCGACTTGCCTAGAGGACGGCGGATTGCCCTCCTCTATCCGGAGCAGGTCCAGCGAACGAAGGTACAGAGGCAGCGAGAGTTCCGGCATATCATCCACAATGTAATTGTGTGCCAGCTCGGTCAGCGCAACGGCAACTTCCACTCGAGTTAGCCAGGGACTGCCGTCCTCGAGCCCACCGGAAACGGGAAGCCCTAAGTCTTTGCGGCGCTGCAGCTCCTTGAGGGCTGTTTCGACAGCGGCAATCTGGGCAGCGTGGGCCCTTTTCCCGTCCGCGAGCAAAGGGTTACCGAAGAGCTCGGCCAGCTTCAGCTGAATGCCCACGACCTTCTTAATGGCCTTATCCCGCTGGATCTCCTCGTATTCATCCAGCTCTTTCATTTTCCGGTAGGTGTCCAAGACCTGGGGGTCGTTGATTTCCAGCTTGTCGGCGGAGGCACCCGGTGCATTGGCGTTTCCTTCCATGGCAGCGTATTTTGCCTTCTCCGCTTGTCGTTGCGCAGACTGCTTTTGAGATGAGTCAATCCAAGCCAGGGTCTCATCCCTGGTGCGCTCCAGCACCTCGATCGCTGGCTTGTACAGTCCCGCCATCTCTAGCATATGGGCCGTCTCCAGCTTAATCCCGAGCACCTCGTCGGAAAACGGATGCATGCCTATTTCCAAGGCCGTATGGAGCGCTTCCCGGTACGCCTTCAGCGCCTTGGCAGGATTCAGTTTCACATCTGTGTAGTAGACTGCTGAGCGGAGCGACTTCTCAACAGGCGGTGGGAAGTTGTGGAATTGCGGCCCGGACTGGGTTACTTCGAGGTAGCCCACGTAGGCGAGGATGCCTGCAGCTCCGACGGCTACTGCGATAGCAAAGGGCAGGACAAGGGGGTTGTTGCGCCAGATTCCCTTGGATGCGCTGCGGAGGTTGAGTTTCGTTCGTCGTGCGTAGGAAAGGGATCGGGTTTGGACAGTGGCGGCGTGAAGGCCCGGGGAGGTAAGGGGTAATGGCGAGCATTGTTGGGGAGTTTTGAATTTTGGTAGTTGGCGGTTTAGTCGTGGTTGAGTTGCGATTGATATTGGTCGTGAGAAGAGGGTGGTGGTGGTGGTGTTTCGGGGGTTGTGAACGAAGGCGTAGCCAGCGCGGCGTGACGCTACTGCCTTGAACATTATTAATATGTGAGGCGAGATATTGTTATTATTGATATTGGCGATTTCATAGGAAACACTCGTTCCTTCGGGGCAAAGGAAGGGGAGCCGCTTGATATCGCGAATGTTGAGAAAATTTGGTGTTGCCGCTTTACGGAAGTGATGACATGGACTTGACGTCCAAGGCAACAAACAAGCAGCGTGCAGCCTTTTGTCTTGGTTGATCTCTGCTTCCTTTTCCCCTCACAAATGCATCTAATTTCCATCTATTTACATTACTTTCGGTTTCTTGACATAACCTTCAAATCCTGCAGCATCTACCTGTCATGTGCGGACGCTATGCCTTGGGCGTGGTATGTACTGTATACTTGCACGACCAGTTAAACAACTACTCTACTCACCCTTCTCTAGCGAATGACGTTCATTCGAAACCGTCTTCAGGAGCAAGGCATGGATGTTGATGAACCTTCTGATAATGATGATGATGATGATGATGATATCCGCGAAACCTACAACTTTGCTCCTGGAAACATCGGGGCCGTTTATCGCGCTGATGTTCCCGACTACGGCGGAGCACCACATCAAAAGGCAACAGGTTCCGATGCTGAAAAAGAACCTGCCGGGACAGGCCATGGACCGACAACGCATTACAAACTTCAAGGCATGAAGTGGGGCCTGGTGCCATTCTGGACGAAGCGCCAGCCGGATTATGGCAGCCTCATGCGGACCATCAATTGCCGGGACGATTCTCTCAGAGACGACCGGGGGATGTGGACGTCGATGAAGCGGAAGAAGCGCTGCGTTGTTGTCTGCCAGGGTTTCTATGAGTGGCTGAAAACAGGCCCAGGAGGCAAAGAGAAGATCCCTCATTTTATTCGGCGCAAAGATGGTGATTTGATGTATTTGGCTGGCTTGTGGGACTGTGTTACCTATGAAGGTATGGAAAGTTCTTGCGTTTTATTGTCAGATTGGTTGCAATCTAGATAATGGGCTAAACTTAACGGCATGATCATGAAGGATCCGAGGAAAAGCTTTATACATATACGGTCATTACGACATCTGCCACTCCGTCGCTGAATTGGCTTCACGACCGGATGCCTGTTATTCTGGATCCGAATAGCGAAGCCTTGAGAACCTGGTTAGATCCTAAACGGTCTACTTGGTCGAAAGAACTCCAGTCAATTCTTAAACCTTATGATGGTGAACTGGAATCCTACCAGGTGCCAAAGGAGGTTGGAAAGGTTGGGAATAACTCACCGGACTTTATAGTTCCGCTTAAGAGCAAGGGAAACAAGAGCAATATTGCAAATTTCTTTGCAGACGCAAAGAAGAAGGCTGGGCCAGGTGCTGGCCCTGAGCACCTCAAGAGCATAGGCGAACACGGCGCGAAACCGGTTTCTGGCACCAAACGAGGGCATCCCGACATTTCAGAGGAAGCCGCAGATGACGAGGACATTGAAAAACAGAAGACAGAGAGTAGTACACTGGTGTCTCCACCGAAGAAGCGCGCTGCTACACAAAGCCCTACGCTAAACCGGCATACTCCAAATCAAAAGCAAATGCGCAGCGCAACACACAACCAGAAACCCTCAAAGAAGGTGGACGCAAAGAAGCCGAGTAGCGGAGCACAGCGAATAACGACCTTTTTCTCTAAATAATGCCACAGTACTTCATGATGTCACGCTATTATGAGGTAAATTCTCTCGAGGAGCTGGGATTTCTGGAAATTAATATTGTTAGCTGACCCGCAGCTTGTAGTGGGCGAATAATCCACCTCACTTAGGTATAATACAATTTGAACTATTGTACAAGTACGACGCGGCTTTATTTTGTCTCCTGTTCTTGCAGCTTCTGCACCAGCTTTTCTCTCAGAAACGGGCTTAGGCCGAGTCTGTGTGCCTAATTAGCTTAACAGATGAGGGTTGATGGGTACTGTAGGTCACTTACATTCCATCCCGGGTCAAAATCCGATAAGTACCTAGCCAAGTAGTTAGCAAAAACTCAAGAATCTTCACAGTTTAGACGAGATTCATACCACTTGGCTGATAGTTTCCGTTTCCACCTGCAAAGCTTCCATCGCCCTCAACTTCTAAACTTCCAAAAATGTCTTCCGGCCTGTGCAACATTAGCGCTGTCCCTTCTCCCCCACGAGGATAAAAGCTTCCTACCATGCAATTCGACCGTACTCCGGTGGCCGCCTTCCATCTGAAATATGAATCCAGCCACCTCTTCCAGCTGATCCAGCGCCGCCTTGACCGCTTGCTCCACTGGAATCCACTTCACCACGGCGTCGTCGAGGATGTGAGCCCGTCAACAATACACCTCCAGCGGCCAGGTTCGCCCCGGACGTGGACGCCATCACCTGAGCCTGGGAAATCGCATCGGGGTCTTCGTGCGCATACTTCGAGACAACCTCTTGTAAAATTCCCAGGAACTTGGGATTCTCGCGGAAGGATTCGGGAGTAGGAGGTAGCTTTGATGTCAACCCAATAGATAGATCGGGGTTTGTTGGCTCGGAAGGCAGCAGCGATAATACGTGGCTTCCATTGCTTGGAAACGCATACTAGAACGAATGGTGTAAATAGGAAATGTCTAGCTCGAGCTCTCCAATTTTGCTTACAATATGAGGATGTCCGTCCAATGTTGATACGGACCGAGTTTGGGTCCATCTGGGGACATGGCGGTAGAATTGCCTTAGACCCAACATGCTGAGGGACTTAGAATAGAATGTCGCAGTTGAATAGGTTATCTGAAAGAAATTCCAAGTCAATCATCCCTGATATCAAAATAATTTGGGAACGCCATGAGATGGATTATGACGAAGACACACAAACATGACAAACTCATGTGACCGCGCGGCCTCTATTTCGCCCTCGTCGAACGCTGGCGTTCCTGCAGACCTTTATAAGACTGTTCCATTACTGACTATCAATTGGCTGGTTTATGTCTTCATTTGTTTATGTTCTTAGTTGACACTGTTGTGCTTTCAGAAGCATAGCTAGCCTTGCAATTGTGCGACTTGCTCGGGTGTTTACAGCCCCCCGCACTCTCTCCGACAAAGAGATGAGCTTCGCAAAGCTGCATACTTGAGGTCCCTCTTTATGTTCTCTTGAAATCCGGATTCTTTTCATTGTTATCTGCGTAATACCCTGGTTTTCTTCGAGTGCTTGTAAATGCTCTCTATCCTGCGCCGAATATACTCCTACATAAAAGCCTAACGCAACGCAGATTATCATGGCAACCCCGTCGTCCAAGCACAACCCAGGGGCCACTCCCACCTATTTGACTTCTTCACCCCGTCCTTCAGGTGGAAATGTTCATCGCCCAATATCGCATAAATCGCCGTCTACAAGGACTCCCTCGGCTTCTGGGCACGGTCATCCCCACCAGCCGGCTTCCTCTACCCATCAGTATGCTACGCCTCTTGCAGTGGCTATGGAGAACGACAACCCGATATCATTTAGCTCACCCTCTGCATTAATCGCTCTTGGTGCTTACGGGGGAATCAGCCCATCCCCCGCGGTACATGATGGATTGGTTGCGGCAGGCATGAACGAGGGTGATATTCACGCCTTGGGAATGCAAGGGTTGAAGCTGGGCAATGCGCGAGATAATGATGAGGAGCGAAGGAGACACATTGAGGAGGTAGTTCAACTTTTAAGGACCCGGGTTGCTGGAAGAGGCGTGTGCAGAGACGGAGTGGAGCGATTGGGCCAGCTTGAGGGATTCGAGTCGATCTGGCAAGAAGACAACCTTAGCATCGCCGGCAATTTTGTTGACCTTGAGATTGAGTTTCATCGCGGCCAGAACGTGGTCAAGGATGTTAGCTTAAAATATGCAACCCCGGAAGTCACCGACGGAGAGCGTCGCGACGGAACAGCCGTTCTGAAACGGGACCTAATACAGACACCGGAGGAAGGGGAACGAGGTACTTGGAAGACTTTGGCTGGGTTCCACGAAAACCTACAGTGGCTTGCTCGACATGACCGGCTTAGCCAAGAAGTGAACTGCTTCGAGGCAATTGAAGGCCTTTACGAGAGTTTGAAAAAGATATGGGACAATGAGGGCTCCCATCGCAATTTTTCCTGGGAGTTCGGACATCTCTGTAGCGGTTGGGTTGGTCGTCCACGCCTTCACAAAGATGGCCAGATTGGGCTGGGACTAGACTACTGGGTGCCTCGAGCTCAGGTTTTGGACGCAAAGCAGAGAAAGTCTGCCGATGACATGGTGATTGATCAACCATCTGCACGCAATTCCGACGACGAATCAGGTCACCTAGACTGCAAATGGAGTATTGCAGTCGAGTGTGAAGAGGGATACCCATCGCTTCGTGTCTCCAAGGACTGGGTTGGAACAGAAGTGTTCACGGCGGTAAATAATACTACAAATGCGTCATCATCAAGTGAAGCAATGGGTTTAGATGCCATGGTGGTTAATTGGGCAGATCCACCAGCGACAGTCACTCAAAATTCTGATAGCATGGCTCTTGACTCGGGGATGCTAGATTCATCTTCGCCAAATCGGCGATTTGTTGCCCGCATGGATCCCCCACTTGACCTACCCTTGTTGGCAGCTTCGGATATATACCGACATCTGGGCACACAAATGCCACAAGATTTCAAGATGCTAACCTATGATGGGCTTTTGGCGCCGGAATGGACCCCTCTGTCGGCTGCCGGATCAATGGGACTTGGACCACAGGAGGCGTCTTTGGTCAACCGAAGGAGAAGCAGAATATCAGTGCAATCAATGGATGACCAAGGCAAACCTTGCACCAAGCAACATAGCTACACATTTCAGCCTTTTGAATCTGCTGCAGGCCGGACGATACGAGATATTCCATTCTCCCACCCGCGGCAGCTTGCAGACATTTTACCGGTAAAACCCGTCGCCTTTTCGCCTTTATCCGAACCATACTGACTTTATGCTTTAAGATTCTGCGCCAATACGCCTTCCTAGCGAATATGATCCGGAGCATATTTCCCCCTGCATCGAAGCGCGATAATAGCAGGTATGCTGGAGAGGATACCACCGATAATGGGAATATCACAATTCTGAGCAACGAGAACCCTAGCGAGAAAAGACTGAATTTATTACTCCGGGGGGTTGATAAGACAGAGAGCCTTGTCAAAGGGAAAGGAAAGCATTCTTTCAAAACTGAAGATGAAGGTCTGCAGGGCAGTTTCACTGCAAATGATGAGCTTAAAGTAGACGTGACGTTGCGAACACAACTCGGGCAAGCCCCTATTATTATGCTGCTTTTTACTCCTGATCCCCGCGCATCAGGACTGGGAGAAGTGGCAGAGGAGCTCGCATTTAGTAAAGTTTCGATCAGCTTCGAAGTTGGTTTGAATGGGCGCATCTCAGTGGTCGACATGACGGGATTAGTGGATGACGATGCTCCAGCAACCGATGAGCAGAAAACTGAGACCCATGAGCTTCGAAGCGCAATCGCCAGGGTCCTGGATATTTCCCAGGACATTGGAACGTTAGTGGAATGGGTAGTCAGATGGGTACAGCGGCGAAAGAGCCGCGGGTGAGGGATGTATGGGGTAGGAGACACGGCGCTTGGGATTGGCTGGTTACACCCTTGCAGACCTGCGCCGGAGTGGAGGGAATCAGCTTCGTCCGCCTGTCGGTTGCTAGCCGGCCAGAAACGGTCCCTTCCGGCGTCTCCCGTGCTTTAAAGCCAACGGTGTCTGATGATAAGATACGCTGTTTGAAATCCGTGGGGACCTGATGGTCAGTCTTCAAGCTCTCGATAGCACGTTCCAAACCCCAAGGTCGACTAGTGTAGTCGTCAGCCAGTACCTGCATGAAGGTTAAGCTGACACGGGTTTGCTAGTCTACTAGAGGTCTTGAGGTTGGAAGGTTCGACACGGTTAAAACGGAGTAAGCTGCAGCAAGGGGTGACGATATTTTTTTACATGTCTGTTCTGCATGGCTCTTCTCCTGTTTCTGACTTTCTCTCCCTGACGACTCTGGGAGGAATTCTGGAGGACTGGGAAACCCCAGCCAGGGAGGCGGGATCCTGGAAAGGAGCACGATCTCTGGATCTGATAAGGCGAGACCAGGTTTGCAGAGAAGCTGCGGGTCCATTGAACTCTAGTTGTCATCATGATTTGAAGGTTAAGAGGATGGGGTAGTACAGCCTAATACGCCTAATTTGCAGATCTGCATGGGGGTAAATGAAGGAGAGGAAACCCTATCGTGGCGGCGTATAGCTGGGCAACAAACCAGAAGACAATCAAATCAATAATGAGGGATAAAAATGCCAGGAAGTAACTTAATAACCTAATCGGAATGTTGTGACAGCAGACAGCATGCAAGGAGGCCAAGTAAGCCTTGATATTAGTCAAAAAAACGCTCTTTTCATTAGTCATTGGCATGTTATGTGCCTGTTAGGGTAACATCCATAAAAACAATATACCTAAAAGAATATATAGTTACTACTTATCTATGTAGTTTGTATGAGATGTTACTGCGGAGTGGCGTTTAACAGAGGAGTCTTAAATTGAAACAACATACTAGGTAATAATAATATGTGAGGATCAACTGCGCGAATTACTGTCCCTGTCCAGTTGCCTTATGATTATTGGAATCTAAAATATGCCTGGGTACGTTGCGGTACTTACCCAGGAGTGGTTTCCTACCTAATTGATTTGAACAATTTGCCGCGGGTAAAAAAAAAAAAAAAAAAAAAAAAAAAGGCCTTTAATACGAGATGAAAATTTGCAACAATTTGCGAAAATCCAAGTCAGAATAAGAATCGAACTCCAACGTTAGTACTATGTACTGTTCGTCGAGAGGGTCAGTCGGCAGCTCTTGCCTTTCAACTCCTCTATCTACTCTTACGGAGTACAGATTCATGCCCAAGAATAATAATAACAGACGCTTCGTGATGATTTTTGCTAAATACGGAGTACTACCACTAAATTTAAACTCCAATTATAGTAATTCATTCCAGGATAAAAGACAAACCGCTGTATCCTGATTCGGCCCGGGTCCAGTCAGCGCGGTTTGTCATGAACATGGGCGGCAGACCAATCAAAGGACTCTGATAAGCAATCTATCAGAAGACGGAAGGATGATAGATAATAAATCCAATTTATTTTTTCTGTAACGGTTATTCGGGGGGCGTGAAACACCTGTAAAAAACAAAAACAACAGGTATACCATACCGTCCCTCGTAGTTTAGTGCCTAAATGGATGAACTGTCAATGGGGCAAGGGAATGCTACCTACCTACTTTCGTGATATCGCAGAGGAGGTTATGGCGTTATTCTCTTATTTAGGATTCAAGGAGATATTGCGACGATACGTTCTTAAATGACCTATGAAATACATATTCCGTACACAAAAAGGTAAGTAATATTCCTGCATCGCCCGAGTCAGTCCATCCTTTATGCGTCAAACTCTCGTAGTCCATGGATCGGGTGAAATCAGATCGACAGCAGTAGAAGTAAGTTTATACTCGCCTACGGAGTAGGATTGCCACAATGCGGGATCCAGTGCGCATCAAGTATTAATCATCCATTATCCAAGAGATATTACGGAGTAGGAGTAGTAGGAATATTGGGTAGTACTGGGTAGTAGTTACTCCCTAGATAGTCGTTGGTAACTGCGTGGTTGGTACTGGTTGGTATCACGTTGGACAGTCCGGTCTCGGGGCTCATTTTCTTTCGAGAATCTTGCCACGCCCCACCATCGGAGAGTGTTCCGATTCTTCTTCTTCTTCTTCTTCTGTAACTTGGTAACAACCTTACCCTTACCTTACACGGATTTTTGTTTCGATGGAATTGTGTGTTGAAAAAAAAAAAAAAAAAAAAAAAAAGGCACTCCTCCAAGATAAGAATTTCCCAGGCTAAAAGCGGTTGGAACATGATAGAATTTTAAATGTAAAGGGAACGCAATATTAATGTGAATCCATCGGCAGGCGCGCTCTGTTCCACCCACGCGACGATGGCGGGGTTGAGGGGCACGATAAGAACTACTACCGGTAAATATTGCTATCAGGGTAGAAACTTGAGATCCGCGGGAAATAATATGAAGTCGGACGGGATACTCCAAAGAACATACTAGATACATGATATGATGCAAGGAATGTAATCCTCGACCATCTAGACCACTACCTATCTAGTAATACGGACGTAGATGCCTAAGGTTGGTCCTGCAGCTGATATGCATAGCACCAGTCACCCACTGCCAATGGGTTGATAATATATTTTTTGCAACTCCTTCATGTCATATCGGATTGTGAAGTAGAGATAAAACACAGGAAGATCAAATCTGCAGTGACTGGATTGGATGACCTTCACGTGGGGGGGTGATATCTGGGGAAATCAACATTGAATGAGATTCCAGGATCTATCAAGGTGATATTTATTTATGTTCCGTGGCGTCCCCGGGTCTTATGCCTAGATGTTACACCTCATATAATTGTATGAAGAAAGGGAAACCAGGAAAAAGAACCTGCCCCGGAGAACTTAAATTCAGAATAATGCTAGAGAACAATAAACATAGGTAAATATAAGACCCATCAAGTAAAGTTAAAGAAAGCGAAAAAGTACAGGAAGCAGCTGCACCGCCCCGAGGTTTATGCGGTAATTTTCAAAAAACCTTTACCGATTGTAGAAATTTGCCTCCTCCTGCTTTCCCCCCCCCTTCCGTCCTCCCCCTCCAAAAAAAAGAAGCCAGGGAATTTAAAAAGATAATCATTCCCCCCTCCCCCACCCACAGATCCAACTGGTGACTCGCATCTCATCCCGCTCCATTTCACTTCCTTCCTTCCTTCCTTCCTCTCCCTATTAAAATCTCCATTTCGTCCTCCTTTCGCTCTTGCAATCAATCAATCAGTCCTTCGATTGTATTGTATTGTCTTGTGTGTTGCATTTTCGTCGATCTTTCATCTCGACTTCATCCGAGACTGAAGTCGTTTTCCAGAAAAGAAATCTATTTCTTGACCCCTCCACATATCCATCACAATGGTAGGCTTCTTATTTCCCGTCATGCCATCACGTACTGCCATCTCTCGAAAGGATAGGAATTGACTGCTAACTTCCATTTTTCTACTTGCCTCCAGGCTGAATCCTCTACCATCATCTCCAACACGGAGAACGTGCGTCACACTGGTCGATCTGGCACGAAACAACCCCCCTCTAACTGACTTCCTACAGCTCATGAAGTACATGACCCTCGACCAGCGAGGTCAGGTTATGGCTGAGTACATCTGGATTGACTCCACCGGTGGCACTCGCAGCAAGACCAAGGTATGCCAATTTTTATTTGCTACAGTTATCACACCCCTACGCATCTTTTGTGGTGGCAGTCTCGTGAGAATTTTGTTTCTCGTTATTCCCCAATGACAGCGGGGCAAAGATCAAATATACTTGCAGCATGATAAGCGGCGCATGGCCTGCATTCTTCTGCATGTCGCTGTGCCTGCATCTATTCGCTACACGTGATCATGTTTCCTTGTCCAGTCAGTGACTCATCTTTCTCGATTAGACTCTCTCCAAGCCCGTCACTTCCGTAGATGAGCTCCCCGAATGGAACTTCGATGGTTCTTCCACCGGCCAGGCTCCTGGTGACAACTCCGATGTCTACCTTCGCCCCATTGCCATCTTCCCCGACCCCTTCCGCCGTGGTGACAACATCCTCGTTCTCTGCGAGACCTGGGATTCCGATGGCACCCCCAACAAGTTCAACTACCGCCACGAGTGCAACCGCCTGATGGAGACCCATGCTAAGGAGGAGTTCTGGTTCGGTCTGGAGCAGGAATACACTCTCCTTGGCGCTGACGGCTGGCCATATGGCTGGCCCAAGGGTGGTTTCCCTGGTGCTCAGGGTCCTTACTACTGTGGTGTCGGTACCGGCAAGGTCTACTGCCGTGACATCGTCGAGGCTCACTACCGCGCCTGCTTGTTCTCTGGCATCAAGATCTCTGGTATCAACGCCGAGGTCATGCCTTCCCAGTGGGAGTACCAGGTTGGCCCTTGCAACGGTATTGAGAGTAAGTTTTGTCGGTTCTTCCGAGAAGAAAAGTCGATGCTAACGATTGGCAGTGGGTGACCACCTTTGGCTGTCCCGCTTCCTCCTCCACCGTGTTGCTGAGGAATTCGGTGTCAAGATTTCCTTCGACCCCAAGCCCATCAAGGGCGACTGGAACGGAGCTGGTCTCCATAGCAACGTCTCCACTGCTTCCACTCGTGCTGAGGGTGGCATGAAGGCCATTGAGGCCGCCATGAAGAAGCTCGAGGCCCGCCACGCCGAGCACATTGCTGTCTACGGCGAGGGCAACGAGGAGCGTCTCACTGGCCGTCACGAGACCGGTTCCATTGACAAGTTCTCGTACGGCGTTGCTGACCGTGGTGGCTCCATCCGTATTCCCCGCCAGGTCGCCAAGGACGGCAAGGGTTACTTCGAGGACCGCCGCCCCGCTTCCAACGCCTGCCCTTACCAGATCACCGGTATCATTGTGGAGACTGTAAGTTGCCTAAACTGACCTGGAATAAAAAACGATGTGAAGCTAACTGAAATAGCTCTGCGGCGGTGTCTAAATATGTGAAAATTTGTATTAGCGCTTGTATACCCTCCGGCGTCAACTGGGGTAGTAGAACAAGAGAGCAGCTTGGCAGCGAGGAGCAATATAGATTTCTTTTGTTCTTTTCCTTCGTATTGTATTGGAACTCTCCCTTGAGATGCCACAGCTCGCCTTTACGTTCATTATTCCCGCTGGTTTGCATTCTAATTCTTTCATTGTTTATATGGGTTATGTGTTACGTATAGCATAGAAGATCAAGTGAAATGGACAACCTCTGCAGACAGCAGAGCACATATATATATCTCAGTAGCTCTTTATATATATTAAGATTACCATTTAACTGGCGTCTATATAAATCAACCCCTCCAAACCCTAAAAATGCGACCCAAGCCGTCAAACCCTCTCTGCTGCCTCTCCCTTTTCGCCGCGCGATCGACAATCTTGGCACCAGCATCTTCCGCACTTGTCCCCCCGCCATCCACCACGCGCACAAGCACATGCATCAACGCAGCAGCAAGAATACTCGCACCCAGAATCCCCACCATGACCAGGTTACTTTTCCGATACTTGGCCCGCCCCTCAGCCGCAGCATCGCTAGCCCAGCCCTCGTAAAGCGCATACGTGGTGAGGATGCTGCCCAGATTGCCCCAGCCCGAGACGACGGCCGACGCAGCAGCGACGCCGACTTCCCCGTGGCGCGGCTGGAAGATCTCGGTGGTCCAGGTCATGGTGATGGGCACGGTGGGGCCGAGCCCGAAGCCGACGATCAGCAGGCCGCCGTAGCGCGGCCAGGGGTTTGGCGCGGTGCCGGCGTACGTGGTTAGCAGGAGGCCGAGGATTTGGAGACAGACGGAGGCGACGAAGAAGATTGCGCGGTGGTGGTGGAAGCGGTCGGAGATGGGGGTGATGAGGAGGATGGCGATTAGGTCCATCTATTTTTATATTTTTACTTGGGTTAGTGGGGAAGAAGAAAAGACTAGAAGAGAGAAGAAGAAGAAGAAGAAGAAGAAGAAGAAGAAAAGACTAGAAGAGAAAAGAAAGGAGTTTTTTTGTTTGGGGGGCGGCGCACCAGCCAAATTGGAGCCGTGAGCAAACTCAACTGAATCCCCGATAACGAAGGGTTTATGCTCTCGATGATGATCGTGGCGTAGTTCTGCACGCCAATGCCCACGCCGACAACCCCGAAATACATCACGAGCAGCGGCCACAGGCGCCAGTCGAGGAGGACGTGCAGGAGATTGCGCGCCGTCCAGCGGGGCCGGTTGTACACGCGTGTTAGATCCCGATAATGCAGTTCTGCGTCGCGGCCTGTGAGCGCGGGCGGGGAGCGCGGGATGGGTATCCAGCGGAGGATGGTTTTCGTTCGTGGTTGCTGCTGCTGCTGCTGCTGCTGCTGTTGTTGTTGTTGTTGTTGTTGTTGGCTTGGGGCTAAGGGACGGTCTGGTAGCCACCACAGCAGGGCGATGCCGTCGGCGATGGCGATGATTCCGTACACGAGGAACATCCATTGGAAGCCGACGAGGCCGCGGTCGCCGTCCATTTTCTGGAAGCCGGCTGAGACTAGTCCGACCACTGCGGCGGAGAGCTGCGCGGCCGTGTAGTATTGTCCGATGCGTTTGCCTGTGCGGGAGGGTGGGTAGAAGAGGGTGAGGTAGTAGGCCATTCCGGGCCACATGCCTGCGATGACGATGCCGAGGAGGAGACGGAGGAGGCTTTTTTTTGGTTAGTCGATTCTTTCTTTTCTTCTTCTTCTACTTGAGGCAGGGATATAGGAAAGAACATACTATAAACTCCAAGCAGCCTTCATAGCAGCCATACAACTACCGATAACGCCGACTCCAATCACAATCCGGCTCATCCATACCTGCGGACTGAGCCTCGTCATAATCAGGTTCGAAGGCAGGTCAAAGACCACATAGCACACGTAGAACAACGCCAGCCCCGTCGAGACCTGGTGCGGAGTCAAGTGCAGCACCGAGCCCAGATCATGTCCGGACTCTTTGTTCATGGTTTGGGCCAGGCCGACGTTGGATCGAATTGCCGAACAGAGGAAATACAGAACCCAGAATGCAGGTATAATCCGGAAGTCAAGTTTTCTATTAGAATCCCCCTCAGCACTGCCCAGAGAAAGAGAATGAGAAAGAGAAGGAAACACATACCGGTAGATACGCTCGATCTCGGCAATATCTGGCTCACTGCCTGTCTCTAGATCTTCCTGGCTCTTTGCCATGTCCGGCTCGGGGTGTTGGAGGAGCGACATGATTGACTACAGACCGGTCAATGAAATTCAAGTACAAGATCGACAGAGGTCAAGGAACAGAAGAGACTAACGTACTGAAAAAAAAAAAAAGGAGAGGAAAGGGAAAACTCACCGAGGGGAGATGTTGAACCCCGCACACAATTGACAGGGTTCTAGCAAAATCCTAGTAGAAATCGTAAGACTCGATTCTATTTATAATTCAGATAGGTAGAGGAGGGGAGAGGAGGGGAGAGGAGGGAGAGGAGGGAGAGCAGAGGATACACAAAATATCAATCTTAGATTGATTGATTGATAAGAGATTGATCGGGACCAAGAAACCCACGATCGGATTCTTCTCGCGGACAATTCTCTCCTCAATGCAAGGAAGCAATCTAATTGAATCTCACCCGGGGAGAAAAAGGAAAGACTGGATCTGGCGGAAGGGAGAAAAATCCGCCCAACCAGCCAGAACCACAAATGACTCAACTCATGAATAGCTTCAACCTTTTCCACCCGATGTTTGCATCCGCTCCTTCACACTACGGGGGTTGTTGTTCTTTCCCAACCCTTGATGCATTTTCTTCTTGTAGCTCAACGAGCCCGCTTTCGTTCCCAACCTCAACCGGAGCGGGTTCTGCCCAGAGTGGACCCCGTGGACTGTGCAGGGTGGGTAGCTTCGCTGTTAAAATGAACCTCTTTCCTCGGGATTGCCTTGACGATTTACGGCGAAGCGCAAAAAAAAAAAAAAAAAAAACTCCAGATCAAGGAGAAAAGATTTCATTAGCATGCGTAGGGAAATTCTCTAATCGCAGAATTCCATCGGGGTATAAGCCATCATCGTAACATTACGTCTGGCAAGGAAATATCTTCGCCGGAGCAGAGCAGAGCAGAACAGAGCAGAAAAGAACCACCCTTCGACACACCGAAAGCTAAATGTAAATCATTGAAACAACAGCCCCTGGAAACTACCCGACCCTCTCTACCTTTTCGGTGCTGGTGTTGACATCGCTGGAATCATGTTCCTTGGGAGCATGGTGTTCCAACACACTGGTACGACGAACCGCCTCGTCCTCGACATCGCTGAGGTTCCGGAGAAGTTCCCCATGCTTGCCGTACATGTGAGGCTCTTCCTTGGCCCTCTTGACCACGTTGAAGACGCTGGTCGTCTTGCGGAAGATGCGGTCCATCTCCTCCAGGGAACGGTAGGCGGTTTCAGGGTAGAAGAAGTACACCACGGGGAAGATGAATGCGTTGCTGTGGTTTTCATTAGTCGAGACTTTCTTTTTCTTTTCTTGACTTGAAAAAAAAAAAAAAAAAAAAAAAAAGGAACTTACATGACAGCAAAGATGATGTAGGTCTGGTATTTAATGTTCTGAAAAGCAACGGGAGTGATCATGACGACCATAAAGTTGAAGATCCAGTTGGAAGAGGTGGCGAGGGCGTTGGCTGGGGCACGAATCCTCAGAGGCACAATCTCGGCCGGGTACAGCCAGGTCATGCCCAGCCAACCAATGGCGAAGAAAGTGTTGAAGACAAAAAGGAACACCGCACAAGTGTAGCGAGCACCATCGGTGTTTATGCTGGCTGTGATGGCCAGGATCACCATGGCCAGAGACATCCCCGCAGCACCGAACAGCATTAGCGTACGACGACCGAATTTTTCAATCGTGAAGACGGCAATCCACGAGGCAATAAAGTACTCGGTCCCGTTGCAAGCGGCAATCAGTCGAGAGAGCTTGAGGCTCATGCCCAGCTGGTTTTCCAGCACAACGGGGATATAGTAGGTAATCAAATTGATGCCCGAGATCTGTTGGAACATCTGGTTGACGTAGGCCAGCATGGTCCGGTGGAAGTGGCGATCTTCGGTGCAGGTGAACATGTCCTTCAAGCTACCCTGGGCCATCTCCAGCACGGTAGCCTTGATGGCCGTGAACTCGGTCTGAAGGAAGCAAGGATCGGTCTCGTCGCCCATGAGAGCCGCGAGAACCTCTTGGGCCTCATCTTCGCGACCCTTGAGGACTAACCAGCGAGGGGACTCGGGAAGAAACATGACAAAGGCTAGGATGATCAGAGCGAAGAAGATTTGGAACGCCAGGGGGAAGCGCCAGGCGACCTCGTTAGGATCGGCAAACAGCAGGCCAAAGTCGATCCAGTAACTAATCGTAATGCCGCAGGTAATCATGGCCCCTTCAATCATGACCAGCTTGCCACGGTGATTGGCCTTGCAGCATTCCGACTGCCAGGTGGGGACAGTCGAGGTGTTCATGCCGTTTCCTACAATATCAATCAAGATTAGGGTTGTTTTTTTTTTTTTTTTTTGCTTCCCACGGCTACCGAGTCCAAAAAAAAAAAGCCACTTACCGAACCCAGTAACTAAACGTCCGACAATAAACTGCGGGAGATGGTAGGAGGTGCATTGCAGCAGAGCTCCGATCACCATAATAAACGAACCGAGGAAGATTGTCTTCCGTCGACCGAGGTAGTTTCCGATCCAGATGGTAGGGATTGAACCCGCGAAACATCCCAAGTTGTACGCAGCAACGACAATACCTGGAGGCCAAGGGAAGCTCGGAGTGTCAGTCCAGGAAGGTCGAGTCTAGCTAGCCGAGCAACACAACACAACACGTACCTTGACGGGTTGACTGCGTGCTCTGCTGAGATTGAGTCAATTGATCCCATTCTGGACCATTGGTGGCGATGGTAGGGAAATATTTGATGAAGGAATTCAAAGTCAAGAGGCCACCGGTGACACCCTGATCGTAGCCAAACAGCAAGAAATCCATACCGGCGATGAGGCCGATGGCAATTTGGAGTTTGGCGCCCTGCAGGCCCAAATATTTACGAGGCATGTTGAGTTGAATACGTGTGCTGAGTGAAATTGGATACAGAATAGAGTAAGAAATCTCTCTACGAAAAAAGGTCACCCAAATCAAGAGAAGAGAATCCGCAGAGAAGATTTAACAAGGGGTGCACGAGGGAAGCAGATGGATTTATAGAAGCAACCATTATTTCCCTCTGACAGGGAATTAGAGAGTCACAGCAAACATCCTACCTCACCTAGGTAGTAGGTTGGAGAATCACCCTGGTATTGATCCACTCTCTTTCTTCTCTTTGTCTCTTTTTTACATCTAACTGGATCAGGATAGATTCCCTCGATCATTTACTATTATTATATAATAAATCATGAGGGTTGTAATGACATTACATGAGAGAAATCTGGGGTGGCAATATAACTATTGTTACTGTTTCATTCCACCTGTACCTGTTAACACTTATTAGCAAATCAGTGACTAAAGATTTGGTCACAAGAACTTCCCCTGGCCTGATCCTTAGGTTCTGACAACCTTAACTAGAATATAGATCAGTTGCCCCGCATTTACTCCAGGTTTTCACCTTTTTGTTACCTGATGTAGGTGTTACCTAATTCCGTTCAGATTCCTGTTTAAACTGACGTAAAATTGCCACATCACATTCTTCCTGTCGGTGCCATGGACCCGAAAATACAACCCCAGCTATGTCTCTCATGGAGTCGACACGTCCCTATCCGCGTGGAGACCGTCCAACCCCTGGACCCCCGTCGCGAAGTGTATCGCCTGAACCTAGAAACATGCCAGGAATTACACGGTCTTCCGACTGTTGTCATCATCAAAAAAATGAAAGATGATTGGCACGATGAATTCAAACAAGAGATCCACGCCTATGAGCGATTGAAACCCCTGCAAGGATCGGTTATCCCCGTGTTTTTCGGCCAAGCGACGTTCAACGATAGTCCGGTTCTCGTCCTTTCCGAGGTGGTTGGGAAAACACTCCAGGACCTTGCCCATAGCGGGCTTCCGATCTCTTTGAAGGAGCTTCAACGGAAGCTTGAGAAAGCCATGAGGCTGCTGCATGCGTATGGCGCGGAGTATTTGGACCAGCGACTGGACAACTTCTTTCTCTGTGATGGTACCGGTGAAGTCATGGTTGTTGATTTGGAGCAGGTCGAGTTCCCGGGGGATCTTGAGGATTGGAAGCACAGTGTGAATTATGGGGGGGGTGGGCTCTCTTTTATATCTATTCAATGATATCAGAGAAAGAAAGAGTGGTCGGAGCAATAGCGTCTACCCTTTGACATGGCGCCGACAGGCGGCTGTAGAACCCCGGAACGGATTAAATCTCTACCCACGAGGAGGTAGGTACCACTCCGTACCATCAATATAAAGGCTAATTCTAGCTAAAAAGGAATAAGTAAATACTAGTACTCCATATTAAAATTTGTATCCCCCCGGTATCCATATAACCGACACAGAAGTATGCATTATCAAGCTAAACTAAAAACAGCAAGTAATGCACAGGTCCAGGTATTATATAACAAATCTATATTAACCAACTATTACTCCGTATTCTTCGTACTCTGGACCAAAGCGTGCATGCAGCCTAGGTAGTAGGATAGTCACTCGCGAACCCGGGACATCGTATCGTTTCTTGATGGAGAATAATAACTAATCGTCCGTGGAAGCAAGGGTCGCGGTCTGGTTCCCCGGGGGGAGGAATACCAGCTTGAATTGGTCTGTCTGTTCCTGTTGTTGTATAGATTGATTGATCGTCCTACCGAGGTAGGTAGTCGCTTACCCAACTAGGTAATCCCGAGCCTGTGTTGTTTCTTAGTTCTTACTCCAGTCCACCTCGAGCCTCTTCGATCCTGGGAATAAACGAAGTGAGTGAGTTCATTCCTTTGGTTTGGCTTTAGCTAACTAACTAGTAGTTACTACTGCGTACATGCCATGAAGACCCAGTGACGTGCATTTCATTCGGTATTTTCAACTTGTTTCTTGGGCACGACACACCTCCCGTGAAATCAACGAATACTAGCCCGCATTGAAAGCCGCGTCGGGAGCAGAAGAAGTTACCAACCGGCGGACTGTCCCCACCCAGTACTAGGTTCTTCATGCTGAGTATCCGCGACGACGCCCGTGTCCCAGCCGCTATTGTCGCCAGCCCTCTGGTTGAAATCGGTGTTATTATGGCCGAACTCGTCAGCGGTTGAACTAGCTGTAGGGCAGCGTTTGATCGTGTGACCCACTGGAGATAGTCAATGTTAGCATCTAACTATATCCTGTCATCATCGTACTCCGTCTGAGCAAGGATACTGACTTTCTCCACAATTATTGCATTTGACTTTCGACCAGTCCTTCTTTTTGGTACAGTCACGGCTGAAATGACCGACTACAAAGAAAAAAAAAAAAAAAAAAAAACGAGAAACGTTAGAAATTGGCTAACTTGTCGGTTTAGTAGCTGGTATGGTATACCTACCTTCGGAGCAGTTACGACAGGTCACAGTCGACACATCGCGAGGCTGGTCGCAATCTCTCGCTATGTGGTCCTCGGATCTGTTGGGTTAGCTCGTGTTCTGCGTGTAACTGATCGCGTTGCCTACCCGCAGTGGTGACAGGCTCTTGCGGCCCTCGCCTGAGGACAATCCTTTGCAAAGTGGCCAACTAAAAGATATGTAAATATAGAACTCCAGTTTCCCCGGTTTACCATAGCCGCCAGAAGAACCCTACCTTCATTGCATCTCTTGCACTCCACACCTTCAGCAGAGCGTGGGTTGGGACATTCAGCGGCCTTGTGGTCGGGGGATCTTATCTGGGTTATTATATACCCTGAAGACTAGGGAATTTGCATACGCACCCACAGTTACGGCAGGCATATCTGTCACGCCGCTCCTCAAGGCAATCACGAACACGGTGTCCGACAGCGTTGCAATTGGCACACTTCACTTCAACGCGTTCAACAACAACTTTCTCTTCCTTGCAGCCACGAGCGGTGTGACCCATTTCTGTGATCGTCAGCTTGTGTCCCTTCCGACCTAGGGCTATGGATAATTAGACTTACCTCCACAATTAGCACACTTGGGGATCTGTTTGTCATATGGAAGACCGGCATCTGCCAAACGCTCGAGATTCTCTTCAACAGATCTGGGCCAGCGCTCTCTCAGGTGCGAACGCTGGGGCTTGGGGCTGAAGAAGAACCCAACCGCATAGGTGCAGCTCAGTTTGCCCTGGAGGTTAATAAGGCTGATGCATTCGCTCACCTGTCTCTCCTGTATTTACAGCTGGAGTGAATATTGTGTGTTTGTTTCTCAGAGAAGCAGCTTACCATAGCGATGAGATAGATGTTAAAGTTTTCGTCACGCATCTTCATCTCAATATCAAGGAAACTGGCCTCAGGAACCGCTTTGGAGTAGGCTTTGAGCCCCTACATAGTCGTGAGTATCGAAGACAAATCACATAAATGGAAAGCAATCAAAAAAGAATGGAGTCGATACTTCGCGGAAATCTTCCAAGTCTCTCTCAATGCTAGCCTTCTTAAGGATCGCCCACGCCTCCTCAGGAAGTCGATCGGGAATATGATTCAGGTCGAACTTGCGGTTTTCCTTGCACTCGATGGTCTTATGGCCTGTTGAATTGCTCAGAGTGAACATCGTTTCCAAGTCTCATAAACCACAGTCAGTCTGTACTTACCTTCCAGCTTGCAATTCTTGCAGATGTCAGGAGGGCGCTCAGGGCATTCAAGAGCAGGATGGCCTTCCTTATTGCAGATACGGCAAGGGCCTTTGAATACGCGAGGCTTGGTGCACTCCAACTTGGTATGACTGGAGAAATCAGCAGAGGGTCATTCAGTGTTACCAGGATCCTGATCACGTACCCTTCCTCGCCGCAGTTGAAGCAAGCCATGCCCTTACGAGGCTCGGTGCATTCGCGAGCGAAATGACCTTCACCTCCACAACTATGCTTTCTGGTCAGCCAGAGAGCTGGATTCTATCATGACACACGAATATGCTGAACTAACTTGCGGCATTTGTTGTCGGCTTGCTGTCCTTCACCAGCGCCGTAAGCAGATTCGAACCCGTTACCACCAAAGTCACCTTCAGCTTTGAAGCTATTGGGGTTATAATTTTCGTTATGCTGGAGGGCTATCGTTTCATCAGTTATTACCGGTGACCTTTGACCAAGTGAAACTGATGCCGACAAAATAATTAGCACAGAATGCTTACCTGAATCGTCACCACTGCCCCAGTCTCCCCCTTCAGCAGACCAGCCACTCATGCTGACCAGTTTGAACGTTGTTCTCGGCGAGTCTATTGTGGATTATGTCGTTAGTCAGGGCAAGGCGTGTGTGGTAGACCGAGGCTAGCTCGAGTAGACGTCTAGCCCTGTGATTGATCTTGATGGAAATAAAAGGAAGAGAAAAGGATGCTTACCCCTCTTTTTTTTTCAGAACAAGTGGCGTGCCTGATAGATTTCAAGGTAGAAAAGGGGGGGGGGGGTTGTGAAGAGAAGAGAAAGAGAAGAGAGGGAGAAGGCTTGGGGGGTCAAGTAAAGCAAACGAGGGGCTCTTTATTCACTACCAGGCAGACTTGGTACTACCTGCAGAGTCTTTTCCCCGTCAATTTGAGAGGATTTATCAGGGGAATTTCCGTAGCTGGCAATTTCTTCTTTAATTGTATTGGTCTTGACTTGCTGTGCGCCTAGATTGTCTGGAAGCAGAGACCATCGTATATCCTGATCTATACCGCTGCAGCAGAAGACTCTATTTCCTGGGATACTTGATCTAGGGCCCTGAAAGCAACGCCAAAAGGACCATTATTGAGCCCCTGGAGTGTGTTCTTCAACCTGGCACTATTTTGCGTCTCCTTCCGCCACTCCTCTCCTCGCATTGGCTGTTGATAGAGCCCAAATGTTCAGGCGCCGTACACGACCGGAGAGAGATCCTGTAGAAGCTCAAGCTCGTCTTTTGCCTTGTTTGACGCCTCTAGTTCACTAATTCTTTGTTGCTTGACGCGTTTCCCTCTCGGATCGTAACCTCGAGTCTTGGTTAGCATATACTGCAACCTGATGTTCGTACTTGGATATAAGAATTCGGTTGGACGGCTGTTGGTTACCTGGGGTTATCGTGACTCCATTGTGCTGGCCTGGGTATAGCGTTGAGTAGGGGGCATAGTCAGATACGGGAAGCCTCACAGTGTTTGATCCAAACGCTTCACGAATGAGCAGACGTTATGTCCCAGTTTGATGGAATTGAAAGAGGACCTCCTCAGGCGTCTGTCCACCTGGGAGCAGTTTTACGAGTTAGCCAGTGTTTCAGGAATGATAGGCAGAGAGCCATTTCCTAGTTTCTCTTCTTCTGTAATTACAACACCTAGACACAATATTTGCAAACAGATAGTATATTGGTAGCATCTTCTTCGGACTTGTCATGACCTATTCAGAGTAAAATGGATTTATTGGGATAGTATTCGAAGCACGATTCAATGATATCGGTACAAGGTCCCAAGGTGCTGCATGAGTGATGTGAACTGCTAACTTTGTGAAAACATCATGTTAGTAGTTTCCTTTTACAAACAATCTCCTTTAATGAATTGCACTTGAAGCTTAAAATGAAAATTAGCAATATATCTCATAATACAGTCGTTATTGCACAGCCAGATGAAGAAAACCTAAATATAACTACCAAACCACGAATCAGATATCAAAGGGTATTGATGAAACAGAACGAAATTTTTAGGCGGAGCTGGACCCTCCGGGAAAAATTATAAACCAAACTCTGCATAAAAGCGATCCTGGTTACCGGAAGAGTCTGCCCAGCAGACCTCCTGCGATGTTATTCACGATCGCCCCACCGAATGCTCTGTTAGCATAAGTAGAGGCCTGGCTGAAGCGATCACACCGGGAGAACGCTGCAGTGTTGGTAATAGTCAAGATAAGAGCGATGGCTGGATGATGTTAAGTTAATTACTACCGAAAAGCCCAAAGAAGGAGGCAAGGAACTTACCAACAAGACTCAGCCAAATCACACTGTTCAGTTTAATGATAGCCAGAATGGCAAGTCCAACCCAGAACGCAGGAGCCAGATACAGACTGAGCCAGAAAAACCGCTTATCTGTGGCTGTGATTGTACGTGTGTTGGGGTCCGACGACTCAAACACCCAGTGCGAGTCGCCGGTCGACGTATTAACTTCGTTCCACCAGCGGAGCCCGACCAGACGGCGCCCAGCGATATTCTTGAGATAGTAGAAGTCGGCGGAGAGTAGTAAGAGAGTAATAATGAAGACTAGGATGCTATTTACAAATGTCAGACGCTGGCCAAACACTTGTTCTGGAAGGGGAGGAACCTCCGGTCCCGAGGGACTGGAAAGCCCAAGTTGCATCGGGTCAGGGTAGTTGAACGTACAAGTTATCGATGAAAAGGACTCCAAAAAGATACATTAACAAGGCGCCGATGCGAAACCCCAGGAAGAGCAGGAGGGTAATCGGGTGCGCGCTGAGCCTCCAGTTCAGGTCTCCTTGTTGCGGTTGCGTCTGCGGTTGCGACTGGAGTGGTTGCTGCTCCATCGTGGAAGGCGTCGGAAGAGGGAACTGAACAGAGAATGCGGAAAGAAGACAAGTAAAAAAGACAGAGGAGCAGTAAGTAAGCTCCTCGGGGTTCACAAGAAACTCACTATAGTCCTCGTCGGTATTGAAGAAGAGGAAGCAGATGGAGCTGGTGAGGATGGTGAAGCCGTTGCGTGTCTTTACTACGAGGGCGGTAGATAATGGCAGAATTGGACGTCGTCGACAGTCCCGAAGCATCGACTGCGTACTTGTAAACGGAGAGGATGTAGGAAGAATGAATGTTCGAACTATTTCAACAAGGAATTGGGCTGAAATGAAGAGCTCTGGATTGATACCGAACGAAGCTGTGTACCCTCCGATAAGCTTATATACATACTCCGTATATAACTAGGGGCCGATCCACCCCGGAGAAGCCTTTATGCACCTCTCTTATCGTGCCATCATCACCGAGGAGAGAGACAGTCCCGGCTTTCAAATATCTTCCACTTCCCGGTTCCACACTTTCTTGTTGTCCTTGACAGGACCAGTAAAGAAGAAACCTAAGCGGGAAAGTAGAGAATCAAGTCACAATGGCGAGCCGAAACGCCCTCCGTCGCGCTCTACTCTACAGTACGTATCCCCGCATTTTGTTGTCCGGCTATATAGTCAGTCCAGCACTAACGCTATATACCATTCAGTTCCCGGCTCCTCGCAGCGCTTTATTGACAAATCACGAACTTTATCCGTGGACTGTGTCGCCTATGATCTTGAAGACAGTGTCGCTCCGCATATGAAAGCGGAAGCTCGTTCGTTGGTACGAAGAGCTCTAGACCAGCCCGTACCGGCCGGTATCCGTGAACGAGCAGTGCGCATCAACTCCGTAAATAGCGGATTGGCCCTATCAGACTTGACCGAAGTTGTACGTTCGCAATAATACCATCCTCACTGCCATACCTCTTAAAGCTAACCCTTCCCTCCTAGCTCAAATCCCCCAATCTAACGACCATCGTAATCCCCAAGGTCAACTCTGCCTCGGACCTCACCTTTGTAACAGACGTCATCAACCACACGCTCTCCCAGAGCCAAGCTCCCCCCCAATCACAAGCAGAGGCAGATGCTCTCGCCAGCCGACCTCCGATCTCCCTGCTGGCCCTCGTGGAATCCGCAAAATCACTCACCAACCTGACGCACATCTGCTCCGCCACGCCCCTCCTCCAAGGCCTGATCTTCGCTGCAGAAGACTTCGCCCTGGATCTCAGTCTTACCCGTACGCCAGCCCTAACCGAATTCCTGTTTGCGCGCTCGGCGATTGTCACCGCTGCCCGGGCCGCGGACGTCCCCTCGACGATTGACCTCGTCTGCACGACATACAAATCCACGAAAGCGGACGGGTCCCCACCGGCGGTGCTGGAAGAGGAATGCCGCGGGGGTCGCGGATTAGGGTTCAACGGCAAGCAGTGTATCCATCCGTCTCAGGTGGAAACAGTGCAGGCAATTTACGGACCTGACCCCGAGGAAGTGCAGTGGGCGGTTCGGACGGCGATCGCAGACGAGAAGGCGGCCCGAGCTGGAAGGGGGGCGTGGACGTTGGACGGGAAGATGATCGACGTGCCCGTTGCAGCGAAGGCCCGGGCGATTGTGAAAAGGGCAGAAGCTTGCGGATTCAATGTTGGGGAGCTGCGGGAGAAGTGGAAGGGCCAGGAACCCGCGTAGATTATCCGGTTGGTTTCTTGACCAGGCTGGTTGGTCTCTCTCTCTCTTTCCTTGATATTCACTGCAAATTAGAGAAATCATCCTACAGTTGATGGTGTCATTTACACCTGATATCCTGAGCGGAGCGGTAGACACGCTAGATAATATACATTCTACTACCATTCATATAACATTCCCTGGATATCTATCTATCTATCCATCTATCAAGATCAAGATCAAGATCACATCTAACACAATTGCTTCTGATGCTGTTGAAGAAAGCTGAAAATATTAATAGCTAAGCCTCTTTCTGGTACGACTTCTACACACACACACACACATATATATATATATATATTTGCATACATCCCCAAGAGTGCTTGTCATGTTACTGTTCAGACTATGTTATTGATTAGTTAACTCTAGAGCAACTTATTATTACTACTGAAGCTTCAAGTTCTTTCAGATGATGTATACCGGTGCTTAGAGTGATAAAGCAAAGGCGAGCTGGATAATCATCGCAACCGTAATAGAAGTGGCCAAATCAGTCATCATAATTATATCTTACTTCAATACAGTAGGCAGCTGAAGCCATATAGAGATCTGGGGGCTTTTTTTTTTTTTATCTACAGAGTGCGTTGCGGATACAAATGGTACTGTTACTTCAAAACCACGTCTCTCGAGTTCAATAGAAGTTGATCATTCGCGGCCGGAGTTCTTGCATAACCGCGCAGCGGAAACAAGGTGATAGAATAGGTTGGCATCAAACGGGATCATACATAGAGCGCTTTACCCCCTCTAATCCACACCCCCCTGTCCTTCGAAGCGTATGAGATATATGTTTACAGTTGGGTTATTGCTTCAAGTCCATGTCCCCTCTCTTGAGGAGCTGGATCTTGCCCATGGTTAGAACAGGCTGGTTCCCCGAAGATTCGTCTTCGTCTTTCCCATCCCCACTCTCTTCGAGGCTCCTTGCTAGGGCTTTATCGTAGCTGGTGGGATCAATGCCCAAGATTCCCCCAACATACCCTCCTCGCTCTCCTGGCACGCTAAACTCGCGGAACAAGTACTTCCACTCGTTTAGCCATGCTTTGACGGCTTTCCCAATCTTGTCCTTGCCGTTCTTAGAATGATGGCCCGTGCCGGTGATGGCATAAATGACACGTCGACCTTCCCGAGCATGCTTCAGGAGGATCTTCTCCAGATACTCAATCGCCTCCTCCGGATGGAGGCCATGGAGGTCAACATAAAGTTCCTCGGCCGCATCGTCCAAGCCAGCGGTAAGCAGGTGTTTGTTACGTTCTTCGTACAGTTGCCGTGCGGCTTCACGATGGCACTTGCGCATGGCTTCATTTTCCGCCTGGCCGCGCAGGGAAAGAGCTTTCGCTGCTCTGGCATCATTTCGATTCCAGGCTTGAGCAGCACTAAAAAAAAACAAAAAAAAAAACAAATAACTTAGTCCCCCAAGAGCACATAACTAACGACAGAACAGGTTCTTACCTCTGAAGGAACTTGTTCCTTACTGTACCATGGCGAATAGCTTCGGTTCGGTACTTGATATATTGCTGGTTGGTGCGAGAACCGGTCTCAAGCCAGGGGATGTTTTGCGGCGCCGGAATTGACTGTGCAGCCGCGCTATGTTCGCGGCCTTTGGCGCCTTCCCGGCTATGTTTCGAAGAAGATTTCCCCTTCCCGGGAGCGGGGGAGGGAGACATCCGAACCACATCTGCTAGGGATGTTGGGGTGTTGTCCCTGTTTAGATTGTTTTCCCGGTTCTGCGCTCCTCGTTTCCCGTGACTCTTCTTTCCGCTGTTTTTGGCGCCGACAGCGGCCAAAGTAGGAAAAGCATCCGGATCATCAACAGACGGAGCAGCCGGATTTAATTCACGATTCTGATGTCGGCTTCCTGGTCGTGAGTGGGGGCGAGACAGACTTGTCATACTCCCATTCCGCTTGCCATTTACAAGCTGCAAGGTGGGGGAGTTCTTACCCGCTGAAAGACCCGATAAATAACCAGGATATTTAATCCCAAGTTGGCTCACCCATTGATCGGCTGACCCAGCTGACTGCAATGGTGGAAAGGCATCCGACGCAGCATCTACAAGGAAAGTAGGTGTAGCGGACTGATCCCCAACACTAAGATTTGCGACAAGGGCGGAAGGATCATGAGAAAAGGGACACCCATCACCTGCTAAGCAATTTCCCATCACCCAATACCTATAAAGTAACAGCTGCGTAAGTCGTCTTGAACCTTATAAGGTGGCATTTGCACAACAAGTTGAATACATACTTGCAAAGGTGGCTGGTTAAATCATGGCTAAAACGGCAGTCTGCGCGGAGACATTGGCCAGTAGATAGCCAGTATTTGCACACCACCGGGCTGCGATTGTGAGCTGGAGAAGCGGTTCCTCGGGCAGAGTCCATTGACATAGACTTGCCCACCACGACGCGACTATCGCCATCTTGGAAATTCAAAGTGACCTCCCCATCGACTGATTGGGATAAGGACGCAATCGTGGCGCCGAGATCGTAGCCATTCGCAGCCAAGGCGGTTTCGATTTCATCATTCGACCGTTTATCCCCAAGGACAGTGCGTAAGATATCGTGGGGGCTCATATCCGGAACAAATTCTGGCGCCGTGGCGCTTAATCCACCATGCACACTCAGCCCTCCCAGGGATGAGGTGGTGCTGTTGGCGTCGTCGGCGACTAGCCAATCCACATTGCTGTCATTTCCAAAATCCCCGTAGAAATCCGACACCTGGCTTTGATCTGAGAACTCGTACGCGTTTAAATTGGGGGAATGCGGGATTGGCTGGGCAAGGGCGAGTCTTGGAGAGGGGCGAGGAGATGTGAAGGGCGACACAGTGGAGGATAGAGGCGGACGCGAAAAGCCACCTCGCGAGCTTTGTAACCAGGACGTACTGCCAGGACTAGTCCCTAGGTTGGAATGGGGCGACAGGGGAGTAGACGATCGAGCCATCTGCCAGGGAGCAGGGGATGAGCGACGGATGATGGTATGACGAGGAGGCGGGGGGGAGGAGTCTGGTAGGGAGCGATTTCGATGCCGCCAGAGAATGTCGAGGACAGCATTTTCGAGAGATGCCCCTGATAAGGAGGTCTTTCCACGAAGAAATTCCTCGATCTTTTCGACCTGTTCTTCTTCATCAAGGGATTTATCCTGGAGGATCTGCAAGCAATCCTCCAGGAGCTCCTCCACGACCATGCCGAGAGTGGTAGTGTCGAATGGGAAATGGAGAGATGAATAAAGTCAAGGAAGGGAGGTATAAGGTATAAGGCGGATGAGTGTCAGGGAGAGACGGGAAAGCCAGCGAGATGTGGGGTAACGGAGGATAAGGAGTCCGCAATGTAGGTAGGCAGTCAGTCGAGTGGTGAATAGTCGCAGGAAGAAAACAACGAATTAAAGGTCGGATTCCATTGTTGTTTCAGAGCATTTAGAGATATTTAGAGGATGTACAGAGTAGAGGAGGAGGATGAGGTGGTGGTGGTGGTGGTGGTGGTCAGTGAACAGCAACAGGTACGCGAAAGGGGACAGTTTACGGTCCACGGTTGATCACATCGTATCTAGCCATCAAATGAGCGATTTAGGGGGGGGGGGGAAACCAAAAAAAACACCCCACTAACAAATCTGAAACGAAGCAGAAGATTAAGAGGAAAGAAAGAGGAAAGAAAGAGGAAAGAAAGAAGACTGGATGATGGATGGATGAGATGAGATTCTACTCCGTACTAGCAGGTAGAAGAAGTCCCAAGTAAGAGTGAACGATAGGCTGAGAGTCAACCCAACGACTGCAGCTGAATCCTACTACTAGTACCTACCACGCAAATAAACTAATTCAGGATATATCTTGAAATGATACAAAATTCAAAAATCTACATCTTAAATGCATTTCAAGAGGTACGGAGTTGTTGTTATGGAGTACATGTTGTCCTGCTGAATCGTGGTCGTACGGTAAATTTCGGTATCAATGTTACCACTGGATAGCCATTAGTTTATTCCTAATAATAATCCGAATTGCTACAGTCCAACAAGAAATAATTAATTCATCCACGACTCAAGCTCTCTGGGGACTTGATTTTCAGCTTCATTCCTTGTTTTATTTTATTTTTCTGGCGCTATTTATGAAGTCTTTTGAAATCCCTAGGTGATTGCTGACTCTCTACGTCTCTCCTTCGACTAATCGACTAAGGAACAGGCAACACTTGTCTCTCTCTCGCTCACTCACACATCCAAGTCCTCCTACTTTTTCACTCATGTTCCGTTCCTCATTGAGGGTCAAGGTCTGCCCTCTTTGATCGCGACCATCGAACTCATTATATCTCATCGAATCTTATTACAGTACAACAAATAGCCCCCCTCCGGGTTTTCTGGCTCGAACCCTTCCCTTTGCCCTGCACGACCGCATTTTACCCACTCTACCCACTCGCAGATCGCCTTGCTCCAGACCACCACGGTTATCCTATCAGTCCACCTCTTGTACCTCCAAAAATGCCCGCGGACTATACATCAACTGCCCGGGCTCTCTCCCTCTCAAGTTCTCCATCAAGATCGCCGTCCCCGTTAGAGGATAATTCGCGTCCACCATGGAGCCAAACAGCGAACAGCAATCGGAATTCTACCGTCTTCCCGAACCAGAGGTCCCCTACCATGGCCGGCCAGATAAGGACCCGAGTAACAGAAATATCTCAACGCATAACCGCCGCATGGCAGAGAATGACTCTTTGGCAAAGAGTTGGAGCCGTGCTCGCTGCCATCCTCGCTAATCTCTTGGGATTTGGCTTTCTGTTCCTTACCGGGAAGGTGTTCATCTGGCTCGGCCCAGTTGCAGAAGAATGGGAGCAGTCGAAGCTGGTATTTTTGATTTTGTGGCTGGCCGTGTTCTTCGTATCATTCCCTCCGCTAGTCGGCTGGTCTACCTTTGGCACGATTTCGGGCTACCTGTTCGGAGTATGGAAAGGGTAAGTTGCCTGCGGTACCCTCCTTCGTGCCGGACTGGGCTTACGCATAAACAGGTGGCTTCTCTATGCGAGTGCAACCATCTTGGGGTCGACCTGCTCCTTCATTGCTTCCCGAACCGTCCTCTCGAAGTTTGTGCATCGACTCATGGAGCGCGACAAGCGGTTCGCTGCTCTCTCCCTAACGCTCAAGTATGACGGGCTTAAACTGTTGTGCATGATTCGCCTGTGCCCACTGCCTTACTCCATCTGCAATGGAGCAGTGTCGACTTTCCCTACGGTCCAGCCGTTGACCTACGGGCTGGCTACCGCCATAATATCCCCCAAATTGCTTGTTCCAGCCTTTATTGGCAACAGACTCCGAGTGCTTTACGAAAAGAATGAGGAGATGAGCGTGGGCTCAAAGCTTGTAAATATCTTTAGCATCATCATCTCCATCGCCATCGGTATCTTTACCGGGTTGTATATATACAAAAGGTAAGGAAGACGACTCTCCAGGTCAGGTGCGATTTGCCCCATGTCCGCTCACTTTTACTAGAACCCTGGCGCGCGCCAAAGAATTAGAGGCGAGGGAGAGGGCTGATATCCGGAATTCCCTCCAAGCCGACCACGCCGCTCACCGTCCCCACCAACCCTTTTCGGAGGATCCAGATGTCAATGCTGCAGCGACAACCTTGGCACGCGATGAGGAGGAGCGCATTGGATTCAATGATTTTGACGACGATACTGTCGATTTAGTGATTGATGATGACGAAGAAGAAGAAGAAGAAGAAGAAGAAGAAGAAGAAGAAGAAGAAAGCCCCAGTGATCGCACCCCCTCACGGAAAAAGTCCCAATATCGGGATGAGTTCACGGACAATGAGTCGGATGTCTTTCGGGATGGCGATGGAACGGATGGGGAGACATACACTCTGCATACGCATGTACGGAGGGGGGAGTAATGGCCCTAAGACTTGATATCCAGTGTTTTATGTAGCTAGACGATTGGAGTCTTCCGTAAGTATTTATGTACATCCATCTAAAGTATATAATAATAACATGCGTGTATGAATTATGTTTCTGTCTGTGATTACGATGAATCTTTTCCCTATTCAGACGGAGAAAATCCTCTGCCAAGGCTCTTCCGCTGGTCGAGAACAATTTAACGAAACTCATTGATGCGCTCTCCCTCCATCATCTTCAAGCGTTTCGTTTTTTTTTGGATTCTGATCAATCCGCTAGTCTACCAAGAATCCTCCGTTTTTCTTGACTGTGGCTTGACTAGACTCCTTTTCCTACTTCCTCTGTTCCTGGGTACCCCGTTGCAAGGGTGACTTCGGAGACCTGTAAGTCCAGCCCTCCTCCCCTCTACATATGCAGCTGCTGCTATCATGTTATCTTCCATGCAACATATGATAATTTGGAGTATTCTGACCCAGTTTCAAGGTATCTGGCGCGTGTACGCTCATCCTCAGTACCCATCGTCCTTGCGTTCCCGACATCACACAATTTCTCCTGGGACAGTGGACCGACCCACCATGGATGGATATGTTCAGATCTGATCGCTAACAGATCGCAACCCACGCAATGGATCGATATTGCCCTTCCACTCAAGTCACAATAGCCTGACTATTCCTCACCAGGTCCATACTTAGTCAGGCTTGCCTTACCTGCCCTAGAGAAAGTAGAACAATTGCCACCGACCCGTTCCGATACCTCTCTTGCTAGTAAAGATGGATGCTACCTCTCCAAAGGAGAAATTTCATCAAGATCCCCAGAATGGTGCTAGTATAAATAGCCATGGTCAGCCGGCGGAGCCACTAAATGGAACACTGGTGAGGAATGAGCTCCAACTTCCATATCCGGTACCGGCCTCAGGGCCGTCTCAGAATGGTGACTCTGTCGCGCACCCGAATAACAGCAATTTATCCAATGGACTAGGGACTAGAAATTCCGCCATAGATGACATGAATCATGGCCATGGCCACCTTGCAGATATCAAGGGGAACCTACCAAATGAATCCACCACCGCGTCCTTTTTCTCGACACCAAGCCAGGGAAAATCATCAACCGCGCCGTCGACCAATCTAAACTCCATGTCCTCGGCTCCTACCCCAGCAGATTCGAGAACAAAGGATATTATGTCGGAATTTGCCAACTATCGCCCCCGTTCCTCGATCCCAGTCCGTCTTCCGGCGCCAGTGTACGCCCAACAATGTGTGGCTGCCGCCTACGCATCTAGACTGAACCCATATGCACTCCATCAAAAAGAACAAGAGGCGTTGCAGGACCACCTGTGTCACCTTCATGTTACAGTTTATCTTAACATACGAAACGGAATACTTCGTCTCTGGACTAGAAATCCAATGGTAAGTGTGACCAAAGAGGAGGCCCTGGGATGCGCCAAGGATTACCGTTGGATGAATCTTGCTTCTTTCGCGTATGAATGGCTGGTGCGAAATGGATATATTAACTTCGGATGCGTCGAGATCCCTGTGCCCTTGCTCCCTCCCAAGAAAGGCCGGCGGAAGGAGGGCCCTATAATTGTTGTTATTGGGGCGGGCATGGCAGGCTTGGGCTGTGCGCGGCAGCTAGAAGGATTTTTCAACCACTATCGTGACACATCGACAACACCCCGTGTCGTTGTATTAGAAGGGAGACGCAGACTTGGCGGACGCATCTACTCACATCCACTACCAGGCCTTCAGTCGTCCACATTACCTCCGGGGCTAGTTCCCAAGGCTGAAATGGGCGCCCAAATCGTTGTCGGGTTCGACCATGGCAACCCCTTAGATCAAATTATTCGAGGCCAGCTGGCGCTCTCATACCATTTACTACGCGACATATCTACCATATATGATATAGATGGGTCTCCGGTGGATGAAGTCCGGGATGCCATGGACGAGAGGCTCTATAACGATGTACTCGACCGCTCGGGGTTCTATCGACACAAGTCACTTCTCGTCCCCACTGCGGAAGGAGATCGGGATCTGGTCAACACCGGGCGCGACACGTCGATAAGTGACGGCGTGACAGTGAGGCGATATGAAGAGGCCAGAGCGGCTGGCACCGTTGGGTTGTTGCTTCCTGCTAAACGTCTCCGTCGGGGTGTCGGCCACAAGACGGCGGAGATTAAACCCACCGGAGCTCCCGTACCGGACCTGGACCCTGCTGAAGAACCTCCCGCGGCCTTTGCATGCCAAACGATGGGTTGGAAACTAAATGAAGGGATTTCGCCCAAAGATAATATCGACTTGGATGCCGTCGCTAAGGCATCTCAATTTCAAACCTTGGGGAATGTGATGGATGAAGGGGTCCATCAGTACCAGCGTATGCTGCCTTTGACGCCGAAGGATATGCGACTGATTAACTGGCACTTGGCGAATCTGGAATACGCCAACGCAACAAACATTAGCAGACTAAGCCTGTCCGGATGGGACCAGGACATGGGTAACGAGTTTGAGGGTGAGCACTCACAAGTAATTGGTGGGTTTCAGCAAGTGCCTTATGGATTGTGGTCGTCCCCAACGAAACTCGACGTGCGAACCAACAAAATCGTGACAAGCATCACATATAGCAGCTCTGCTGGATCAGCGAAACAGAAGGCAATAGTCCACTGCGACGATGGGGACTCGATTACCGCAGATACGGTAGTTTATACAGGTTCTCTGGGTACCTTAAAGCACCGAACCGTGCAATTCTCACCCCCTCTTCCGGAGTGGAAATTAGGCGCGATTGATCGCCTTGGTTTCGGAGTCATGAATAAAGTGATTCTAGCATTCGACCAGCCCTTCTGGGATACGGAGAGGGATATGTTTGGTCTTCTTCGTGAGCCCAAGAACCGTGAAAGCATGGTGCAAGAAGACTACGCCGCCAATCGGGGTCGATTCTACCTGTTCTGGAACTGCATGAAGACGACCGGTCTCCCCGTTCTGATCGCGCTCATGGCTGGGGATGCAGCCCACCAAGCAGAATGCACGCCCGACGCCGAGATTATCACCGAAGTCATGAGCCAGCTCCGCAATGTCTTCAAAAATGTGGCTGTCCCCGATCCGTTGGAGACTATCATTACCCGCTGGGGCACAGACAAATTCACCAAAGGAAGCTACTCCTATGTAGCTGCCCAAGCCTTACCCGGAGACTACGATCTAATGGCCAAGTCCATCGGCAACCTACACTTCGCCGGAGAAGCCACCTGTGGCACCCATCCTGCCACCGTACATGGCGCATATCTATCAGGACTCCGAGCCGCATCACAGATCATCAACTCCATCCTGGGACCTATCCAGATCCCCGAACCCCTCGTCCCAGACAAGGGCAAGACAGTTCCACTAGGCACGGGGGTTCTTGCACAAACACAGCCCCATCATATTCCCCTTGACAATAACTCTTCATCCCTCGAAGCCCACGACTACTACTACTACTACTACCACCCTAACCACCAACAATCCAAACCTCAAAAGCCTCCAGCAACCACCCGGGCCGCCTACGAACAAGCCATGCTCGACGCAGTCTATGCCGAAACGGGGCCTCCAATCCCGCGGCCCACGCGATCTGGCCTCAACCCCTTCCTCCTCTATCAAAAAGACTTCTGGCCCAAAGCACGCTCCCAGTGCGACACGGCGCACCAAACCACCACCAAAGACCCCACTGCCAAGGCACCCCGCGACGCCGTCCGCCAGGCCCTCGGTCTGATGTGGCGACAGGCCAGCGAGGAAGAAAAAAGGCCCTACCTCGAGCAAGCCGCCTTGAACCGGCAAGCAAATGCGGAGATCTCGGCCCGGTGGCGCCTGGATTCGGCCCAGTGGGCGAAACAGTCTTCGAGTGCGAAAAAGAGATGGAGAGAAGCCAACCCGTTTGAGTCTTGGCTCGGTGCTCCTGCTCCTGCGGTTGTTGAGCCTCCTACTGGCGAGGAGCCGCCGTTGAAGAAACTGAATCCATCCCCTTCTCTTCCTGTTTCTGCTCCTCTTTCTTCCCAGGGGAACGGGTCGTAGCGAGAGTATCAGAACCCATTCATGTGATATACCCGATTCGCCTCTCTCTCTCTCTCTCTCTCCATCATTACTAGACTCTAACCTAGAGTAGAAGAATGAATTCTGTGATATTTATGCCTCTCCTAGGGTATCATAGGCGATCACGTGTTATGCATGCATACATGGACTACCCAACGCGCCCGAGCATCAGCTATGAGATCTTCTGTTTTTAACTTATTTTACTATCGTGTATTTTACACTTTCTGTATTCAAGCAATGCAAGACTATGTATGTACTATGCTGAAGTTGTTTCAAGAGTCCTCAGAAGGAGGGTTACTCTATCATTCTATTCTATGTGTAATGGCATTCATGAATCATGATCAGACCATACATATGCAGAGAATGCCATCATCAAGAGCAGCAGCAAGTTCAGTATGTTATTACTGCGAGATCGTCAAAAAAGAAAAAAAGTAATCAGAGACCACCACTCAATTGACAGTGCAGTAGTTTAGAAGAAAAAAAAAAAAGAAAAAAAAAAAAAAAAGGCGCTGAAGTCTAGTAGATAATAGTATGAACAGAAGAAAACAAAACATCCCAGGGACATGCCAAATGAGGAAATGAAATAAGGGAAAAGGGAGGAAGGAAGAAATGATATGACATGACATGACATGAAAAGAGTCCAGGTAGGTATATGTTGATAGGAGATGAAAGGGAGGGGGTGTTTTGTTCTGTTCTGTTTTGGGTTTTTTTTCTATCCCAGAGCAAAAGTTTGATTGGAGGGCTAAAATGTGCATGATGAGTAGTAGTGGTTAGGAGGAAAGGGTGAAATTCAAGGCGGCTCGTTTCGATATTTAAAGAACAGGGTTGGCAGCGGCAGGCTCCTCGTGGGATTCGCCCTCGGAGATGAACTTTTCTGCATCCAGAGCAGCCATGCAGCCAGATCCTAGAAATCTGTTAGTGAGCCGTTCTTGAAGTGCATTTACTCATACAAAGGTAGAACAAGGAACTTACCAGCACTGGTAATGGCCTGGCGGTAGCGCTTGTCTTGCACATCACCGCAAGCGAAAACTCCCTCGAGGCTGGTAATGGTGCTGCCGGGTTTGGTCTTAATGTAGCCATCCTCGTCGAGCTCGATCTGGCCCTTCACCAGGTTATTGGCAGGGTCGTGGCCCACAGCGTAGAAGAGACCGTTGGCCTCAACAACCTCCTCGGCACCGGTGACGGTGTCCTTCACACGGAGGTGGGTCATCAGGCCATTAGGCTTGTTCTCTCCGAGAACCTCGGTAGCAACAGAGTTGAAGCGGACCTTGACCTTGGGGTGGGAGAGGAGACGGTTGGCCATGGCCTTGCTGGCACGGAGCTTGTCGCGACGGACAAGGACAGTGACGCCGCTACCATACTTGGCCAGGAACATGGCCTCCTCGGCAGCGGAGTCACCACCACCGATCACGAACAGGGGCTTGTTGCGGAAAATGGGCACAGCACCGTCACAGACAGCGCAGGCACTGATTCCGTTCTGCCAGTAGGTCTCCTCACCGGGAAGGTCAAGGCGACGAGCGTTGGCGCCAGTAGCGATGATAACAGCATCGGCAGTGCGGGCAGGCTCGTTCTCAGGGCCATCGTTCCACTCAGTCCACAGCTTGAAGGGACGCTGCGACAGGTCCAACCTGGAGATGGTCTCGGTGATCACCTCGGTTCCAAACCGGATGGATTGTTTGCGCATATTGTCCATCAGCTCTGATCCACCAATGCCGTCGGGGAAACCAGGGAAGTTTTCGATATCGGTAGTGGTGGTGAGCTGGCCACCGGCAGCAGTACCATTGGCAAGCATACCCTCATAGAGGACAGGTTGGAGTTCTGCTCGCGAGAGGTATATAGCGGCGGTATGAGCGGCGGGGCCGGAGCCAATGACTTTGGAGGGGAAAGGAAGGAAAGGTCAGTGATAGGAGAAAGGGGACACATAAGATGGATGGCACTTACTAACTACTTTGCTGTGTACCATCCTGGATGTAGAATTGACGCGCAGGGGCGTCGAGAACGGGGTTGATAAGGCCGAGGCAGAGGAGGGAGAGTTCTGGTGAAGGGGGGACGCAGCGGCAGCGGTCAAGGCGAGGGAGGATCTTAAAGAGGAGAAGAAGGGAAAGCGACGGAAGGCTGAGGAAAACAGATTGGCGGTTTTTATTTCCAAGGCAAAAAGAATCGGAAGACAGGTCTCGAGAGACAGACGGAGGGGAGGAGGGGAGGGTTTTAATGGCAGCAAAGAGGGGCAACTGGTGGAGACGACCAAGAGGACGAAAGAAGGGCTGGACGAACAGGATTAGCTAAGAGGAAGGACGAAATAATCTGATAAGGGATAGTTAGGGATAGTTAGTTAGTTAACTTACCAAGCAATGATCTGTAAGCGAAAGACTGACGAGAAACCGCAAAAGGAGGAAATGAACGACTTGTGAGGCCCGAAAATTTGCGTCCGAAATCCCGATTTGCGAGTTTGCCCCGTCGAGGCCCGGTCACGTGGCAGGCCGAGACCGCGGTTGATTATCGAGCAGATCCGCATGTCTTTTCCTACACGCACTGCCTGCATCTGTTAAGAAGGAGAATGGCACTATCAATGCCGTGTATCCAATGTTATGTGGGGGGGAGGGGGGTATATACAAATGCAGGGTATCTCATCTCAATCATCAATCATCAATCATGTCATAGATAGATATACAGCAAGAAAAACAAAAAAGAAAAGAAAAAAGGGCAACCTCTTTTGGTTTACAGCCGCCGGCCAAACCACTTCCTCCGTTTTGGATTCTCTTGGACGTCAGGTTCGGGTTCCAGGTCTAGATCAGACTCATATTCGTCATCGAGAGGTCCATGGCCATGCGCTCTGGCTTCATTGACCTCCTCCTCCCCTTCTCTATTGTACTCCTCTCCCTCGTCATTGAACCCGTATTCCGCTTCGTTGTTGTCGGCCGCTGAATGCTTGCTCGCGTTGTTTCGACGCATTCCGAGCCATTTTCGCCATCCCTTGGTAATTGGTGCCGCGGGGGGATCGTACTCAGTACCGTCATACCATAACGCAGGAACGAGGAGTTTGTACGGTGCTGTGATACCCGATGGGTCTTTAGGGTTAAGTTCGAGGTTCAGAGTCACAGCTAATCCTCCTTCTAAGTTGACAAAAGTACCTGCGCCATCGTTCTCCCGTTTAGCAGCTTTCTTGGCTGCCTTTTGGCTTAGGTTCGTGGGACGGCGAAGGAATGGACCAGGCCGGAAGTCTTCAGGGGGCGGGAAATAAGATTCGCCTGTTCCTGCCGGGGGCAAAGATGAGTCCATACTCATCCGTCGGCCAGCAGCGGCTCCGCCGAGGTTGAATTCCTTGGTTGGAGGGCGTCCTTTGTGTGAGAGTCGTCGAAGAAGGCCACCCTGAGGCCTATCTCCACGGGTTAATGACAGAGTTCTCTGGAGCATGTTCGGGCGCGGCTCCTCTGGAGTAGGTGATGATGCTTCGGTTTTTGGAGTTGCTGCTGGTGTAGAGCCTAATTTCAGTTAGATGGGTTGCTTTACAGAAAAAAAAAAAAAAAAAAAGGGACCCATGATAGATACCTACCTGGCTGATATACACGAATGGAACACCAGTTCCGCCGTGGTAGCAAGCGCTTGTTATTTCGTGCCTTGTTATTCACATCATGTGTGAAAATAGGTATCATGTCTTCGTCCGTGTTGGTGTCCATATGGTGGACGTGATTACGTCTGTTAAGTGTGTCCGAAATCATTTCGGTTGTGGGCATGTCTGCAATTCCGGATGCAATGATGTTAGGCATGTATCGATAGTCTTTATCTTTGGGTATATTCAAGCTCGGGTTTGAATAAAATTGTCCTATTGCGGCCAGATGCACATCACCACTATAAGCAGGTTAATAATCAGTCTTGCCCAGGAAACCAAAAATTCTATCCCATACCTTAAAATTGTTACTCGAATAGATTTCTCCGCAGCCAAATCTTGGAGGTCCTCTATCAAGTATGTCCGTTCGGATTTGTGGTGTTTGGCTGTCCAGTGGTCATCAAAAATCTCAACTTTACCGCCGTGCTTGTTAACGAATCCGCCAAATAAACCAGCTTTACCGAGTGATTGGCGGCTATTGAGGATGTTCTTGACTACCGCCTACACGAATAGTTAGATAAGAAGAAAGCATTCGGAAAGACTTCGCAACATACCACTCGAGGATAGGCAACCGGAATGCTCGACAACACTATTAAATGCTTGGTTTCACCTTTTGTAAGTTCACGGTGGCATCGGTCCCAAATCAGATCAGTAGTATGTTCGGTTAATATTTCGTCACACTATATCTTGTCAGCATCGGTTCGTGCCTTGCCTGCGACTGGGCTTTATATCCTACCATTCGTTCCGTTCTGCAGTCCAATCCAAGAAGAGCCATCCCACCACCGAGGGACAGGAAGATATTTCGACTGCGTTGGTTAATATACGGCCCTGGCTCTGCTCCAAGAAGCCAGCTAGGTTCGTCCACCTCAGTTTCCTCTGGCACACTATGATGCTGGAAGAGCAAGTAATATTTGAAGGCAATATTACCAAGTCCCGAGATTACCGGTGAGCTCATAAATTCATCCGGATAGGACCCGAATCCCTCAAGAATTTCATGGTCATTCCAAATGTTCACCATGGGTATTTGAGAGCTGGCAAGGGAGAAAAGACCCTGAGAGAACCACCTCGAGTAGTTCTCCAGATAGGACATTTCCAATTCGGCCTTGAATTCCACGTGGAGCGGAGCGTCGTATTTGTCATAACTATCTTTGATCTTAAGCCATTCCTGGAAATGCAAGGAGTTGGCAATAACATTATCGTTGAAGATCTGATCTCCACCTCCAATCATCACATGGAAGGGCCGAGTTTGATGTTCGTTGAGTACATCTCGCCACAGAGGGTCGGGGCCACAGAACTTGTTCGAATCTACGCCTGGGGTGAAGCCGTTGCAGGAATGGAACATGATATTCATCGACTGGCCTTTGGCGGGCACCCAAAACCCGATAGCTGGTCCTTGGTTTAGACGATATGCAACCCGCTGTTGCTTCTCCCCGAGCTCAATCTCAATGTTGAACCTCCAAAACGTGACATCTCTCCCGGAATCAGCATACAGACGGAAGCCAGTAATCTCTTTGTACGTTCCAGCCGTCTCGCCGTCCATTGAATGAATTCTATTGGCCGGGATTGGTTGTTTGGTTCCCTCGCTGTTGTGGTCAACAGCGCTGGCGGACATTTCGTAGATGCCATCGTCGCTTTCAACCAAGGAAAGATCTAGTTCTTCCTCCGTATGTTCAACCGGCTTCACGTAGAGAGGGCGCCCATCACGACCTAGCTTCATCAGCCCAGCTGTTGGGTCGATATATTCAGGCGCAAGCTGCACCCCCTCGCTGTTGATCTCCGCAGGAGGGGGAGGAAGAATGTCCATCGGCTGGGAGAACAACCGTATGGTAGGTCGCGGTTCATATGAGGAGACTGAGTCCTTCGTGACAATTAATATGCTGCCTCTCCAGGTTTCTTTCTCAACCGGCCCATGGGGTCCATCGACTCGCACACGTTTCAATCCAGTGTAGCGAAGCAAGGGCCCACACTTCAAAAAGATTAAGGGCTGGAAACGCTTGTGGGCTGCTAAGAGTTAGTTCTGATTTGACATCCAAACCAAGTCCATCTCGGTGGCTGTTGTTGGGTTTAATAACTTACATGTTAACTTTTGAGCGGGTGGCTTTTGATAATTTTTCGGGAGCGCTCTACTCTGCCTGCGATTCTGGGTTTCCCCCCCCTCCCACCAAGCCTTGCTCTTGTCAACATCCAGGTTCTGAAAGTCAAAATCGGACATATTGAGTCGTCCGGTTGGTGCAGTCTTCCATTCTGATAGAGGAGGGGGTGTTGGTGGTGGAACATTGAATGAAACGGTATTTCGTTTGGGCTTCGATTGCGAGTTTTGGAGCTTGTCAAGTCCTCCGAGTTCTACCGATTTTTCGACATCCCAAATCTCATTTGGGTTGTTCAGATTGGTGACAGCAGGGCCGGTAGTAGCTAGGTCTTGAAAGGGTTGTCCGTTCGTTCCCACCTGTTGCAGGCCGCTACTGGGTGCCGAAGCCCAGCCCTTATTGTTGAAGGAATGATGCCCAGGTTGTTGTTGTTGCTGTTGTCGATAATTTTGGCCACTGTCAGGCATTCTTGGAGGACCCGAGGGGACAGAACCACGAGAGAGGGGGTTGCGGTTAATTGGACCTTGGTTCTGGTTCGGTGCCTGGGGAGCCATGCGCGCTCCATCAGATTGATAATTGACAGAAACTGAGCGTCGTGGGACGGTGCCCGCTTTCACCACCTGCGTGCCCCGAGGCTTATTTCTAGCATACTGCGATTCTTCCAGTGGGCGTGCCACAGCAGGCTGAAAAGCCGGTGCTCCACCGCGGGCAGTCCTAGGTCGTTCGCGAGCTGGCTCCGGCTGGGCACTTATATTCTCTAGTTCCTCCTCGTTTCGGCTATCAGGTTGTTTTACCTTCTGGGTAGAAGACCGGGGAGGAGAAGAAGAAGAAGCACCCGGTTGAGGCGCGATTGGCACTGGAGGCACAGGGTTTACTGCAGATTTGGCGGATGCTGCCGCCATGCGCTCCTTCAGCTTTCTCTCGGCCTCCAGAGCACGCGCTCGCTTTTCTTCTTTACTGATTCCGCCCAAAGCTACTTCAAGCTTTTGGAGCGGTGATCGATCCGAAGCCCAGTTATGCTGTTGGTCGCTGGAAGTACGCACAGTATTTGAACGACTCAAAGGCGAGGAGTGGAATTGCGAGACAGGCGATCCTTTGTTAAGGTCTTCCTCTTGCATCGCGAATGCCGGGGCAATTGGTATATCATGGCTTTCAGGTAGCGAGGAGGGATCTAGACCAGGTGGTTTGTTAGTCGCTTTCACAAAATGGGAGTCAGTCGGAAACTAGACATACCAGAGCTTATTGCTTGAGTGACTGGACGAGATCGGGAGGTCGGTTGGATCGTGGGATTGGATTCATTTGCGTTATCGTAGTTCTTCCCGGAAGGTCCTGGGCTTTGGGAAGATTGTCTTCCCTGGGATGGAACTTGCGATATCCCATCCATCGGGTTGCCATCCATCGAGCCTTGATAACTTTCTGTTGCCATTTTGCAAGCGCTCGGCCCCGTGCTTGTGACACTGTTGTTTCAAGGGATAGCAGCTAGGTCGGATATATTGTACAAATTCTCAATTCGCACCTCACTACTCCGTACTCAATGGCACAATTGCCGGTAGAGTCGGAAAAGGTGTGTGCGCGCTCTCTCTCAGCTTCAGTACCGTCGAAACCCAATTGATACTATGAATCAGATTGACATTTTTTTTCAGCAAGATAGGCTTGTGAATTTTGCTGGATTCAATGCGGTGAATGAACCGAGAGATCGCTGGGTGTGAGAGGTGCCTAGAGTGAGCTAACTGAGGCTGAATCCGAAGTATACACGAGGAGCGTCGTCAGCTGTCGGAGAGGGCTCAGCAGAATTATACGAGGAGGGAAATGGAAGATAGAAATGACATCAAAATTCTGCGATAAATCAGACAAGGAGATCACAGGGAAGAAGATGGAGAGTTGACCGGCATTATGTCCAACCAGATGGGAATTATATTTGGGGATGATGCATGGCATCGTATAAGTCGGTGGCTGGCAGCCCAGCCTTTCGTCTTCTCATGTAACTTGCGGGGCTGCATAATGAGAACCCGCCAGGCACTGTCAAATCCATTGGTTTTTTTTTTTTTTTTTTGTCTTTTCTTTTCTTATTCATGTTTTGGAATCATTAAGGCAGGATTATTTATATGATCCTTTGTTTCTCGCGATTCTCTGGACTGTGCGCTCCATAGAAACTTGATGTATGTGCAACCCCCCGAGAGTGTCAGTGAAATTGCTGTCATGGCTGTCAGTGCTGTCAGATGAGTGTCAAATTATGATCTGAATAATTCATTTTAATTTATATATATATATTTAGGAGAGAATCAGTTAGGTTAATACGGACTGTACCTAGGACCTAGGTAGTCTTATACAGATTCCTCCATCACCACATATAAAAGCTAGCGACAGGAACCACATTCTAGAACTCACCTAAAATATGAATTTATCCCTTTCCTTTGCCAAGTTCCTCAACTGTAACATTTTATACACATTCGGGTAAGAACAAAATGACGCCATACATAGTTAATCCATCCAATAAGCAAATCGATCCGACCCGTGTCTTCTTAGTGCCTGACAATTCAGGAATCTAGAGTCAGGAGGCGGTCGCTGCCTCAGGGTTCTAGGCTGTACGCAAGTGTTTTGTATCACCACGTCTCTTACACCCTACTAGTTGAACGCCTTCCGGTCTTCTCTCCTCTGTTCTTTTTTTATTCTTGTGTCTATTATTCATATTTGTCTTGTCCACGTTCTAGAAGTTCCCTTTTCTTTCTCCACCGAAGAAATCTCCGTCGTTTCACCATTGTGTCTGTCTAGGGGATCCGGGCTTGTTCGATGCTAACTTTCTTATTATTTGTCCTCATCTCACCTCACTGAGAAGGAGTCTTCTTATCCTCCTGCTGTCTCCACCATGCGTTTCTCTGGTGGTGCAGCAGTAGCGCTGAGCTTCTTCTGTGCTGCCTCCGCTTCTGCTTCTCTCCACCCTCGTCGTTCCTATGAGACTCGGGACTACTTCGCCGCCCACCTCGACGCATCCACCTCCCCGTCGGATATCGCTCAACGGTTAGGCGCCCGTCATGAAGGCCAGATTGGAGAGTTGGTAGGCCACCACACATTCTCCATAAGAAGGGAGAACGGCGCCGAGGTGACAGCACTCCTGGATGAAGTGACCGCCCGGAGAAAGCGGCGGAGAGGTGATAGTAGCAACTACCCAGCCAGCTCTCTGGATAAAAGGGTAGAGGATCTAGCAGGGATCCTCTGGTCTCAAAGGTTAGCGCCGAAGAAAAGATTAGAGAAGCGGATGCCGCCTCCGGAGATCTTTCCCAGAGCTTCCGTTGACAATCTGGAAAACCCCGAAGCTGTTCAGGCGCGGGAGGAACTTATTTCTTCTCTTGGGATCGCAGATCCGATCTTTCCGTCACAATGGCATTTGTTCAATTCCGTACAAGTGGGCCACGACCTAAATGTTTCAGGGGTCTGGCTGGAAGGCATCACAGGAAATGGTGTAACAACTGCGATTGTTGACGATGGACTGGATATGTATAGTGATGATCTCCGCCCGAATTACTTTGCTGAGGGCTCCTACGATTTTAACGACCACACTCCCGAACCGAGACCTCGACTTCGGGATGACAGGCACGGTACAAGGTGTGCTGGTGAGGTTGCGGCTGCAAGAAACGAAGTATGTGGCGTTGGTGTTGCCTATGATAGTCGCATTTCCGGGGTTCGCATTCTTTCTGCAGCCATTGATGACACTGATGAAGCAAGCGCTATCAACTATGCTTACCAGAAAAATGACATCTACTCGTGTTCTTGGGGCCCTCCTGACGATGGTGCTACCATGGAAGCTCCCGGGGTTCTGATTAAACGAGCGATAGTAAACGGTGTCCAGAATGGCCGGGGCGGCAAAGGGTCGGTCTTTGTGTTCGCAGCCGGAAACGGTGCGAGCTCCGGAGACAATTGCAACTTTGATGGCTACACGAACAGCATTTACAGTATTACAGTTGGTGCAATCGATCGAGATGGCCGCCACCCATCTTACTCGGAATCTTGCTCTGCACAGTTGGTTGTGGCCTACAGCAGTGGGTCGACGGACGCGATCCACACGACCGATGTTGGTACTGACAAGTGCTATTCCCTTCACGGAGGAACCTCCGCGGCTGGTCCCTTAGCTGCGGGTGGTTTGGCCCTTGCCTTGAGTGTTCGCCCCGAACTCACATGGCGCGACGCTCAATACCTGCTGATTGACACCTCTATCCCAGTCCATGAAGATGATGGTAGCTGGCAAATGACCAAGTCTGGCAACAAATTCAGCCACGACTGGGGATTCGGCAAACTCGACCTCTACAGCCTCGTGCAGAAAGCCAAGAGCTGGGATCTGGTCAAGCCACAGGCATGGTTTAACTCTCCGTGGTTACGGGTACAACATGAAATCCCGCAGGGTGATCAGGGCCTTGCGGGCTCGTATGAGGTTACCGAGAATATGATGAAAGACGCAAACCTGGAGAGGTTGGAGCACGTCACCGTAACAATGAATGTGAATCATACTCGCCGTGGTGATTTGAGCGTGGAACTACGCAGCCCTGAGGGCATTGTCAGCCACTTAAGTACTTCGAGAAAGAATGATAACGCGCATTCTGGATACGTTGACTGGACATTTATGACTGTTGCCCATTGGTGAGTAATATTTATCATTAACTTTTGTTTTACCTTCCTGACCTCTCCATCTAGGGGTGAGTCCGGAATTGGCAAGTGGACAGTCATTGTCAAGGATACCGTCGTGAACGAGCATGTTGGTGAATTCATTGATTGGCGTCTCAACCTCTGGGGAGAGGCTGTCGATGCATCCAAACAAAAGCTTCATCCTCTTCCAGATGAGCACGACGATGACCACAATGTTGAAGATAGCGTTGTCGTCACAACGAGCATCAAGCCAGCTCCCACCGCCACAGAAGTCGAAGATCAGCCCACCCATACGGTGACTCGCCCTGTCAACTCAAAACCTACCTCTACAGAGACCGGCACTCCTGATGAGGCTTCTTCAACAGAGCCTAGCGCAAGCTCCAGTCCTACCCCGTCGTCGTCCGCTGACAGCTTCCTTCCATCCTTCTTCCCTACTTTTGGCGCCTCTAAGAGGACACAGACATGGATTTACGCCGCTATTGGATCCATTATCGTATTCTTCATTGGGCTTGGGATCTACTTCAACGTCCAGCGACGCCGGCGTCTACGCAACGATCCTCGCGACGACTATGACTTTGAAATGATCGAGGATGAGGATGAGACAAAAGCAATGAACGGAACATCTGGCCGTCGGCGCGGTGGTGAGCTCTATAATGCTTTTGCCGGCGAAAGCGAGGAGGAACCTCTTTTCAGCGATGAGGAGGACGATGGGCCATATCATGATCAAACGGCTAGAGCGGAAAATGGACGTAGAACCAGCACGGATTTGGATGATACCCGGTGACATTTTGATACGTTGTTTTCTTTGATATTACTTTTGGGTTTTTATTTTTATCTCCATCTGTATTTCTTACCCTCCTATATTCCTACCGCCATTCTTGGATGATTCTTGCATTGCATTCTCTTTGGACCCGGTAGGTCCAAAGGCAAGTGTACATACATATAAAGAAACCACTTAGAAACTGGGTTAAAAACAGTAATTAACCCTAGAATCAAGGTTTATAAAACCAAGTTATATCGCGAATGCGCTAAAACGGCTGGCAAGCTCCTCAAAATCCGGCAGGCTCTTAGTTAGTTAGCGGATGATGCGATGACGCTGTTGTTGCGCCCAGCTCCCGTTCTCCAATTGCTCAACTTCCACCTCCGCAACTCCCCCGCCGCCTCAACCACGACCATTCCGGCTGACCAACCTCCTGCTTTACCACCAATCATCCTCGATCTGGATCTGGATCTTTACTGTGTTGACTCCCACTTGTCCCGTTCAGCTGTGAAGCAGCGTTTTTATTGCATATTTTCCCCTATCGACCCCGGGCGGTTTCTCTCGTCAGTCGTTCCGCCATGGATCAGCACGACGACTTCGATAGCGTCTCGTGGCGACATGAGCCAGACAGTGATATCTCACGGCCTACGACATCGGGCACTGATGTTGAAGAATCACCCGAATCCCATCGTGATGTCAATGGCAAACGAAGGATGAGCTCAACCAGTGAACCACCTCAGGCGGGGCCCAACGCCGACGCCGTGGATCTGGCAGGAATCGGAGATGGGATGTTAGAATGCAGAGTCGACTCGCCTTTAAAGGAGAACGATGGCACTAAGGATGCATATATATCGTATTTGGTGACTACACATGTAAGTGCTCTCTCTATTTGCGATTATCACTCTGGGTTGTATCTAGCTGCCTAGTGAAGGACGTTGGAACCATGTCCTAACCGGCTCACGACGATAGACCGATTTCAAGTCGTTCCACAAATCCGATTTTACCGTGCGACGACGGTTCACCGATTTCTACTTTCTCTATAAGACGCTATACAGGGAATATCCTGCCTGCGCGGTACCCCCATTACCGGACAAACATAAGATGGAATATGTACGGGGGGATCGGTTTGGACCGGAATTTACGACTCGGAGAGCATGGTCTTTGCATCGATTCTTGAAACGCCTGACGCTTCATCCGGTTCTTCGTCGCGCACCACTCCTGGCTGTCTTCCTAGAGTCTCCTGACTGGAACGCGCACATGCGACTCCGGACATCTCGGTCCTCAACTGCTGGATCGGATAGCGGCGGAGCAACAGGGATCTTTGACAATTTTACAGATACCTTTGTGAATGCTTTTACCAAGGTTCACAAGCCCGACCGCCGGTTTATTGAAGTGCGAGAGAAGGCAGACAAGCTAGACGAGGACCTCAACCATGTGGAGAAGATTGTGGCCCGGGTTGCTAGACGAGAGTCCGATCTAGAGACGGACTACAATGATCTCGCGACCCAGTTCCGCAAGCTTGTACCTCTAGAGCCAGACGTTGAGGTGCCTTTGCAAGTTTTCGCTGCCTCCGTGGAAGAAACCGCCAGGGGGGTTAAAACGCTCAAAGACCACACTGACCAAAACTACCTCGGCTCACTTCGCGATATGGAAGCCTACATAGTGTCTCTCAAATCGCTCCTGAAGACTCGCGAGCAAAAACAACTCGACTTCGAAGCTCTCGTCGACTACCGCAACAAAGCGGTGGCGGAGCGAGACACCCTTGCCACAAACCCATCTTCATACTACGCCTCCAATCCGCTTACCTCGTCCCCAGCCTCGTTCATCAGGTCAAAGATGGAAGACATGCGTGGAGTGGACCATGAACAGTCGCGCCGGGAACGAGTGCGCAAGCTAGAGCTACGCATTGACGAACTTACCCGCGAGGTTGAGTCGGCTAAAACAACATCCGAAATGTTCGATGAGGAAGTGGTTCGTGAAGTTGCAGACTTCGAGAGAATCAAAGCGATTGAGTTCCGGGATACTCTGGGAGCCCTAGCAGAGAAACATATCGATTTCTACCAAGGAGTACTCAACACATGGGAACGATTTGTCGCTGAGATGGAAGGGGACTTGGACGACAACCTTTGAGGCCTCTCAAACTCCAGGCGAGGCTGGAGGCAGATAGACCTTACCCCAACTCCCCCCCCCCCCCTTCAAGTCAAGATGAGGCTGTTGAACGCTGCCTTGGGATTTTTCTGGCATTCTTATCTGCTTGCTATTTCTTCTAATGTCCTTGGAGAGCACAAGGATGGATGGGCCCATGATGTTGATGTTTACGACGTATAGTGCTCGCTTCAGTCTTTTAATCTAGGCATTCTTTCATACCCACGATACATTATTAATATCCATACGTTCCTAGGCTAAGGTGGTTTCCCAAGAGGTATGAACTCGACTGCAAGCCAACAAGGTCCTGATTTCGAACTCCCGTCATATGCTCAAAACCGGTCCCTCACCCTTTGATTCTCTGCACACTCGAAATCGAGCGGACTCGGGTCCCCTCGAGGATCAGAGACAGCCGGGTTCAACGCTCGACGCACCCACTCCTAGCAATTTGTTTTTCATAAGACCAACGAAACAACGCCATAAAAGCAGTATACGTAGAAGCTCAAGGAACTTGAAAAATAAAAACGCACCTCACGGTAAAGTTGGGGGGGTGTTTTGTTCTTCTTGGTGTCCTCTCCGGCCGTCAACTGTAAATAAACCTCTTGATCGTAGTTGACGGCAAAGGGGGCCTTGGGATTGTGAGCGAAGTTCGCGCTGAGATACAGAGATTGTGTGTCATGAGAAGAGGCTGTGGAATTGGATTTAGAGGCGGAGCCGGATGTTGTCTTTAAGGGGGAGGGCGCCGGAGCAGAACTGGAGCCAGAGCCAGAACCTGAAATAGAAGCTGAAGGGGAGGAGGTAGAAGCCATCGTCCACGGTATGTTAGAGGCCCTCTTGCTGCTCCTTGTCGACAAAGTAATCTTGACGGGGTCGAAAAAGATGATGTCAACCTAGGTCCCAGGTAGAGGTAACTAACGACACGACCCACTAGTTAGCAGTAGATCGATTCTCTTGTGTCTATATAAGTTTTTTACCTGGAATCTGGATATCGTAGCAGTCAGTACCTTCCACAAGAACGGCGAACGAACCACTTTCTACACGCCACTCACCCTCGCTCCTCAGCTTAGTAGATCCATTGTTGCTTATTTCCCCATGGTAATGAGCGATCAATATGTATCCATGCCTTTCTGCCCACCTAAACCGCTACCTGCTTTAGGTGCGCCACACATTCTTCGCGATCACACATTCTTTGCGATTTTTTAATATTTGAAGCTATATAATAATAATAATACTAGTAATTAAAATAAAAAAACTCTCTAACTTCTTTAGTATATCTTGTATTATTAATTCCTCTTTAAATTAACTCCTATAAGTATAGAGGGGATAAAAAATTATATACTTTCTTTTTTTACTTTACTAACCTTCTCTACTTATATTTAGTATTCTTTGCCTTCCTATCTTTAATTAATTAAATAGTATCATAAACTCTTAGAATCCTATTACTAGATAGACCTTTAATCTAGCACTTAGTATAAACCTAGTATTAAGGCTCTTATACAGCCCTAATCCTTTAAATTATTTTTTAGGTTATTTTTAGCTCCTCAAGCTTCTCTACCTAATATTAAAAGAGTTTTAATATATTTTACCTTGCCTAGTTAAATATCTTATCAAGTTTCTTTATAATCTTTGCCTAATTCTTTAGAAGAGCCTTTATTATTACTAGAGGACTATTTTTAATGCTAGAGGATAGTAATAGTAGTAGAGATAGAGTTTAATAAAGATTAATTAATATATCTAGTATATCTATCTAATTTGCTAGTTTTTTAATAATTTTAGTATTATTAACTAGCTAGATACTATATTCTTTAAAGGTATTTTAAATAATTTACTAGTAAAAGATCTAGTTATAGATTAGCTAGATAATCTTTAAGAATTCTATTTTTTTATATAGTTTATCTCCCTATTAAGATAGCTTATTATTCTTAAAGTAAAAATTAATCTTATAAGTAAGAAAAGGTTTTCTATTAAGAGGTTAGTAAAGATATATTAAATAAGTTATAAAATTAAAGAAAATAATATTATTTTTCTTATAATATTATAAAAATTTAAGTATAAGGTATAAGCTATAATTATTAAATATTAAATATTATTTCTTGCCTTACTTAGTATAATTAGAATACTTTATTTTAGTATTAAATTAATATAATTAAGCAAGTACAAGCTTATTAATTATTTAATTATTTAAGAATATTACTATTATTATTTTAAGTAGTAATTATTCTATATTATAATACTAGATCTCTATATAATTACTTATTACTTTAAAAATAAAAAATAAATCTATTACCTAACTATTTATAGTAATATATTTAACTATAGTAATATTTTTATCTTACTTACTTTCTACAAGATTAAGGTATTTAGGACCCTTAAAAACCTTCTTATTATAACTTTTACCTAGTTAGAAACTATATTTATTAAAATTATAGATAAGGTGAGCCAGGACCCTATAAAGAAGTAATTTTAAAAGATTATACTAATATTAAAGTAAGCTAGTATCCTTTACTTATATCTACCTTAATTTCTTAGTCTTTTACTTTACTAGAGTAAGTTCTAGATTTACTAGTATATATAATTTAAATTAATATAGCTATATCTTACTAACTTACTTATTTAACCCTATACAAGCAAGTATTTAATTTACCCATGCTATAATAACTACAGGAGTTAGTAGGATATTCTATTTTTATATTTATATAATCTAATTAATTAAGGCCTTCTCCTAATATGGCTGTAGAAGATTCTTATTTATTATTATTAGTATTACTAATATCTTTAGTTTTTTAAGGCATGTTTAAAATATAAAGTTAGGTATATTAAATTCTTATATAATCTTTGCAATATTTAGTTTTTTTTACTTTTAAACTATGGTAATAGCTTCAAGCAAGTAAGATTTATTAAAATCTAGAGATTTAGGTATATTGTGTTATAATAATAATAAAAATAAGTTAAAATATTAAAAATCGCGAAGAATGTGTGATCGCGAAGAATGTGTGGCGCACCTAAAGTGGGTAGTGGTTTAGGTGGGCAGAAAGGCATGGATAGAATGTAGGTTTGTGTTTCAACCTCACGCTCTGAAGCAAGTGATTAGTGCACCGGGTGTGGCGGAGTGAAACCCGCGTCAGACTGGCGGTGGCAGTGAAAATGTGCAACCCCTGTGGGATGGAGATATCTAGTTATAGGTTCAAGCATGTATGATTAGCTATTAATAGCCTTTCTTTCTTTTTTTTTTTTTTCGACAGTTTGGCTGCAATGTTGAGCCACCAGCATCACTTTTCCAGGCACCTGTGGGTGTTTGTCTGGTTTGCACTCAGCCTTCCCTTCCATCCATCAAGCGGGAAATAATATTCGGATCGAGCCTCAGCCCACCTCTAACATCTTGTGCTCAATATGCGTCCAGTTTCACCGTCAGCCCTGCGGCCATATGTCTGTCCGTCTTGTCGGTCAACCCGCCTTCCCAGCCGGAGAAAGTTTGGGTCGAAACCCGCACCGATAACGGATATTTACGATGTAGTTTGTGTCGGGGGTGGCCCTGCTGGTCTGGCTCTTTTGGCAGCTCTTCGTAAGCCAATGCCTCCTCTGCCTTGTCTACTTCACTCCAATGAATTGACAGAAAATATACTAACTGAGTGGCATAGGTGCGTCTCCAGCAACTTCAAAGCTCAAAGTCGCTCTTGTCGAGACCCAGGACTTGAACAAAGCTCGATCATGGAACCTCGACTCGCAGCAGTTCTCCAACCGAGTCAGCAGCCTTACCCCCTCGTCCGTGTCATTTTTACAAAAGATTGGAGCTTGGGATCACTTGGATGTTGCTCGCACTCAGCCTTACCAGGAAATGCAGGTGTGGGATGGTGAAACAGGGTCAAAGATCTCATTCGACTGGTCCATGGAGACATCGCCATTCGAGGATCTTCGCACCGTCGCAACAATGACAGAAAATTCCAACCTCGTGCGCGCACTTTTGTCCCGCATTGCTGCGTCCGGAGGTGACAACCTCTCTATCTTCTCCAACACCACCGTTTCCTCCATTGAGAATGGCGGCGCGGATGATGCCGACGGGCCGGATCTGTCGGCATGGCCGGTTCTGTCTATTGCTCCCACGGGCTCCTCAACGGCATCTTCGGCAGCCCCGTCCCGAATTGCCGCAAGACTTTTGGTTGGCGCAGACGGTATCAACAGTCCTGTTCGGCGTTATGCTGACATCGGCACTGAGGGTTGGGATTATCATCGCCATGGAGTTGTTGCAACGCTGTCACTCACCGATCAAATCCCGGCTCCTTTCCCCATCGGCACGAGAACGGCTTATCAGCGATTCCTGCCTTCCCTAGGAGGACCAATTGCCCTGCTTCCACTCCCGAACAACCACGCGACCTTGGTCTGGTCTACCACCGTTGAGAATGCTGCTTACCTCAAGTCCTTATCTCCCGGGGCGTTTATCGCGATGGTAAACGCGGCTTTCCGCCTCTCTATGCCCGATCTGCAGTACATGATGGGCATGAAACGCCCAGCAACATCCGTTACCAATTTGGAGGAAGACCCTCATGAGAGCGAACTCACCTGGCGCCTGCAGCACACGCCCGCCGTACCCCACCTCCCTCCCATGGCCACAGGAGTTCAAGAAGGCAGCGTAGCTTCCTTCCCGCTCCGCTTCCGACACGCATCAACATACATCTCGCCGCGTGTAGCGCTTGTCGGGGACGCAGCGCACGTCATTCACCCTCTAGCGGGACAGGGCCTGAACCTCGGTCTCGGCGACGTAGCGTCTCTCTCCCGCACGATCGAGTACGCTGTGGACCATGGAATGGACGTTGGCGACATCCTCACCCTGGAACACTACACAGCGGAACGGTGGGCTACGAACGCCAAGGTTGGCGGCGCATGTGATGTGCTGCACAAGCTTTACAACGTTCCAGGCCAGGGGCCGGTCGCCTGGGGACGGAGTCTGGGATTAGAGATTATCGATCGGATCCCGTTAGTCAAGGGCTTCTTGATGCGGAATGCCGATTCTTAGTATGCTTTCCACTTTGACCTCCTTCTCCGTAACTGGCTGTACCCTTTTACTTTTTGGTTTTTACATGTACCAATATCTGTTGCCAACCACCCCAATCCAATAATATGTACCATAATGAAGGATTACAGTGTACCGAAAGTCTTTGAAACCCATCTGAAAGAAAGAAAAAAAAAAAAAAAAAAAAAAAAAAAGCAAATAAAACCCAGCTGATAGTACATAGATAACAAGGCTCACCATACCTATGACTCGCGCTATGGATCCCGTGACCACTTACCCAATTAATTCCTGTTTCTCGTCGTATGATTCAAGGATTCAGCGCGTGAGGTGATGCCTCAGCTGGTACTCCGTACCCCGTACCTGCTAGCAGGCGTAGGCAGGTACAGTACGGAGCAAAAAAAAAATACGTTATCGCGTGCGATGGTTTCAACAGTCCATGAGTTTGTTTAGGTACCAAAATACGGATACTACCTACCTACTACTAGCAGTAGGTACTATGTATATAGTGATGAGTGTAGATAATTCTATCCTTGTTTAGGTATTTTACCTTCTAATGCTACTACGTAGTACTAACTAGAACACTATCCGGAAAGTACTCCATACTCTGGTATACAAGGTATATATATATACCTATAACTAACTATGTTATTGAGTTGGAACTTACTCCACAGCGTGGCTGGATACGGAGTTTATTAGTGGGTTAGGATGGAGTAAAGCGGGAAAAGGTAAACAATTACCCTACTATTATTTACTACAGTTTATTCTCACTTCATAACTGCAATGCTACCTAGGTACCACCTAGACTACCTAGATAGGAAATACCTGGTCAAGACGTTTTCAATACGGACTGAAAACAACTATGCTAAAAAACCCCCGATCAAAACCACGCTAGTACCAGAAATGTTGGGGTTATGATTATGGGTCCAGATAAATTATACGATTGGATAGAATCCCGTCTCCACGTGGTGTGGTCGCAAACAGATACAATACCGCTATACTAGTCTAGGACGCGTGGATGTATGATGTTCGTATGGAGTCTATGGACCTGGAGGGCCTCATCCACCTTATCTCCGGTGAAGTCATTCTCTCTTATCCCCTACCGGAAGCTTATAGAAGATAAGATGGCGAAATGCAGCGAGGGGATTCTTATTCTAGCTAGCTGGAGGTTTGGATTGGCCTTTCTCGGGGATAGGTGTGGGAGGGTGCCTAAATGGCTCGACACGAAGGCGCCGCCAAGAGCGCGCGCAGCCTGGTTGGAGATGCCTTCGAAATCACGCACTCCTTCATCTTCATCTTCTGATGTCGTCCGGTGCAGGTTTCCTTCTAAAGACCGTCCCACATCATGAGTGAACGTGACTGAATGCCTCGATTTCCGCTCTTCGACCGACTCGATCCCCCTGGTTTGTTGTACAGATTCCAGAATCACTCCCCCTCTCACAGGAAAGTTAAAGCATCGCCAATGGGCTGGCAACGAATGAGAACCCCGGCCATCACGTTGGATGTAACCCTCTTTGGTTGAGCTATTAATGCAGGTTATTAATTATCCGGAGGGCTGCCTTGGCCGTTGTCTAAATTGGTGGTTCTGTGACAATCCTGTTCTTCCCCCTTTTCGTTCTCTAGGTCTGGCAGAATTTTGTTTGCGAGTATCCTGATCTCAACTGTCTACCTTTGTTTTTCTTTTCTTTTCGGTCGGCAGGAAAGGGGGTCAGGTAGGACCAGGTGTAACGGAATGACTTGAGAGAAAAGCCATGCAAGATCTGATTCCTCTGTATGGAGCCTTCCATGAGGCATCTGGAAGTATGATAGTGGCCTAAATGGACCCCCCACTGAGCAAAATAAAGTCACACAGAGAGCAGAGTATCCCCAAACCACTTTGCAGCAATCGCGACCGTTCAAGCTTCTTGTTGGATAGAGAGAGACGGAGCCAGCCTACGTAGGTAAGCTTAGGTGAGCATTTTAATCCAGCCACCTACGCCGTACAAGATTCCGACATCCGAGTTGAGGAATTTCGCTCTTTCCCATTTTCTCGAGAATAGTTAGGTCCTGGATGCGAATCTTTGTTTTCTCCAGCTTCTCTTAAGTTGAAGAAGAAGAAGAAGAAGAAGAAGAAGAAGAAGAAGAAGAAGAAGGGCGGAAGGAGAGACATTGGGTTGTAAAATACCCAGATTCGGTACGGGCAACGATACCATGACAGTGTAATGGCCAGAATTGGAACATCCCCCCCGGTTCTTGTTCGGGTTCAGTACCTAGGCAGGTTAACAACATTCTCGAGACATCATCATCATTTAATGACTTGGTCTGAATTTCAAAACTCTCCTCTCCCAATAATACAAACTCGGGGGGTTTGAGATCATTGCCGGTGGTCGTAAACTGAAGTCTTGCGGAGCTAAAAGAACGCTGCCCACTCGTCCCTTTTCCCCTCGTTTCCAACGGCCATCGGTTCGTCGATTATTTTGCCCCAACTCGCTCGGACCCGTCGACCTTCGTCATATCCAGTATTTTAAGATTTTATACAAGTGACACCTGGGTACGGAGTATACGGAGTATATACCGGTACCTAATGTACTCTGTAAATATGGTATTAATAATACGAGTCCTCCCGTCTTTTCCCCAACCCGGAATACAGTCAGTATCCAGATTCCAGGCTATCTTAGTACCTCAGTACTACCACTTTCTCCCCATCCTCTCTCTTCCTTTTTCAATTCTTCCTTTAATTCTTCCTATCATCTTACTCTCTCTCTCTCTCTCCCTCTCTGTTGATTCCCCCCCCTCCTTCGTAATATCGCTCCGTTTTGCCTAGGGTTACCCCTCTACTACCTGTACCGACCACACACATCTCTCTCTCTCTCTCTCTCTCTCTCTCTCTCTCTCTCTCTTTCCCTCTCTCTCCGTCTCTCGCTCCCCTAAAGTCTGCTCCCAGCGTTCGTCAGATCCGTGGACCCTCTCAACCTTATTTATATGCAAACCTACGTCCCGGTCTTCCCAGCCTGCTGTTCCTTGTCGTCCTGAGTAACGTGTCTCCTCGTCATCCTCCCAATTCCTCCGACGCCGTCTCTCAATTCCTCCCTCGCGTTACCCGTCCAACTGTCCCCGTCGTCGCATACTTGTTCTCCTGGTGTATTGTCTGGACAACACATCCTCGCGTGTTCTAGCGGTCTCGGTGGCGGCTTCTTTTCCCGCTCAAGTCGCCCGATGAAGGTGCTTGCTACGGATCAAGAGACTCGGTGACAATCATGGGGTCATTTCTGAGGAGTTTCCGGAGAGATGTGGTGAGCGTCCATTCCCCAGCCTCGCTTTTCCCTCTTTTTCAACTGGCATTTTGTCTTTCCCCTCTTCGATTCGCCATGTTTTGCGGATGCCTCGTTCGGAAGTCTCGCAAGAGACACAGGCGGCTCAGTGCAGTTTGCACCCGGAACCTATACTTGCCTACTCCAGGATACTGATTCTCTCTTAGGGATCTACCACACCTACAGTCGGGGTTCCTCCCTCAAAGAAGGAGCCTCAACCGCTCCCAATGACCCCGCTAGAGAAGATGCTACAGGAGATGGGACCGATCCGAGAGGACGGTAGTGATAAGTTTTTTGGAATGGAAAATGTAAAGCCCTTGATGATTCCTTCTAGAGATTGTGCGCGCACGCTAATCTTTTTTTTTTTTTTTTTTTTTTTTTACATAGTTTGGAAATACCTGGTAAGTGGCTCAATCTTAGAGAGGGATGGGAGGAGATTCAGGCCGCTGACAAATGCGCAACAGCTACTGTAACTCAATCATGCAATGTCTTTACTATTCAGTACCTTTCCGAGAAGCCGTCCTTAACTACCCAAAGCGAACACCGATCGAGAGTTTAGAAGCAGCGCTGGCAAAGAGCCTTAAATTTCAGGACCCAAATGCGCGCCAGGAAGCCGAGGCCCTTGCAGAAAAGCAAAAGGCCGCAAACCCGTCACGACCCGGAATGCCTCCAAATCCACAGCAGAAACCAGAAGATAAAGACTCGCCGGAGTACAAGAAGAAGATCGCATTACAGACCCTTCCTCTTCTGGAAACCATAAACAACTCCGACAGCTACGGTATGTCCGAGTCATTATTCACATCCCTCAAGGATGTCTTTGAATCAGTCGTGGGGAGCCAGTCCCGCATAGGAATCATCCGACCGCAACACTTCTTGGACGTCCTCCGTCGGGAACATGAGATGTTCCGAACGGCAATGCACCAGGATGCGCACGAATTTTTGAACCTCCTGCTTAACGAAGTTGTTGCAAATGTAGAAGCGGAAGCCTTGAAACAGCCCGCGCCTGAGAAAGCACTTCCAGCCGCGGAAAGCTCAGAATCTTTAGAGCCGTCTGTCAGTTCAGGCTCTAAAACGCCCAATACCACCCGGTGGGTTCATGAACTTTTCGAGGGAACGCTAACATCCGAGACACAATGTCTCACCTGCGAAAACGTTTCACAACGTGATGAGGTTTTCCTCGATCTATCTGTGGATCTAGAACAACACTCCTCTGTGACATCATGTCTCCGGAAGTTTTCCGCGGAAGAAATGCTCTGCGAACGAAACAAATTTCACTGCGACAATTGCGGTGGGCTGCAAGAAGCGGAGAAGAGGATGAAGATCAAACGTTTACCGCGGATCTTGGCCTTGCACCTCAAGCGTTTCAAGTATACCGAAGATTTGCAGCGTCTTCAGAAACTCTTTCATAGGGTTGTTTATCCGTACCACCTTCGCCTATTTAATACGACAGACGATGCGCAGGACCCCGATCGCCTATACGAGCTCTATGCAGTGGTAGTGCACATTGGTGGAGGTCCATATCACGGACACTATATTGCCATTATCAAGACGCAAGATCGAGGTTGGTTGCTTTTTGACGACGAAATGGTTGAGCCGGTAGATAAGAACTACGTGCGCAACTTCTTTGGTGATAAGCCGGGTTTAGCCTGCGCCTACGTTCTCTTCTATCAGGAAACCACTATAGAAGCCGTGATGAAGGAGCAGGAACAGGAGAACATGGAGGCAGCCGCCGACTCGAATGCCTCCACAACCAAGCAGAATGGCTTTGCCCACTCACCTGGTTTGGCCCACGTTCATAGTGCCTCCCAAATCCCCGCACCGGATGACCTTGACCGCTTCACGGGCCTGAAACGGGCCCCGACTGCGCCCCAGCTATCTACCCATCCTGAACACACGGACTCGGAAAGTGTTACCTCAGCCACTATCTCACAACCTCCCGCCCCTACCCTGCCACCCGTTCCTCCAATTCCTGAAACCTACTCCGCTCCTCGTACTACTAGAAAGAACGATGTGCAGATCTTGAAAGCACGAGCCCAAATGGTGAGAGAACGGGCCAGAGAGGAGAAAGAGCGAAAAGCAGCTGAGAAGGAGAAAGAGAAACAACGTCGGGAAGATAATGAAGCAAGAATGAAAGATACCCAACGGCGGGAAGAGGCCGAGCTCAAAGCTGCTCTCGAGGCAAGCAAGCTGTCGAAGGAAGACGAGGATCGTCGTAATCACTCTGAAAACGGCTCACCCAAGAAACCCGGTAGCGGTCTCAGTCGTCTAAAGAGAGGCAGCAGGAGCTTTAGCCAGCGACTAAACAAAGACAAAGAGAATCGTGTTTCGCAACCGCCAGTTCCAGAATTGCCCGAGCCCGGCGCACCAGGTTCAACGCCTGCCCTACCGGAACGAGCACAAACTGAGACGCCTGCTGGACAATCATCTCGACTACCGCCCCAGTTACCAAATGGCATCCTAGGACGAGCGTCCCAAGCTGAGAGGCCGGTTATCCGACCAGAGGAGCAAGATACGCTTAAATCCCCTAAGCATGACCGATCTGGTCATGGAAAATGGCGAAGCTTCAGCATTAGGAAGAAGTCATTAAACATCCTTTCATGAGTTCTGGCCTGGCTTCTGCAGCCGCATGGCCCTACCTTTTTTTTTTTTTTTTTTTTCTCCCCCTTTTCTTTATTTCTGTGCACATACAGTCTGCGTTATCGCCGTACATATATCCACCGATGTATCATCAGATTTCGATTCACAACCGGGACCATCTATTCATAGCACGTACTAACACAAAGACTGTGCCCGGTTAATGTTTTAGTTCTTGAATCTTTTCTTGGACTTGGCTCGCATTTTGTGGTCTTTGCTTTGCATATTCATCTAGCAGATGCTTGATTATCTATGACATTCTACGTTCCCTCCTTGCCTAAGAAATTTTGTGACACCCATGCTAGCATGCTAGGATCACACAGCTGGGCGAATATGGCGTGGATTTTTTTTTTATTGGCGATTCTTTTCCGCCCATTCATCCTGTCTTTATTTTCAAATGCTCTCCAAGCCGTCTCATATATCACTGGCCTTCTCCGGTTCTATTCTTTGGGGCAAAAAAAAAAAAAAAAAAAAAAAAACAAGAAAGAAAGAAAGCACCATAACATGTTCACCATATGAATTCTGGGACTACCTGTGCAGGCGCAGCACATAGATTCTGCCATGCGAATTGAGATATGCCTATTCTTTAGGTCAACCCAAGAGAAGTACTTGTTACAGCATAAATCATGATCACTGTTTCATAAACCAAACCTGGATTATAGCGTAAAAAGCGTTCTATAAACAAGAATGAGTATTTGCATAGTCACATTATTATATCTGGTTCGCCCGGCCTAAAAAAAACCGAGGAGATTCTTGAGTCTTCACGCGTGAGGACCATATTGTCACAGTCTCCACTCCCAACTATGAATTCTGTAGACCCTTCTGCACATGCTTCAAACCGCCAGTAGTCACTGACCGACCTGGGTAAACAGCAAAGACCCCCTTGATTCCCTCTCTTTCCCGACTCAGACGACAAACAGACGCGGCATGTAAGAAACAAAACAACAACAACCGGATAGGATGCGGATCAGATCACCCGAGGATAAGCTCGTAGACGATAATTATTATATTGATGGCGATCAAAGGCACTGTGTCGGGTGACATCAAATTGGTTCGTTAGCCAGGGGGAGTTCTTTTTTAATTTGCGAGAGACAGACAAGAGACAACCCTCGTCTCGTCTCGTCTCGTCTCGTGAAGCGGGAGGGAGATGGGTAGGCAATGGGATTGATTCACCTCGCATCACGGTCCGTACGCTCGAAATCAGGTTTATGGTCTTTGCTTTTACGCTGGTGCTGTCGTATGTTGTGCCGAAGGCTGGTTCGGATTGTACGCGACCCCATCCGACTATATAGTGGGTGGTGGTTGTGGTTAGTATAGGGGACTCGGGGTCTGCAGGAGGAGCATGATGGCGTACTTCTAGCGAGAAAGCGGTCGTCTGAGAGGACTGCGATGGAATTGGTTATGAGGATGATGACTGCGGAAGGAGGAGTTAACGAGTTAGAGCGGGTTGGTTGCGTGCGTGCGTGGGGAGAGAATGCGCACCGTAGAGGAGTTTTCCGAGCCCGAAGAAGAACATGGTGGGTTATTGAAAGGGAGTCTCTCTCTAATATAGGAAGTAAACTGTGGTAAAGAGGTTGAGGGAGAGTTGGAGAGTTGGAGAGGTGGAAGTCTGGAAGTCTGGAAGTTGAAGCTGCCAGATCGACTTGACTTGACGTTGACGGCATCTTTTCTTTCCACTTGGCTTCTTCTTTCTTTCGGCCTCACCTGGACTTGAGTCTTCGCCGCAAATAAAGAGTCCTCGACAGGACACCATTCTCCTTGTACAATGGGGAGAGATGTCGGTATGCCTCTTTCTTTTTCTATTCTTTGTTCATTGGGGAAATTCAAATGCTAATCGAATTTCAGGTTACCTGTTGTTGCTGGGTTCTATCCCGGCTCTCATTCTCCTCCACTTATGGATCGCTCCCTACACAAAAGTAGAGGAGTCTTTCCATGTCCAGGCCATTCATGACATTGAGACTTATGGGATCCCTACTCGGAATGTCTCCAGCATGCTCCGGGCGCAGTATGATCATTTGACGTTTCCTGGAGCGGTCCCCAGGACGTTTGTTGGCCCGCTCATTCTGGCGGGGCTTTCGTCTCCCTTCATCTGGCTGAGCAACAATATAGACCGACAGTTCCTTGGTAAAAAAAAGAACTTCCGTATTCTATCTCCTCTGCCGTATGTTTCTAACCAGCATTCTGTCCAGCTCGAGCCATCCTAGGCTTGATCAATGCGGCATCGCTTCTCTCCTTTGCCGACGGATTGCGCCGCACCGCCGGAAAGACAGCCGCTGTCTGGTACCTGTTATTCCAGGCGAGCCAGTTCCATGTCATCTACTATGCATCGCGCACTCTCTCCAACATGTTCGCCTTTTCCATCTCAACTCTGGCTTTGCGCGCTCTGCTCCCCGAGCCGGTGAGCCCGGCGACATACCGGAAACGAGGCAAAGCAGCGCTGTATCTACTCACCACGGCGGGAATCATCTTTCGCGCCGAATTGGCCCTCTTTCTCGGAATCAACACAATCTTCCTCTTCGTCCTCCGGCGCATCCGCATTCAACGCGAGATAATCCCCGCCGGAGTTCTCGGCCTCGCAGTTGGCCTAGCATTTACCGTCTCCGTGGACTCCTTCTTCTGGCAACAATTCCCCCGGTGGCCTGAGCTGGCAGCCTTCAAATTCAACGTCATCGCCGGCCAGGCCTCTGCCTGGGGCACTCATCCCTGGCACTTTTACTTCACCAACGCTATTCCTCGTCTTCTCCTCAACCCACTGACCTATCTCGCCGGCATCCCCCTCGCTCTAACTCAACCTGCAACCCGGCGCACGGCAGCCTTCATCCTCCTCCCATCACTCCTCTACGTGCTCGCCTACAGCGCCCAACCACACAAGGAATGGCGATTCATCATCTACACCATCCCCCCCTTAACCGCCGCCTCGTCCCTCGGAGCCTCCTACATCTGGACCCACCAAACGAAATCTCCCTTCTACCGCCTTCTTGCCCTCCTCATGCTCGGCTCCACCCTCGCCTCTTTCCTCCTCTCCTCGTTGATCCTCCTCCCGGCCTCCTCGGCCAACTACCCGGGCGCCCAAGCCCTACACGCCCTCCACCAGTACCATTACCATCGCCAGCAGCATCAACTCCACAGCCCTAACAGCAATCCTAACACGAATATCTCCGTCCACCTCGGTAATCTCGCCTGCCAAACCGGCGTGACTCGCTTCCTGGAACTCCCCTCCTGGATCTACGACAAGACCGAATCGCAAGACGTAAAATCTAGCCCGGCCTTCTGGTCCCAGTTCGATTATGTCCTCGTTGAACCGGGGGATGGCGTCGCGCAGGGGATTCACGTTCCTGGGGACGGGGACGGGGATGGCTCGGCGCGAGCATGGGAGGAGGTGGGGACGATCGATGGGTTTGCGGGGCTACGGGTTGTTCGGCCTGGCGAGGAAGCTGCGGGGAGGGTCGAGGAGAGGGTGATTCGAGGTGTCTGGGGGGGGGGAGTGGTGGAGGTTTGGAAGACGGGGAGGGAGTTTGCAAGGGGGAAGGTGACGAGAGGATGGTGGATTGAGTTGAGGATGGAGCCGAAGATTGTTATTATGAGGCGGTATTAATTTTAGAAATAGTTGGTTATGCAAAAAAAAAAAAAAAAAAAAAAAATTGTACTCTATTGATGTAATGTATAATATGTCGGTCAATCCCACTGTAATGTTATGGACTTCATACTGCATTTCTGGGTATTGAAACTCGCAAGATTAGAAATTTACTAGGTGGATATGCTAATGGGATAATGATATGTCCAGATAAGATAAATGTGCGGAGAGAAGAAGTATATACCCGAATCCGCACGGGGTGATATGTCCTGCATATGTCTCGTCTCGTCTCGTCTCGTTCTTGCGGGTTTTCCACGAGGGCCGTACGTACGTCCGTACGTACTAATTGTCAAAATCATCATGAATATCCCATCCTACCTACCCCCTCTTCAGCCCTAGGACTGTATTCGGTCGACTATCATCTGTCGTTTGTTGTTGTCGTTTTCTTCTTCTTCTTCTTTTTCTTATTAGGACTCCAGACGCTCCATTCTCTTCTCGAGATCGTGGACCCAAGGTTCGACCAATTCGATATTTCCCTTCAGTGTTGTCTCGCTCTTGTTCATCTTTTCTTCGACCACTTTCAGACCCTGTCGCCACTGCTCAATCTCTCCCGCCATGTCGGCATGACGCTTCTCCAGCTCGTCCAGCGATTCAGAGGCTTGCGCCGCTCCAGCGTGGATGGCACGGAGGGAGCGGAGACGCTCTAGGACACTAGGGAGGATAGGGTGGAGGGATTGGATGGTTGGCAGGGTGGCATAGAGGGCTTGGATCTTGGTTTCCTGTTCGTCGCGCTGGGTAGCAGCGGTGTCGACTTCGGTGGCGGCAGATGAGGACACGGAGAGGTCCGATGAGGATTCGATGGCAGCGGCCGTGATGCGGGCGTTTTGTGCAGCTTTGGCGGCGTCGAGGGCGCGTTTGCGTGCTGAAGCGAGAGCTTCCGCATCGGCGGTCAGTTTTCGGACACGGGTAGAGAGCATCTCGAGATGGGGGGTCGTGACTGTGGTCGATGCAGGGCCGGAGCCCGTCGTCGGCACCACGGAGACGGAGTTCGGACCGACCAGGAGGGTTGTGAGAGTGGACAGACGGGAAGTGAGGTGGTCTAAGGCGGGAAGGACGGGTTGGAGCGCGGGTTCGGAGATCCCATCGGAGACGAAGGGGTTTGAAGAAGTCGAGATGCCCATTGCAGACTCGATTAAGGCCAGTCGCGCATCAAAGGCCGCGGCGTGGGCAAGAATACCAGCAGAGGATTGTGACGTGCTTGTTTCGGGCGTGCTCTGGTTTAATTCCGGCTTCGCGGAGGTCTGGTTCGAAGAGTTTGACGCGAGCCTCTGGGACAGAGCGGCGGCTGCCGAATGTGCTTGGGATGATGCACCACGCGACGAAGCGTATAGGTTATCCAGTGCCCGACTCAGTTCGTCAACGCCATCACCCAGGGTCTCCTTGGCCTGATCAGGGGTAGGGGTTTCCTTTGACTCCGTCTCAGCTTGCTGCGACGTATTCATTTCATCTTTAAGCTCCTCCACCTCTCTCCGCAGACGCGCCAGTTTCCGCTCCAAACTCTCATCCTCGCTCTCGCTCAACTCGTCTTCTCCCAGGTCGTTCCTTCGCCTCCGATGACTCTTACTCCGATACGACTTCCGCTTCACTGCAATGCTGTCGGAGAAATTGACATCACGAGCGTCGACGGTAGCTCCGAGGAAATGGGCGCGCGCTTCGTCCGTGTTGACGGGTTGGCGATCGATATCGGGATTCGATCCGACGTCATCGTCCGCATTGGAGACGGTGCGAAGCGTCGCTGTCTAAGTGGTCTCATTAGATCCAGAGATAGGTGCAGGAAAGCATTTTAGAGCCAAGGGAGAAGATGGATAGATAGGGTTAGCTACCGGTAGAGTGGAGGCTTCGTCGGTTAGGTCAGGAGTCTCATAGATATCGGGGGCTAGGTCCTGGGGGAGTTAGTGAAGAATTAAGAAATGGGTTGAATTGGATGAGATACAAGATCTGGAAGACCGGCATATTTCTTGTTGAAAGCCATGACAAGAGCAATCAAGACCTCTCATTCAGCTCGAGATATGGATGGATGAATGTATTATTGATGGATGAATCCAAATTCCCCAAAATAAATGGATGGGCCAAGACCACGTGAAAGGGGTATGGGAGCCTGGAAACCAAGGCATAAATCTCTAACCGGTCACATATTTAACTACCTACCTAGGGAGTTTTAACACCTTCATGGATGAGCAAATTGAAAAGCAACTAACCTGATTCTAACTTAATCCTATCTCTTCGGGGACAATTCCCACATGCTTGTCTGTCCAGCCTCGGTCCCAGCGGAGAGATAATATGCGGAGATCCCAATCTCTGAATAGCAAGTATAGTACGTACTAGCTTACGGAGTACGGAGTACGGAGTATTAACTACTCTGTAGTGAGTTAGGTACAATGTACTACTGGGAAAAAAAAAAAGCACATGAATAAACAGAAAATCAGCCTAGAGGGGAGGAAAGAGGCTGAGGACTCCAGGAGGGAGCTACTTTTAAACCCCACCCACCCGTGCTGTTCTACTTCTCTATCTTCACCTCTCTCTCTCTCTCTCTCTCTCTCTCTGCATTTCCTCTGTCTCCAAACCCTCTGTCAACATGACCACTCCTACAGATATCACCTTGGCCAACTACAATGGCAGCTGGGTCATGGTACGTATATTCCTTCCTGCTACACACGGTGTCAATCGGAACTATACATACTACCTACCATTAACTTAATCTCTTCTCCTCTCTTCTCTTCTCACTAACATTCTTTTAAAATGAACAGGATCGAACCCTTTCCGATCCTACCGATCCCGTTCTCGCCATGGTACGTCGTGGTTCCTTTCCCTTCTTATCCCTGTACCTACTACCTACATACCTACCTACCTACCTACATAAACACAGCAATCGCACAGAGTCCAATACAAAAAGACAACTAACACTCAATAAAACCAAAAAAAAAAAAACAACAGCAAGGCCTCAGCTGGTTCATGCGCACCACCTTGGCATGGGTAACCGTCACCCTGAACACAAAACAATACGCCAGCGAAGAGGCAGCGGCAGCAGCAGCAGCAGCAGCAGGAGACAACCCCGTCCAGCACATCGACGTGGAGAACATAGTCACGGGCGGAATCCAAGGAAGCACCGAGCGCCGGATCACGGACTGGAAGAAGCGCCAGCACACCGACAACATCTTCGGTCGGGTCGAGGGGCAAACGCGGCTCCTGCGCGGCGTCAAGGGTGCAGATGGCAGGGTGCGCCCCGTTGTCTCTTTGTGTACGAAGCTGGACGAGGCCAAGATTGCGCGGTTCCTGCGTGGCGAGGTTCTCGCGGATGGGTCGGGGGAGGCGGAGGGGTTCCTGGTTGATGACGGGGTTGGTGGGGAGTATGGAGAGGGGGAAGGCTTGTGGTTGCAGAGTTATGTGGAGAGTTTGGATTCGTCTTGGACTGCGGAGCAGGTATGTTCTTCTTCCCTTTTATTTCTATATATTTGCGGTGGGATTAATTAATGATCAATCGGGTGCAGATTTGGGGCTTTGAGATGATCAATGGCGTGCGCTACCATACTCGTCGCGTGGTTATTGCAAATAAAGGCGATTTTGTCCTAGCCCGGCTGGTTTATAGCTGGGTTCCTCCCGAGGATGATTCTGCTCTGGCAGAGTATTGATGATCAATGTTCAACTACTCTCGCTGCGGTCATCCGAACTGCTTCTTTCTTTCGATTGTGATAGCGTGGATCAAGACAGACAGACAGACCTAGTATATAAATTATCAACCCCTTATAAAGTACATCGAAAACTCGACGAGTTGTCCACAGAAAAAGTTCATGTAAGGATAACAACGGCATAATCGAAAGCAATAATGGTATGTCAAGCTCGCCTAGATCTCAATAATGCAAAAGTAAGTATAAAAGAAATAAACAATTTGATCATCCGTCATAAATAACCTCCAACCAATGATAAGGAAAATCTCCCAACATTGGGGTTTCCCCTTTTAAGAATGAGTTGGCATAACAACACTAGCCTTGGTGCTGACTGCATCCTCACCACGCCACAAGCTAGTCACGGTCTTCTGCTGGGTGTAGAACTGAAGCCCAGGCTTGCCGTAGAAAGTGTTGGCCCCACCACCAGCAACACTCTTCTTGTTTCCGGTGAAAGAGAACATGGGAAGTGGGACGGGGATGGGGACGTTGATGCCGACCTGGCCGGCCTCGATGTTCTTCTGGAATCGGGAGCCGATGGGGCCGGAGCTGGTGAAGACGGCGGCTCCGTTACCGTACTCGTTCTTGTTGATGAGCTCAATGGCGTCATCCAGAGTGGACACGTTCAGGCAGATCAGGACAGGGCCAAAGATTTCTTCCTTGTAGCACCTCATCTCGGGGGTAACGTTGGTAATGATGGTAGGACCAATCTAGATGAACAAGTATGGTTAGCCGGGGAAAGGTATTAGAATCAAAAGATTGAGGGGTCGACTTACGAAGTTGCCGTTGGGGTACTTCTCGGGCTGGTAGCCTCGTCCGTCCAAGAGAATGGTGGCACCCTCCTCCTCAGCACTAGCAATCAAGCCCTCAATGCGCTTCTTGCTCTCAGGGCTGATGACGGGGCCAAGGTCGGCGCCCTCTTCGAACCCTCCGTTGACGTTCAGGGCCTTGGCACGCTCAGCCATCTCGGGGATCCAGTCCTTGGTCTCCCCCACGCAAACGACAGTGCTGAGAGCCATGCAGCGCTGACCAGCGGCTCCGAAGGCAGCTCCGACAATCGCATTGATCGTCTGGTTCTTGTTGGCATCGGGGAGCACGGCAGCATGGTTCTTGGCACCAAGGTTGGCCTGCACACGCTTTCCGTTGGCTGAGCCTCGAGTGTAAATGTACTCTCCATACCGGTTACCGCCGACGAAGCTGATGGCCTTGATGGCGGGTTCGTCAAGAATAAAGTCAACAGTCTTAGCAGAACCGTGGACGATGTTGATGACACCGGGAGGGAAACCAGCCTCCTTGGCCAGCTCTGCAAGAATCATAGCGGCACCGGGATCACGCTCGGAGGGCTTGAGGATCAGGCAGTTACCAGTGATGGTAGCGATGGGGATACACCAGAGAGGAATCATAGCAGGGAAGTCTTATCAATCAAGATTAGCATAACCGCAAATCCCAGGGATATATATATATATATAGATAGATAATGGCGGCCTACTGAAAGGGCAAATGGCAGCGACAACACCCAGAGGCTCCCTATAGCTCCGAGTCTCCATATCCTTGGCCACTTCTAGTACTTCACCGGTAAGCTGGGTGGTGATACCGCAGGCGGTCTCTGCAACCTGCAAACCACGAAGAACATCACCCCTGGCATCGGCAAAGGTCTTGCCTTGCTCCATGGTGATGGAAGCAGCCAGACGGTCCCAGTTGGCACGGATCAGGCTTACAAACTCGAACATAATCTGCTGCTTAGCCATGACGCTTGTTGCACGCCAGGCAGGGAATGCCTTCTGGGCAGCCTCGACGGCGGCGCGCAGCTCCTCATCGGTGCTTTGGGGGACGCGGGTAACGAGGTTGTTGGTGGCAGGATCGTGGAGATCAATCCACTGGGTTGCCTTAGATGGCACAAACTCATTGTTGACAAAGTTGGTGGTATCGATAGGGTTGGCGACAGGATCGTGAGTAGTCGGGTATTCGGTGGCGGTGCTGGCTGCGGATGTAGTTCCGGGGGCGAGTTGCTGAGCGGTGACATGGAGTCCGCGGCGAGCCACAAGAGACGCGGCAGAAGAGGTCTGAGAGGCTAGCAGTCGCGAGGAAGACTTGGAGGAAGTCGAGAGAGACCGGGATGCAGCAGCTCTGGCGGTCGAGATGTTGGCCACCGCCGTGCGGGGAGAGGCAAGGCGGAGAGCCGGGATGGAGCGGGCAAGAGACCGACGGGCGGCCATGATGATAGAGAGGAAAGGGAAAGAGACTTAGAAATCGGTTCTGGATGCAATAAGTGAATGCAAAGGAGAAGAAGAGGGGGGGAAAGAGAGGCAGAAATGACAATAAGAATGAAGGGACGAGAGGAGAGGTATATGTACGGAGTAGGAACCCCGGAGTCTTAAGTGTGGAGATGGAGGCAAGACGGTAAGTTTACTGGTACCGTACCTTACCGTCAGGAACCCCAAACTCCCGAGTCCAACCGATAAACAAGCCGGCGATTCTGATCAATCAGAGTCTGGGTGTTGGAGATACTTCTCCAACATGGGTAAAGTACAAGCAAGAAGAGACAGGACTTCGTCTTGGACTACCTAGGTCCTAGGTACATACTACATAGTAGGTTGAAAGGTTCGTCGTCGTCTCCACCAGATCCCGAGATTTGGCTCCACATAACCCCAGCAATTAAAACGTTGTCGGGACTGCCCTGAACCAAAGCTGCCCGTGAGGTCTCCCGGAAAAAGGTATCGCAGAGAGACTTCATTCAAAACTACACGGGATACGAGTCAAGCGACGCAATTATTCACCTGGATGAGTGCGTACGATAAACTCCTAGGTCGCAAATCTGGCATCAGGAATTAACAGACCCATCGTACAGTATTATTCATTCTCGTAGTGATGTCACATTAACAGGATAAGAACATGTATTGATAAAAAAAAAGTGGTGCAACAGCTATCCACGCACGACGGAAATATGGCAAATTTCTCTCTTTCCCCGGTTTCTTTTCTGTCTGCTTGTCATTGTGTCATTGCATTTTTGTTTTGCTTTATGGGGGTATTTTTCTCTTCTTTGTCCTCCTTGCAACTAACCTCGGGTAGCGTGCGGATGGTTTTTTTTTTTTTTTTTTTTTTTTTTTACTCCGCCGAGGATCGTGTGGTGCGCTTGGTAGCACCGCCCTTGCCAGTATCGGCCGAGGAGCTGGTAGCGGCGCTAGCCTTCTCCTTGGTAGCGGAAGCAGCCTCCTTGCCCTTCTTGGCAGCAGGAGCGGGTGCTGGGCTGCTGGCGCCAATAGCGCCAACAATGACGAGGATCATGGTCAGAAGAAGGGCACCAAGGCCGCCGGCAACCTCAGGAACCTGCTTGACGGCGTTGACGGGGTTTTCCTTGGCAAGGCCAACGAAGTGGTCGACCTTCTCACGGATGTAGGTAACGGGGTCCTCCTTGAAGGTGACGCTGGTGCTAACGGGCTCTTCGACCTTCTTGGGCTTGGCGGCCTCTTCCTCAGCCTCCTCAATGGGGCGCTTGACGTCGAAGGTCTCCTTGCGGAGCTGCTCGGCGTCCTCAACGGAGTGACCAATGTAGATGTTATCGAAGAGGATGTCGTTCTGCATGGTCCAGATCTCGAAACCAATCTAAAGAATTTATTAGTTGGATTTCATGTCAAGAAGGAGGGATTGAAGGGGTGCTTACAGCGCCCATAGGCTCGAAGTTGGAGGGAGTCTTGTCCTCGAAGTATGCGGGGTTGGCAATCTTGCGGGGAGCCCAAGGTCCCTTGTAGGCCGGGTTATCGATCAGAGGAGCGGACCACTTGCCCTTGTAGGCAGGGTTCTTGATCAGGGGAGCAGACCAGGGGCCGCATCCAGAGACATCAGCGCACTTGGGGTTGGGAACGGTGGGAGGGACCCAGTCGCCATCCTCCTCGTCATCCCAGTCCTCGGGCTTCTCAGCCTCCGGGTCAGGCACGCTAGTAGCCTCATCCACAAGCCAGTCCTCGGGAATGGTAGCCTCCTCATCGACGATCTCGTAGGGAGCCTCCTCGTCCCAGTCTTCGGGCTTGGTAGCCTCAGGGTCGGGGATCTTGGACTCGTCAACCCAGGTCTCGGGCTTCTTGTCCTTAGGATCATCGATCTCCTTGTCGGGGTTAACGGGGGGGTTGAAGTCCTCGAAAAGAGTGCCGTTCTTAATAGCGCTACCATCAATGAGGATCTGGAAGGACTGGTCGGGGCGGACGATGAGGGTGTAGAGGGAGCTGAGCTTGGAGGTACGAGCGGCAGGAGGAGTCTTGAGGTGCTTCTCCTCATACTCGCCGGTCTTGGGGTTCTTGTGGCGGAAGATGAAGTGAACCTGAAATCAGTTAGCTCATGCTTTTGTTCGCAGTGCTCGCACGGTCGAAGGGCTGCTCGTACCTTGTTGGTGGCACCGCACTTGTCGGGACCAAACATGATCACGTAGGGGCTGGTGTTGGAGAACTCCTCCGCGTGAAGCTTCTTGTTGTCCTGAAGAATCTTCATGTAGGCACCACCGCAGACCAGGGAGTCTTTCAGAAGCGGAGCGTTAGCAATGCATGGCGCTAAAGGTGCGGGGGTGGAAGTAGCTCACTTTGCGGCTTGACTTCGTACTGGACTACCAGGGTCTTGCCCTTGTTGTCAATCTTCTTGGGGAACTTGGCGGAGATGGCGTGGTGGGCAGCAACGTTCTTGACCACGAGACCCTTGTCTCCGTCAATTCCCTTGAAGACTGAGGGCTCCTCGACGGCCCATTCGCCAACGTAAGCCCAGTCCTCCTCGGACTTAGAGTCCTCCTTCTGCGCATGAGAGGGAGTCCATCTTGATTGCCAGTCGTCGGTGAATTGTTCCAGGAAGGGGGCCTTGAGGGAGGTGGGCTAGAAGCGTTGAAAAAAAAAAAAACGGTTAGGGAAATTTCAGAAGAGATGAGAAGAGTGGATTGTAGGAAAACTCACAGTAAAGGTAGGCCTCTCGATGGCGGAGGTAGCATCGGGGTTAGCCTCTGCCTCCTCAGCATGAGCATAGCCCATGAGAGAGGCCGAGGAGACCAGAGCGGAGGTGAGAGCGGTGTTAAGACGCATGATGGACGATAGGGAACAAGGAGAAAAAAAATAAATAAACAAGCAAGCGGTCAAGCAATTGGCCCTCCGTGGAGGAAGAGGAAGAGAGACAAGCTGAGCTGGGGCGATGAAGACAGGCTACACGAGGAGAGGGAAGAGAGTAGGAAAAGAGGGAGAAGAGAACAGCTGGTGGGATCGTTATATAAGATGAAGATGAAGCTAGGTACTTAAGTTCAAGGTGGCCTCTTCCGCTGCCACTCCTCTTTGGGGTAAAGTGTGACCTAATCAGGTTAGTTGGTTAGGGGTGTTTCTGTATTATTCTCTTCTTCCTGGCTCATTATTGAAAATATAGATAGATATCAATACAGAGGATACCATACTATCCTACATATTTTTTTTATGATTTTATTATTACTTTTATTTATCAACATGTTTCAATTGATTTTATCCATCCTCTTGATATAGTTAACTACAAGGTTGCGGGTAACTTATCATAGATCGGAATTGTTTTGATGTTCTTATCGAATCCATCCAGTACTTGTAACCGTACCCATACGGGTATATATAGTAAATTACAGTAATCTTCCACTCTCTCAGTCTCTCTTACTACCTGCGATCTGTCCCTTTGATCCCTTGGCTCCACTACTCTTTCAATAGGGATCAGACATGTAAATGGTTTAATGGACTGTGGCTGTGGAGTATGGAAGGAATCCTGGGGTAAGATCTGGCACTCTTGAAGCATGTACGGAGTCCTCTATGCGACAGTATCAAGGATATTTGGACCAACTATTTACCTGTTACCATAGAATAACCCGTCCCAGATCGAGAAAAAGAGTGGTGGAAGAAACAGACACTCTGGTTGGTTCACTAATTCTCAGAATCCAAGTGCACTACCCCTCCTCCCTACTGCCACAGTCATGTTTCCAGCAGAGAATCCATGATATATCTACATAGGTAGTGGAGGAAGCCTGGGTTTAGGATGTATATACATTTTTTGTAGCATGGAAAAATATTGATGTAACTTAAATTTTACCTTACTTATATAATTAACTGGTACGTGAACCCAAGGCTATTCCGCTAGTTTCCTACTTTTCCCTTCTTTTCATATCCAGATCCTCCCAAACCAGCTACCTTCCAGTTTCACCTCCGGGAATTCATCCCTTCTGTCCTTTTCGTTCCACGAGATATTTCTGTCGAGACACCTATCCTGAGTAACAACAGATAGATCCGCACTCTGAGAAAGCTTGTCCAACCTTCCCCCCCCCCCGGCTCATCACCATGTCGCACGAAGCTGAAAACGATCACAATGGCAACAATGACCATCTGGTCCAGTCGTCCGACCCTGAGCACCCGGCCAATATGATCCCAGAGCTCTGCCGTAAATTCTACAACTGGGGTTGGGTTACTGGGACTGGTGGTGGGGTAAGTGCATATCGCGTTTCCATCCATCCTCGAGAGTCCTTGCTAACGAACGAACTTGGCACTTGGGTCGCAGACCTCCATTCGTCGCGGAGAACATATTTTCATTGCTCCCTCTGGTGTGCAGAAGGAGTTAATGCAACCGCACAACATTTTCGTCCTGCAGTTCCCTACTCCCAAGTATCCTCCCTCCGACCGCAAGTACATCCGCAAGCCACTGCAACTAAAACCCTCTGCATGCACCCCGCTGTTCCTTGCTGCCTTTGAACGTGGTGCTGGCTGCTGTATTCACACCCACTCCCAATGGGCGGTCTTGGTTACCCTCCTGGTCGAGCGTGAGAAAGGTCCCGACGCCTGCTTTGAAATCAGCAACATTGAACAGATCAAGGGTATTCCCAAGGGCAAGGGTAAGGGGATGCTGGGCTTCTTCGATACCCTGAAGATTCCTATTATTGAGAACACTGCGTTCGAGGAGGATCTTACGGGAAGCTTGGAGAAGGCGATGGAAACCTACCCAGATACCTATGCGGTTCTCGTGAGGAGACACGGAATGTGAGTTCTTATCCCCGCAGCTCATTTTCCCCTACAATTAGAAGCTAACGATGTCTGCAGCTACGTTTGGGGAGATGATGTGGCCAAGGCAAAGACCCAGTGTGAGAGTTTGGACTATCTATTCCAGCTGGCTGTGGAAATGCACAAGCTGGGTATCGCCTGGGTCAAATAGGGCCTGTCTAGGACTAAGCCTACCACCATGAACTTTACGACGGTGAACGTGATGATATTGATGAATGGTTAGATAGATAGGTATATATATGAACACGTGTGAATGGAATTGTCGAAGCTTCAGTATACGTTGTATATCACGATAGAAAAGAGGAGTCGACTTTATCTGACGTTATAACCAAGTAACCTGGTAGTGAAGATTTTAGATATACATATATATATGGTTAGTTTTTGTTGAGGCCACTAAGCAAGCCGCCAGTAAAAGAACCACGAGGGAACCCTCGCTATCTAAGGTCGAGAGCGCGACCAAAAACCCGTTCAATTACCTGCGTAAATTGAGAAGAGTTATCTGTCATAAATCGGTAACAATAAATCTGAGGAAAACCGTCCTCTGACCTGAATATATTGTTTTTTTTTTGTCCAGTGCCTGGAGCTTACTAAATCCAAGGTAGCGGGGAACTTCCTCCAACTCGGATCACCCGTTCAACCAACCTGGCCTGCTTGGAATCTCCAACTCTCCAACTGCAACCCCCCCCCCTATCTTGTTAGCACTTGTTGGTTCTCGTGTCTTCTGTAATACTGTCACTATACCCATTGGTTCTCCAAACGCTCAACACTCATGGATCTGGACGCTGGCGACTCTCCGTGGGGCGGTAAGTAGGCAGTCACGTCACGATCATATCGCATCATCGCTAACCTAGGCAGATGTGCCCTCGCAGTCGACTAACAATCATGGTGCGGCCCGGTCGGATACTGAAGGACCACGTATGAAATTCCTCCATCATCTCCCTCTTGTACATCGCTCCGAATGTTAACCTTCACCTTGCGCAGCTCCGGAGCAGTCCCCACAACAGTCGGCCTCTTCTCGCTCCAATGTACGACGAAACCCACGGGGCACGCGCAAGATCAGCGCGCAAGCAACAAAACTAGACGATGATACCTTTGATCCGCTGGGTCCGCTAGGCGACAAGGCTAGTGAAAGTAGTCCAATTGCCGTCGAACAAGCTCCTATACCCCCTCAGAAAGAAGCATTCGCGGGTCGCAATGTTCGTCCAACATCCTCGGCGTCCCAGGCCTCCAGCGGTGCTGGTATGCTGGATTCTGTGAACCTGGAAGAGGATGGCGCGAGTTTTAAGGGTCCTCCGCCGGTGCAGCCTCCGAGCGATGTGGAGGGTGCGCAAAGGCAACAGCAGCCTAGCGTCAGCGTCGAGAAAGCTGCCAACCCGACCTTTGACATTACAGTTGGTGATCCTCACAAGGTGGGGGATTTGACCAGCAGCCATATTGTGTATCAAGTGAGAACCAAGGTATGCTCACCCCAGGCCGAGAAAGTTTGAGACAAGCCAAGATGTACCCTGCTAATTTTGGTAGACAACCTCCAAAGCTTATCGCCAGCCCGAATTTACCGTCAGCCGACGATACCGTGATTTCCTATGGCTTTACAATTCTATGCACAGTAATAATCCCGGCGTGGTTGTGCCTCCTCCACCTGAGAAACAGGCCGTAGGTCGATTCGATACGAACTTTGTCGAGTCTCGGCGAGCCGCCCTCGAGCGTATGCTTAACAAGATTGCTGCTCACCCCATTCTCCAACATGATGGCGATCTTAAAATCTTCCTTGAGAGTGAAACTTTCAACCTGGATGTCAAGAACAAGGAAAATAGGGAGCCGGATTTGGGTCAGAACAAGGGTATGTTCAGCTCGTTCGGACTTGGCGTTGGTGGTGGCGGCAAATTTGTTGAACATGACGATGTGAGTGCCTATTTTCCTGATGAAGGAATATTCACCTAACATTACCCCAGTGGTTTCATGATCGAAAGGTTTATTTGGATGCGTTGGAAAATCAACTCAAGGCATTGATGAAAGCTATTGACACGGTTGTTGCACAAAGAAAGGGACTCGCGGAGGCCGCCGGCGATTTCTCGACCTCCATCCAGTCACTAGCGGCTGTTGAGCTTTCTCCTATCCTGTCCGGTCCCTTGTACGGTCTCTCGGATCTCCAGGTACGCATTAAGGAGTTATACGAACGCCAAGCGCAGCAGGACGTGCTCACCCTCGGAATTACGATTGATGAATATCTCCGCTTGATTGGCAGTGTCAAAACCGCTTTCTCCCAACGGCAAAAGGCTTTCCACAGCTGGCATGCCGCTGAATCTGAGTTGCAGAAACGCAAACACAACCAGGAGAAGCTCCTTAGGCAAGGAAAGACGCAACAAGATCGCCTGAACCAGGCCAACGCGGACGTAGCCGATGCCGAGAGGAAGGTTCACCAAGCAAGACTACTATTCGAGGACATGGGCCGGCTGATGCGGAATGAGCTGCAGAGATTTGAAAAGGAAAAGGTGGAAGACTTCAAGTCTGGCGTGGAAACCTTCCTGGAAAGCGCCGTAGAAGCTCAAAAAGAGGTGAGTGATTATGACAAAGCCATAGCAAAGGTACAATCCGCTAATTATTTTTTTTCCCCACCGGCAGTTGATCGAGCTCTGGGAGACCTTCCTACTGCAACTCGACGCTGGTGAAGAGGGCAACCCCTTCTATCCGCCTACTGCAGGCGAGACTGCCCCCACGGAGCCAACAGAGGGTGTTCCGGAAGCTGCTCCAGTACCAACAGCCGAAGAGGCATAAAGCTCCTCTCCTTTTCTTGCACTGTATAAAAAAAATAAAACAAAACACGCAGCGAATACCTGATCTGATGTCCCTTATATCCTTAACCCTCCTAGTCCTTCCGTCAGCCGGACAGAGTATGGTGGCATGACTTCATTCTCTATTTTATAGCAAGTTTTCTTAAGTGCGGAATTCCCAGTTCTTTTAGCATAATGGAAGCAAATAATCTCAAAGCCTTGCGTCAATATTGTAGATTCCTGCATCTATTCCCAATATCAAACCAGGCTTGAATCTCAGTGCTGAATCCCCACCCAATAGGATGAATAGGTATGATGATATACTGTACATAAGAGCCTAAAATACAACCCAACATATATGATAACAAAAAAACCACAAACAAAAAAAAAAGAAAAGGAAATCCGAAGACGCAATCGAATCAACAACCTTCTCCTTCTCCTCCAAGTCAACCAACAACGAATCCTAATTTTTCTTCTTCTGCGACCCCTCCATTTCCATCTCCTGTCCAAACGAACTAATCAAGTCCAAAAGGTTGTCGTCCTCCTCCTCCTCCGCAGCCGCAGCCGCAGCCGCAGCCTCCTTCGCCCTCTCCTTCTCCGTCTGGGTCGCCGTGGTGCCCTCCCCCCCCTCAACAGGCGCATTCGAGTCCCAGCTCCGGCCGAACCGCGCCCTGAACGCCGCGAGCCGACCGGCTTCGTCCTCCTCCACGTTCAGCAGTTTGCTGGACGACGGGTTCCAGAGTAGCGAGTTGCGTGTGTCGCGGGTCGACCGGTACACGGGGAGCGGGGAGGTCGTGCGGTGCGTGAAGGTGCTGCCGTCCGAGAGCGTGATGAGCTGCGTGAATGTGTAGGGGCGCTTAGGACGGCGGAGGAGTGTTGCATGTCGACATTGCGAGCAGATGAAGGTTGTGGGGGTGGATGTTGAGAGGGTGGTTTGGGCCGCGGTGCGGCGGAGGGTGGTGTGTAGGACGGACATTTCCCTTCCTTTTTTTTTTTTTTTTTCGTATTCTATTGTCCGGCGAATGAACGAAGGATTTCGGGGTCCAGACGGAATTTCAATGCAATAGAGAGGATACGCTGGGTGCTTGACACACTTGTTTGCGGGCTTGGTAGCGTTTTTGGTCGAGAAATTTGGCGGAAAGGTAGGTATCGTATTATGTAATCGGCCGGAGACCAACTTTTTTTTTCGGCGTCAACTTTGGGACAGAGAGAGGATACGGGACGGGAGAGGGAAGTTGGCGACAAGAGTCTCGGAATTACTATCTGAGTCTGTTCATGATGAATGTGGACGCGTTTGATGGTTCTTTTCCTTGCTTCTTGCTTCTCCAGCTTGCTATCGTGTCTTTTGCTCCTTGAGTTTGCTTTCTCTGCTCTTCTACCCACCCGGGATGAAGCTGCTCTTGCACCCGCCGCGGGCTTTGCGGGTTGCGTCTCGGACTGCGGTTCAATGGACGGGTAAAGGTGCATTCCAGAGCTTATTTTGCTTTCTTACTCTACGGCTCTAACAGGCTTATAACAGAAGCGCCACATGTACTGTCTACATACTCTGCTCTCTGTCTTAACCCGCTGCTGCCGCAACAATGGCGCGCACGCCGGACAGTCTCAAATACGACCACCGCAACCGCAACCGCAACCTCTCCAGATAAGCCCACGGAAATCCAGATTGCATCGCATGGCCAGCAGCAGCAGCAGCAGCAGCAGCAGTCTCTTCAACTGACAAACCAAGTCCGCCTCCTCATGCGCCGAATTCCCTACCCCGTTGCCATCATCACATCAACCGACCCTACCCACCCCCCAGGCCCAACGACAAGCAAGTGCGCCTTTCGTGGAATGACCGTCTCCTCTTTCAACACCGTAACTCTCACCCCGGAGCCCGTGATCTCATTCAACGTCCGCAGACCATCCGAAACCCTGAATGCGCTGTTCGCATCGGAGAGGTTCCTGGTCCATTTGCTCGCACCGCGGAAGGAAACGGCAGCGTTGGCAAGGGATTTCTCCAGGGGGAATCAGCATCTTGCGCTCTTGAACGCAGGCGAGGGGGGTAGTGAGTTTGAGTTTTGCTCGTATTTCTCTCCCGCGCCTCATCGAACGTCACCGGCTGGTTCGGCTTCTACGACTACTGGCGATGATGGTGACGGTGACGGTGGCGGTGACGGTGACGGTTCAGGCCCTCTTCTTCCACTCCCGCTACTTCAGAAGAAGAAATCGACATCGACATCGACATCGAAATCTAACAGAGATCGCCCTGCGGAGCCCCAAACCGGGGAATCCGAATCCGAACCCGAGTTCTTTCCTTTCGTTTTCGAATGCCGGCTGCATCCAGCACGCGTAGACGTACACGACCACACCATTGTCGTGGGGACCGTCGTCCGTGCGCTGGAGGGTAGTGACTTCTCCTCCTCTCCGCAGAGCGGAGATACCTCCCCGACGGATTTATGTCTAACATACGCAAATACCCGATTTTGGGAGATGGGCCACGAGATAATAAATAATTAGATATAGACATCGACCGAGCCTTTTACTTGCTTGGTAAAGGGGGTTGCGGGTTTATTTTGTTCTGTTCTGTTCTGTTCTATGCTCGTGTCGCTTGACTGACTGCCTAACTTACCTAGTCAACCATGAGCATGGGAATAAGACAGTCAGTCTATGCACGTCACCCTCGCATCTTGCCAACTCTGTGCCAGACAGACCACCATGCCATGCCCAGTTCAAGGAAGCGTGGATGCTTGCTTGGAAGATATACTTACGCGCGGGTGGTGATTGACTTTGTATAATAATTATCTGATGGACTGTATGTAACATTATCGCATTATCCCTTCTTCTTCTTCTTCTTCTTCTTCTTCTTCTTCTACGCGAGGACGGCATTGTTCCGGTTCGGCTAGTAGACGATTCATTCATTATTTATAGAGTTCAATACAACGACCGAATACTATCTACCTAGTTAACTAGTACAATGCCAATATTGGTACTAATGTTTTCAGAACAGGCGGAAATGCCACTACCACCACCACTACTACTACATATATGCGTAATCAGATGAGATGCAGAAGAGAAGAGCACGGGGGGAGGAACCAAAATTTCTTTTTTTGCTTTACTTCCCGGGCAAAAATAGGGCTTTACACAACGACACAAGACAAGATCTATGGACCACAGGCGATGGGAACTATATAATCACCACATTCCGTTCCCAACGTTCGAGAACGGGATAGTATGTAGCATACCGAGTTCTCCCCGTTAACAGAGAGAGGCTCATATTGGACATGAAAAAAAAAAAAAAAAAAAAAAAAAAAAACTTGGGCTTAGTTTCCTTTACCACGGGCAGAGCTAGGGCTGCCGCTACCACTTCCGCTTCCACCACTTCCGCCGCTTCCACCGCTGGCACTACCGCTCGCATGACTGGCGGCTCTTTGAAAAGGGCTGGAGATTGGCCGCAGCCCGAGGGTTGGGGGGTTGCTCTCCGATCCGGAACGTCGTCGCTTCTCCGCACCCAAATCAAGCGGGTCAAGCTGGAGTGGGGTACGGCGGGTGGAATCCATGAAATCCGAGCCGTAGAGGCTGCTACGGGCAGACCGGTTCGAGAATGAACGGTCACGGTAGACGAAATCCGGATCCAGGTGGGATCCCACGGTCACGAACGGGGAGCTGGGGAAGTATTGGAGGTACGAAGGTGCTTGGATCGGGCTGGTCGGGTGCGACGATGTCGCACCCACAGGGGACGACCCATGCTGGAGAGGACTGGACTTGAGTGATGGGAAGCTGTGGCCCAGTAACGACCGGGTGCCAGAGGTAGTAGTCGTCACCAACGAGGTCAGGGGTAATCCTGGGGCCTCGGGGAAGAGACTGGTCCCGGGAAGATCACCTTCCGGAGTCAGTGGCGTGGATTCCATAAGCATCCGCTGTTGCTGCTGCTGAATAGCTTGTTCGATAGCTGCAGACTGCTGCCAGAGCTGGGTAGTGCGAAGTTGATATTCCTGAACCGACTGGCTGATGCTTACAAACTGCTCGTTAAAAGTGGACTCTAGTTTGGCCTGATCTTGTTCCCGTGCAAACTGCTCCGCTGCGCGGCGTTCCCGCTCATTGAGGCCTTGAGCATTGGCGGAAATAATCCTTTCGTACTGCTCATTCACTCTTGTACGGCGACTCTGAAGACGTTCGCGCCTCTGAACCGTGGAACCCAATTCCGATTCCAACGCTGACAGATCGCGAGCATTGGCGGCCCGCATTGCGATAACCTCCTCCTTGGCGCAGTTGAGTAGTTCGACTTCGTGGTCGTATTTGGCCTTTTGTTCGGTCCATGCTTGAAGTTCCTCCTCGGGAATATTTTCCAAGGTGTCGAGTTGGCTCTCGAGGGCAGCAGTGGCCTCCTCGGTTTGTCGAATGTTTCTTTCCAGTTGGAGAGACCGTTGTTTCTGCCTGTTTTCGTCCGTTCCACTATGCAAACGATGGCTGTAATTGTCCAGCTCTTTCTTGATTTTGGAAATGGCAAGTTTGTGGTCATTCTTAGCTTTCCTCAAACGAGAGCGCTTCTCGTTCAGCTTGACTTCCGCGTTGATAATCGAATTTTTCAACGTGGTAGTTGGAGAGGAAGGCCGATAGGACGGCTGTGGTGGGGTCGGGACCGAGGTAGCTGTTGGTGCAAAATATTGATGAGAATCCTGGGCCGGATAACACGGAAGTTGAAAAGGGAGATTGATGCGCTTACCTTGTTCTGCGTCATTGGCAGGGGGGGTCTTGACACTCATAGCACAGACTTCCTCGTCGGTATCACTTCGTAGAAATGAGCAGGTGTACGCGCAATTTGGGGCGAGACCTGAAATCTCGCCCCGCCAATACACCGTGTTCGACCCCTTCGAAGACTCTTGTACTTTGCATAGGGCAGCAGTAGCCCACAGCGCGCCATTAACACAAACATAGAATGGATCCGCATCTTCCGTCTTCAGGCCTCCAGCTTCGCAGGACCCCGACAGAGCAGAGTCGTCCATGGAGGTGAAATCGCCAGCCGCAAACTGGATGGTGGAACTACCCACCTCCGTAATCCAAACAAGCCCATCCTCCAAAGAAACTCCTTGGAGATCTTCTTCCGTCATGGTAGAACCTCGCGTAGTTTTTGATAAAGCCCGAGAATGCTCATACTCCCTCATCACCGTTACCTTGGTACTCGCCAGTGCAGCCCAGAACGGCTGACGACTCCGGACTTGGTTCGCTTGTCTCCTTCGTTTCTTCGCCGAAATCAATCGATCCCTACCGTCTTTGTGTGCTGCCGAGGTGATGATTTGGCCATCCGGACCAAGGTAAGACGAAACACTGGCCGTAGATTCGAAAGCCGAGTCAATTTGTGTCTGCGAGCCAGCTGACGCTTCTGTATCAACACGTTTGCCGGTTCGCGCGGGAGTTGGGGATCGGTTCTTAGCCATCGACCGCCTTGCCATAGCGGTACCTGCTTGAGCTAGGATATGTACAGCAAGCAGACTCCGGATCCAGCTCGGAGAAGATGCTTGTGGATCAGTGCGTTTCCACTCAGCCGGCATGAGATATGAATATTGTGACAAGATATCGGGGGTGATTATTTTCGCTGATACAAGATGACCAATCACGAATTCTTGTATACCTTTACTGCGAATCAGATGCAAAACCAACACAATGCCAACACACAGAGCGTTGACACCACCATTTTTCCCGGAGCCTCCACCACCGAGAGTTATGGCGACCTGCACGTGGGCCAGATCAAGGGCGAAGTTTTGAGCCCAGCTCCACATGAAAAGCCCCCAAAAGAGTAGACAAAATCCATCCATCGCTATCATAGTTCCAAGAGACGGGGTCCCGGCAGGGCCTTGGAAGATATCGAAGTTGGAAGTCAGGGAGCCAGAGGACGCACCGCCAGGAGGCATGAAGGTCAATGAAGCAAACAAGAATTGGACCAGAGTCAGGACCATAGGTGGAAGCTGCAGCAGAAAGATCAAGATGGCGATGGTGTCGTACATGGGGCAGGACTTGAGGATCGTCGATGCTAATTGGAGGGGGTTGACAGAGGCATTCGAGGTCGACCTCTTGGTCCCAGTCGCCGCCGACTTCTCGGTACGACGTGACGCCGACTGAGCTGCCAGTCCACCACCACCGTTCTGCGCCGCAGCACCGTTCGTCTGACCGTATAACATGTCTGCATTCCCCTTCGCATATCCGTTGAGATAACCACGTCCGTTACCATCCGCCTTCGAGCTCTCCGTCGACCCGTTAGCCTTGACAGTTGTCGCTACCGTGGAGGTTGTTGCTTGGTCTGCTGACGGGCGACGCGAGGGCCAGTCAACCTGAGACGAAGGGCCAGAATCCGGGGTCGTGGTGCTGTTAATACTCCCATTTAGATTTCCATTCGATCTCTGCTTGCTGGGTTTTTTTCCAGACGCAACGGGGCCATTCTCTTGTCGATTGCTATGACTCTTCCTAGCCGTAGCTGATGAACGTGGCATGGACAAGGGAACCTAACACCCAGGCCCGAGTCAGCTTGGCAGGTAGTAGCCAAGGACTTGGACCAGGCGAGAAGGGAGGTCGAAGACAGGTCCAACGAATCGACGGATTGGCAGGGGGAGAGAGGGGAGGGGAGGGGAGGGGAGGGGGAGAGATTCAGCTCAGGAAATATTGGCGGGTCAAGGAATGACAAGAAGAGGGGAGGGGGAGGGAAAAGAGTAAAGAATGGGGAGGAGAAAAAGGAAAGTAAAGAAGAAATAGAATAAGATAAATGGGGGAGGGGAAGGTAAGAAGAAGTGTCGTGGGAGGGAGAGATGAAGGGGAAGAGAGATGAAGGGGAAGAGAGAGAAGGGAGAGAGAGAGAGAGAGAGAGAGGAAAAATGAACGAGATTTGGACGAGTGGTCTGGATAAGTTATTATTGATCGTCACGGCGAACGTAAAGTAAGGCACCAAGGCCGCTGCCGAGCTGCCGTAATAGCAGGGTGGCCTGAGGAATCGGGCATTCCAGCTCTATTTTACGTGGAGTGGCCGTCACGTATGGTCACAAGAGTCACAATTGCCCGACAAAATCGGTATTTTATCTGTTGGTAATGGAAATATCGTCCCATACCTGGTTTTGGGTGTACCAACAGCGCCTGGTTCCGGTTGGCTCTTCCAATTTATTTTTAGACCAGTGATTGAGATAGGGTTGGATATTATCTATAGATTCAATCTGAGAGAGGAGCTAGAACTGTTGAATCTGCTCGGTGTGAGGAATGTGCTGGATATAGAACTCCTAGGGTACATATCCATCCATCCGTACTCCGTACTTCCGCCGATGGTTCCTGGGGCTTTGCTCCGGCAAGCTTTTGGAAAAGAAAGGAACACAGCTGAAGTAAGTACAGCATGAAGAACAGCGCCGGTCGAGATCATGCGATTTCCTACCCAGGTACATTCTTCGTCTGTCGTCCAAGCATTCCCCTCGTCCCAACTTGGTATAGAGCGGCTCTCGAGGTATGTAGAGATAAACAACCACCACCGAGGTAGAGGTCTGTGGTTTTAGACGTGAGAGGTCTCTCCTGATACACCACTCGGCAATCTTGCCATACTCTATCCAGGCATTACAGGAATAGTACCTACTTTCTTGCTGGACTCGGTACGAAATTAAGTACATATCTACTGTAAGGTAATTGCACTCTTAGCTGTCGAGCCTAGCTATGGTTAGTTAGATCGTTACTCTGTAAGCAAGGTATAGTTAACTAACTAACTACTACTATGTCCATGACTTCACCTTCCAATTCAAGTCCAGCAGCACAGAGCAAGAATTACAATTCTTGGGCATCAGAAAAGTGGAATGCTTCAGGAACCCTCCTCGCAGGCCTATACCAGTCTCAGAAAGAGCAATTGGTAGATTGAAATAATCAGAGCTACAAAAGTAAACCCACGTTGAAGATCATAAGTAATCAAATCCTAACACATACCTAGGGAAAACCAAAGAGTAAGAAACTGCCACGCCGTTGACTACAGACTTTCCAAGAAGATGATGATACGCAGGTAAGGGTTCCATTGAAGAAAAGCCCTCTGATGAACGGAAATAAGCAGGTAAAAAAAGAGACACAAGAAGTTAAGAGGAGGAACACAAGAGAAAGTAAAAGGGAGAAGAGAAGACACACACACAACAAAAAGAGCAAGGACAATGAACACCACTAACACGCGATAAAAGAAAAAAGAAGGGAAAAAACAAAAAAAAAAAACAAAAAAAAAAAAAAAAAGACAGACCCCCAAAGAGATTCCGAGATAACAAGACAAACCGGGCTACACAAACACCAGTCTCATAAGATTCAACATGCTTTCCCATTCAGTTCCGTTGCGGCCCAAAATCCGCCTCCACAACCTTACCCTTTTTACCTTTAACAGAAAACTCCGCAAATAATGCGACATGATCACTTGGAAAATGATAATTGGGGAACCCAGGCACTCTCCGTAGATAATCCCTGTCCACCTCCCCGAGTATCGCCGATACATGAAGAGAATTCGATGAATACCAGATATAGTCCAGAATATCACTGAAATCCGGTGTGTAATTCGTAAAGCTCATCTCCCCGATAGACGAATATGCTGATTTGAGCTTGAAGGGGTGCGACATACCGACCCGACTGAGATTTCCGTACAATCGCTTCTCGAGGTCTGGATGCTCTTCGGGGAGTCGGCCGTTGGCAATCAGGTTGTATGCTCCCGAACCAGGCGACGAGTTGAAGTCGCCGCACATGAAGAGCGGAATTTGATCGCCGCTGCTATACTCCACGGACGGAGCAGGCTCCGGTAGACTCTGAGACTCACCCTCGGCCTCTGAGAAGCGGAAGGCGGCCTTGTCAGTGCATGGAGCCCATTTAGCATAAGTTTCGGAAAGCTTGGTGATCTCCTCCATCAGAATAGCTGTCTGAATTAACTTGACATCCTTGAAGGCAGGATCCCAATACAGATGCGCATTGACAACGATGAATCGAGAGCCCGTTTGCCGGTTCTCCAAGAAGACAACAACCGCAATATGATCCTTTTGCCACAATCTATTGTAAATGTCATCCTGGCCCTTGGCGTCCGGCCTTCGTACTGCCGTCTGGCCAAAGTTGATCATCTGCTTGTCAAGAAGAATGAATTTGCTTCCCTTAAAGAAGGTAGCGCAGCCATCCACAGCCTTTGCATCCTCCTCCTGCATACCCATGGCCCTTCCTCGTGGCCAATACACACCTTTGTAGTCGCTGTAGGCCAGTTGTTCCCGGAAGAACTCGTTGTAGCTTCCCTGGTCGATTTCTTGCAGACAGATGATATCCGAGTCATGTGATCGTAGCTCGTTGAGAATGAGCTCTCGTCTAAACTCCCAGGACAAGACGCGGGCGGGGACGTAGCCGTAGTGTGATTCAGTAGCGGACGAATCGCAGAGGATATTGTATGACAGCACGGTGGTTTTCTCCGTGGAAGCAGTTGCAGTCTCGTCAAGAATGACCCAGTCTCTATCCGGAGGTGGAAGATGGACTTGGAAAAGCTACGTTAGAACCGATAAACCAACAGAGAGCAAGGGACAAAAAAAAAAAAAGAAGAAAGAAAATCGAAAATACGAACCTGGCATCTCTTCTTTAAGATACTTGATCAAGGCCTTCGTGCCTTCCTTCATAATCTGAGACTTCAAGATATCGTCCAGCGGATTACCCTCTATGCCCAGAATATCCAACCGGTAAAGGTAGCCCATCTCGTAGGGAAGTGTGCGGATGTTGTTGTCAAACAGCAACAGCTGCTTCAGCTTCGTCAGCATACCAATTTCTTCGGGGAGCTCGGTGAGATCGTTGCCCGACAAATCCAAGTTGGTGAGCTTCCGGAGTTGTCCAATCGCGGGGGGAAGCACTTTGAGCTTGTTGTGATTCAAGTACAGTTTCTCCAAAAAGACATAATTGAACAGGGAGGTGGAGATGGCCCGGAGTCCTTGGCCGCCGAAATCGATGGCATGCCAGCCCTGCCGAGAGGTGGATTTCGGCTTGACAACTCCGTTTTTCCCACTGGTGCCATTTTCTGGCGGCTCAGGTTGGCTGGGCGCGATCTGGATGCCCTTGGTCTGCTGCGCGACGGTTCGGGCATAGTAGTGGGGGGAGCTGGCCTGCCGGGACTCGGCCGCGAGCTGGAGCTGCTGTTGCCAGTGTTTGTTCATAGATTCGTCGATATCTTCGTCAACGTTCGTGTGAGCTCCATTTTGCATGTGGCTGGGGGTAAAGTGAGGAGTGGCGGCGGCCAATGCCCCGCTCGAGAAGTTATGTTGATGATTAATATTGTGGGGAGCTTGGTTGTGATGAGTGTGATGATGCGGTTGTTGTGCAGGGTGCGGATGGTGGCTCTGGGACTGAAATTTCGGAATCTGCATGCCAAACCGCTGATGGGCCTGGCCACCATTCATCATGACATGCTGTCCTTGGTGGGTCTGACTGTACATTGTGAAGGGATTGAGGGCAGCTGCTTGACCGAGCGGCGGGGGGGATCGAGAAGGGGAAGGAGTTTCGTGACTAAATTTCAGACGTCCAGTCGGAGAGCTTGTGCCGTTTCGAATGAGGTGACGTTGGTGAGAGTGTTGTTGCGGTTGCGTTTGGAAGAAGAACTGCCCGGCCCCAGGCTGCTGGAACCTGTAGGTACCATCTGCCATTTAACGTGGCAGATGAAACCAAGGGTTATTTGCTTGAGGGGGGGTTTTGGAATAGACCAGAGCTGGCAGCACCGGAGTCAAGGCAGTAGCAGGAGAGCGAGGAGGAGTCGGGGGCCGAATACGTTCTCTCCTTCTCTTCAACATGGGGTCCTAAAACGGAACCACCCCAGAAATCGATCACTCCTGGACGATAACAAGCGGAGCAAATCCACCACAATAAATCTATTCTCTAACACAAAACCACTCCTTCTATCCAGCTTGCGAGAGCGATCAATTGGGAGGGGGAACAAAAAAAAAAAAAAAAGGCAAAAAGCCAACGTCCGGGGGGGGGGGGAAGAGGAGGGGGGCGACAACGAGTCACGGGCAGGCGAAAGACGATGGTTCAACACGGGAGGGGGGGAGGGAGCCTGGATCGGAAGTTAGACGGAGGTCCTTGAATCAATAAAGCTTCTCAAATTGGAGGAGGCGCACAGAAGAACTGGTCGATTGAGATGGCAGGTTGAGATGAGATTCCTGTCGCTCTTGATGCAGTCAAACTGGGTTGGTTCGAAGGCGGGAGGTTGCTTGGACCACGTGACATGGCATCTGGGGCTGTGATTCGCCAGGTGGAAGGACAAAGGCGAAAATGGCTGGAGTTCAGAGCTTCAGAAATGGACAGAGTATATAAAATCAGGAGAGATCCTCTAACACTAGGGTATTATTCTTTTCCAAGTTGAAGATTCCCATTGTAGGCCTTGTCTTTTCTGTAAGGGCCAAACCGCCCCTGTAATTCCTTGTTGGGCCTTCTCCCTTGCTCTCCATCCTCTCCTCCAAATCGTGAAAATTTTACTCTATGTCTACTACTTAGGCTCTCTCAGCTGACGGAGTCGGGTGGCAACCGAAAATACGGCCTAACCAGCATAGTTGCGTTGCGCTCGGGGAATCGAGATCCTGTATATCAGAAAACCCTAGGGTTGATCACTGCCGAGCGAACTCGTGGATTTGATCGTGATATACATCTCTCATGATGTCAACCACTTCCAATGGATTCAGGAGAAATAAATGCTCATGGATCTTGAACGACGGCAAGGCCGCCACTAGCTCTCACGTACCTACGTTAGTTCATCCTCCAGAAAATCAAGAATTCAGGATCGATTAATCCATTTGGATCCGAATATTCTATTCTGTAATTCTATATCCAGTGGGGATGGGGATAGCCCAATTTATTAACCATATAAACTTGGAATTTACCCAGCCGGAGTCTCGTGGTTGAATTGGATTTTCAGGAGGCGCCGGGGATAAAAGAGTCTGGACTCTCCTCGGTATTTCATAACATCAGCCCCTCCTCCCCTTCTCTCTTTCACCTTGAAAAAGCTCAATAGGATCAGTGCGTGTTCTGGCTTTTTGTCTAGACTAACCTTCGCCCTCCCCCCCCCCCCGCCACAGCTCTCGGGCGCAGGATTTTCTTTCCCTCACTCCATATTATTATTACTCTTCTTACTTTGATTACTCCTTTCCGTCTGCTTCCCTGTGCAGAGGAATTGTTGCCTCATATGATCTGAGTCTTCGTCCGTGTTTCATCTACAGTGTACAATGTCCCCCTCGGCCACCTCTCTCCCTTGCTTGTGAACACAAAAAAGAGTCCAACCTTGACTTCGAGAATGTAAATCGATTCCTGGCTGAATCACTTTGGGAACGAAGACACGACAACGACAACGACCTTCTGATTTCGGGCATGGATATGATGTCGGTGGGCACCGCTGCCTTCACTACCGCCGCGGCGGCCTCCGGTTCCGACCTGCATTCCACGATCAGTTCAACCGGCCCAGCTTGGGCAGCCACCTCCTCCTCCTCGCTCTCTTCCCTCAATGACTACACCAACTTCCCCCTGGTCCGTCAGGGGGACCGTATCTATCTCCGAGACCCCGAAAATACCTACCCTTTACCATGCGATCTTCCCGAGATCCATCGCCAGACCCTGCGCTCGCTCATGCTGATCCGCGTGTTCGGGGCCCCCTTCTGCAACCCGTATCTAGCGGACCGACCGCCCCTGCGGGTCCTGGAGATTGCATGCGGCTCAGCCCTCTGGTCGGGCATGTGCCACGATTATTTTGCCCGTCGCGGCCAGCGCAATATTGCCTTCCACGGCATCGACCTCGTCTCCGTCGCGCCGGACTTGCGCAAGAAAGGCGTAAATTGGCAGTTCAAACGACACGACCTCCGCCGCCCCCGCCTGCCGTTCCCTGATGAGTATTTCGATTTTGTTTTTATCAAAGATGCTGGGATGTGCCCCGGCAGTCCAGCCCATCAGGCGCAAGGCCTGGCTGAGCCGCTGCGGGTGCTCAAGTCTGGAGGGGTCCTCGAAGTTTGGGACTCCGACTCGGTGTTCAGGTCCTTGCTTCCAAACCCCGCGCCTGCTCCCAACTTGGCATCAAAGGAGCAGGAGATCGCAGATGCGACAGCAACATACACTTTTTCGGCTGCGACCCCTTTCACGAATGCCCAAAATAAATTCTTTCAGGACTATAACTCTTGGGTAGAGAAGGCGTTTGACCGCCGCAAACTCACGGCACTGCCATGCGCCACCACAGGCCTCTCCTTCAACGCGGAGGTTGATGTATTAGACAAAGTGGAAAGCCGCCGAATCGCAATCCCTCTAGGCGAGTTGCGATGGGAGCGCGAAGGACATAACAAAGACGGCTGTAATGGTCCGCGAAGGCAATTGACCTCCGACCAACTCTCCATTCGCCGTACGGCCCTTTTGACGGTCATTCAAATGATCGAGGGCATGGAACCCATGCTCATGGAGGCCAGCGGTAAGAGCAGAGACGAATGGGACCGGTGGTGGACAGCCATGATCAGTGATTTGCTCCAGAAGGGCGGCCTCGCCAACGGAGAGTGTTTGGAAGTAAGTGCTTGGTGGGGACAAAAGAAATGAAGCCCCCGATGGACAATCAAGATTTGGAGTCTTAACGGAGTATATGGTGTTTTTTTTGGTAAACAATGATAAAAGGAGGAAACGACAAAAAAAAAAGGCTGCGACCATTGCTCACGTCATATTGGTGATACCCCGGACTCGATTTCGTTTATATTATTATTTCTTTCCAGATGTATATTCCCATGAAACTTTTCTTTTCTTGGCCACTACTCCTTTTGTGTCTGGCATTTCATCTATTTCCATAGCGCTGTTTCAAGGTGCGGTATCGTTTGAGATAGTACCTGGTTTCTTTTTGTTAGAACAACTTGTCTGAACCTGGGTGTACGACATCCAGATTTTATGATGATATGATATGAATGACAAAAGACACAGTTTGAGTACAGTTCGAGCCGGTATGCATTTTGACTTGGAATTGCTTGGACCCTGTTATCCGCTCGTAGCAGATAGGTAAGGTATATCAACAGCACCACAATGCTCACAAGATAAAGGATGAGCCGTTGGCTTGATAATGCCGCGAAGAGGAGGAAGAGGAGGAGGAGGCTCGACCATGAACTTACAGGGCTTCGATTTCTGTGAGAATAGACAATCGGATTAGCCATCCCATGCGCTACTGGACCCAGAAGAGCCCAGCTCTAGGTAGATAAGAGTGAAGGAAGAACTGACCCTTTTTCACAAACTCCGCCCTTGCTATACCGTTTCTGATTTGCTCCTCATCTTCGACATGTGCTTGACTAGCAAAGGCGCGGTGAAGTCTCGTTCGAAAGTATTCATAACCCAAGGGGTATTCGCGACCGATATTAAGGAGCTCTGTGGTGCAAGCAAGCAAGCAAGCAGAGATGTTAGCAGCGACGTGAGAGGGAAGTGAAATGACCTCAAGTGGGGGTTGGGCCTCATTTTGGGGGGGTGCACCTTTGTAAATATTGATAACCTGTCGGCGAAGTTCCGGGTTGGGCATTGTTTTGTTCCCTAACTATTTGTTGTGCAAGCCGGGGAGGGGCTAAATATAGAGAGATGAAGAAGAGTCTGAAGAGATAATTGAGAGCGGGGGGGCAGGAAGATGAACGAGGCTGGGATGTTGATACTCTGGGAATGGGACTTGGCGTGGGATGAGTATTCAAGAAGCTGTTACCGAACTGCCGAAGATACTACTCCAGGTACGGAGTACTCCGTAACCTGCTCCGGCTCCTGCTCCATAATTCAACTGACAAATGCTTCGTACGACAGCCCCAGCACCGATTCTCACTTCGTCATGATACGGAATCAACTCCTCCGAGGCCAGCGCCTCGTCTTTCAGTTCTCAATCGCTCAGATCCGTCCGTTCTCGGCCTCATCTCCTCCTGCCTCCGATTCGAAGACGGTTGCGCCGAAACCTCCCGATATTGACCCTCGATGGCTTACAATGACAAAGCGGAGAGTAGGGAGGTGTATGATGTTTGGATTGAAACCTGATCAGATTCAGGAAGCCGGCGAGATCCTGCAGCAAATAGCCCGGGATTGGCGGGAGCTGATTGCGGGCAGTGAAGGGTATTTGACAGAGGAGACGCGAAGAGGATTGTTCCGGCAGCGTGTCGCGTGGGGTGAAATGGTATGATTTGGGCTTTGGTACGGAGAATCCTAGCTAATACATGACAATTGGTCTCATTGCCAACAGGACAGCATGGTGAGCTATCCTTACACCTATATGTGTATATGTGTGTGTCTGTGTGTGTGTGTGCATGTTAGCTGATCCGTGGACAAGGGTACCTATAATATGACTTCCTTCCCTTTCGATTCGTTCTCCGTGGACTATAGAATCAGATTCCAATCCGACCTTATTGGCTCTCTATAGTTAATCATTGGCTCTAACTAATCAATTGGACCCTCTCCAGGACATGTCAACAACGTGACATACGTTAGATACGCCGAAACCGCACGAGTATATTTCACCCGAAACTTCGCCGTCCACATCGATCCCTCGCATAAGGAGGAATGGATGAACCTTGTCAGTTCCAGGGGACTCGGGATCATCCTTCGCAGCATTAAAGTCGACTACAAATTTGTATGTTCTGTACATGTTTTATCTTCTTCTTCTTTGACATTATCAGATATCGTCTTGCCTAACTTCACTCGCAGCCCATGCAATACCCAGACAAGGTCACAGTGTATCACAAACTAGTTCACGACCCTGCATCCCCCCAGTTTTCTCAATACGCGTTTCACCTCCAGGCCACGATACTGTCCGAAGCGCGTCAGCGGCCCGCAGCACGGTGCCATGAGGACCTAGTGACGTACGATTATAGGCTAGGGAAGAAGGCGGCGATCCCGCCGTTTCTCATGGAGCAATTCCAGAGAACGTGGCAGCTCCAGGAAGAAGCTAAGAAAATCTGGCGCCAGCGGATTCTTGATATCGAGGCGGCGGTTAGGAAGTTAGAAGTAGAGAGTTGGGATCGAGAGGATGCCGTTGAAGATATGGGTTCTGCAAAGAAATAGTCGTTTGTGTTTGTGTGGAACTTAATATATATATTTATAAATATACTCGATCCCAATCTCTACCTCTAAACTTCCCAAAAGTTGCCTTGTTATCAAATGTATATATATACATACACGTATATATATTTTTAAATAAATTTTTATCAATGTATGATGATCTCCGGGTATCGTACAAGATAGTACCTAGTACAAAGGTACTACTATAGTAATCACAAAATCTATAATACACAACGGGTAGTATATGGATCAAAAAGGACCAAAAGGTAACCCAACTTGACAGAATCGTATCTACTGCGCCTGGAAATCCTCTATCCTTCTGAATATACCCACAAATCCTCCACCGACAATACGGGAGCCAACCTTTGGTCTACACACCAGGGCAGTTTCGGGGTCTTTAGCCGGAGTTTCTTCAACTGCTTGCGCTTCTGCAGTTTCTTCCTCCACAGGTTCTTCACCTGCGGGCTCAGAGGAGGATTCAGTCCAAGAAGACGGGTCCGCGCGGGACTTTTTCACCGCGAATCGAATGTCCCAGAGCCGGCCGTTGCTGATGCCCGGGCCAAGCTCGACCGCCTTCTCAAGGATGAAAGGCAATTTCTGTTGACGGATGAGGTCCACGCATTCGCCAATCTGGGTCACGCTGGGCATGAAGACTGCGAGAATTCCGTCTCGTTTGAGAATACGTGCAACGTGCGGGATACGCAGGTGGGAGGAGGGCATGTCGAGGATCGCATGAGTGAGGAATGGCTCCGGGGAAGTATCGGATTTTCTGAAAGACGGGAGGAGGTTGCTGGACCGCGTTTGCTGCTGGCGACGACGGACTTGCTCCATGATCCAGTTCTCGACGTGGCCGACGTAAAAGTCAACATTGCCGGCGTAGATGCCGCGGCGGAATTCGCGCACGATTGTCTCTGCGTGTGCGGAGAACTTCGGGGAGACATCGACGGTATGGATAATGGCTTTGCGCTGAGCACGCCATGTATCCCATTGTTCCTGAGTCTGGTCCACGGGTTTGTCGCCTTCCGCCCCTTGTCCGTTCGTTTGGGGTTGGTCGTCTCCCGGCCGTCCGGGACGTCCTTGAAGATATTGAATCTGAGACTCTTCTGGAAGAAGCGGTGGGAGGGAATTGGCGGCCTGAATTGCGCGCGCGAGCTGGAGGGTGAGGGATCCATGACCTGTGCCGGATTCGAGAATTTCTAGCGGTGGACGACCATCATCTCCGTCGGCGGGGGGTGCGACGTGAATGTCCAGGAGAGAAACAATTAAATTTGCATCTGCCGCGTATATCTAGGGGACCTCGTTAACGAAATCGGATCTCAGTTTCGAGGGGGGTCGGAGGGACTGCGCGGGAAGAGGGCAATACCGGAGTGACGAGGCGCGGTGTCAGGGCGACATACTCTTCGAGGGTTGGGAGTGTGAGTCTATACTCAGGGCCTGTTTGAGAAACTGAAGCCTCAGTCGCGGTTTTTTTTTCTCTTATGTCTTCACTGCTTTACCAAGAGGGTTATACCTTTGCGCGCCTGGACCAGATCTCGAACTCGACGGCCGATAATCTGGTCATGCTCCAACTGTCCCCGGCGGACGTCCGACTTCTGTCCTTTTCGAAGAGGCTTCGTTAACTGCGGGGTTTTTCCATGGACGATGACTCGATCACCCTCTAATAGTAGCAAAGACTTCTGTTAGTTATAGTATTAGAAGCTGGAGTAGAGACAGTACCCCGAAAGTAGGAAAAGTCGGTATCAATTGAGCGGGCAAAACGCGAGACTGGCAGGATCGAGGAATCCAGTCCCAGAAACTGACGCAAAGACTTCACCAGACGAGCCATTCATTTAGTCAATAATTGAGAGGAGAAAGAAAATGTCAGTATCGTTTAAATTTCGGCCCAAAATGCTGGAGAAGACGCGATCCTGCGGGATGAAAAAAAAAAAGACCAAAAGCTCCACCGAAATCCAGATTAGTTCAGTTTAATATGGAGATTTATGTATGGAGATCCCCGCAATGATCCATCCTCTAATGCCAGGACAGATGCCACTTGATACTTGTTCTTCTCTCTTTCCTACACCATCACTTTCCTTCGTTGAAGTAGGTCTATAGCACTTTATCCAGGGCCTACTAGTCAAACTGACTCTAACCCGCCTCCATCTCCAGACCCCTCCTCCTCCTCTGTCGTGTTCGCCATGTCTTCCACCTCCCTTTCATACCTGAAGACAAACCCCCAGATCATTTTCTTCACTGATTTTGATGGGACTATTACTCTGGAGGATAGTGAGTATACCTATTCAGTTCGACGGAATTGTCTACTTCCCCACTGCTGACTGTTAACCGCAGGTAATGACTTTATGGTATCCTCTCCCATCTTTTCTACCCCCCCCTCCCTTCTGCCATGATACTGATTCAATTGTCTTGTCTACAAGACCGATAATCTCGGATATGGATACACAAAGCGCCGTCAGGGAAACATTGACGTCCTAGAAAACAAAATCAGTTTCCGGTATGATTCGTGCGCGTATGCGAGATAGAGAGACTGAGAATAGTAATAATCAATGCTTCCAGTGATTCCTTCCGCGACATGCTAGACAGTATCAAGACTCCATTCAATGAATGCCTCGACCAGCTGCGAAAGAACATGCGTCTGGACCCTTATTTTGCCCAATTTTATTACTGGGCCAAGGACAACAACGTCCCGATCGTGGTTCTTTCTTCTGGCATGGTTCCAGTCATCAAGACCCTTCTGGAGACCCTCCTGGGCCACCCGCTCGATGATCACCTTACCATCGTCGCCAATGAGGTCGAGAGCCGCGATGGCCAGGACATCAACTCACCTGGTGGATGGCAAATCAAGTACCACGATGACAGGTAAGAAAGAACGATTCCGAGTAGTTTTACCTCCGGGGACCCTGACATCAAAACCGCAGCCACTTTGGCCATGACAAGTCCCTTGAGATTAAGCCATACTCTGCGCTGCCGCTTGACCAGCGCCCAACTTTGCTTTACGCAGGAGATGGGGTCTCTGACTTGTCCGCCGCTTCGGAGACGGATCTCTTGTTCGCCAAAACCGGCAAAGGTAAGTTTGGTTTTCCCTCCTTGTCTGCCGTGGGTAGCCATTAACTTACGAGGTAGATCTTGTCACCTACTGCGAGCGTCAAGGAATGCCGTTTACCGTTTTTGACGACTGGTCGTCGATTCTCACTACCACCAAGGATATCCTTAGCGGGAACCTGGTGGTGAAGAAGCAGAACTAAGGGGGGGGGGGAAGGGGAGGGGGTTAGTGTAGATCGTTATAAGGATGGTAGGGCCTACATATAGTTATGACGCTAGAAAGGTTAGTTTCATCTGTTCCAAAACCATACCAATAATAATATCTCGTCAATCCACTTCTTTGTCGTAGTTAGAGTATTATAAAATTATAAATATAGGAAGAAGGGTGCCACGACATGCGACCGCCTTCCGGATTGGATTCTGCTGGTCCAATGACATTGAGTTGCGCCTCATCTTAGTTATCCTTTTCCCAAAGTTCCCACCCCCTTGAGATGGCCTGCCTGTAGGTCTTCGTTTCTGCTACGAGCCCCTGAACTTGCTGCGTGGCCTGGACTTTTCCATCATGCTCCAGCGCTCGCCTGCACTATACTTGGTCAGAACTACCCAGGGGTGCCATTGTGTATCATGACACGCCGACTCGTGAGTCTTCCTGCGCAGCTTTCCCTGGTCGTGGCGTTGCGGCGTAAGGTCCACTTTGCTGACCCTTTCCTTCTTCTTGCTCTACAGGTTCGAGCGGGCATCCAGCTCGCGATATTCGCTTCTTTTGTACTACTTCTCATCGTCACTTTAGACAATAGGTTCCGTGTCCTCCCAGCGTCGATTCACGGCCATCTCCCTTCTCATTACACCGGCTTTGTCGTCACCGATGTCACCGTGGTGACCTGCTCAACTATCAATGTCTTTTCAAGCTGCAAATCTACATCGCCAACATGGTTTCAAGTCGAAAAGGATCTGTATCTGCGGACGGGGTGGACTTCGGCTGCGTTTGTTCGATTCCAGCGGAAGAAGGAGGAGGAGCTGCTCCTAACGGATAAGGTTGTCGTTGACCTCAAAATTAGCCGACTTGCCCCAGAGTTCCACGACGATCCCAGCCAGGATAAGGAAGGTTGGGAGCAGCGCCCCGGTGGAATCTGGTTGAAGCGATCTGCAAAGCGACACGTGAGTGACTCTGGCAACGCCATAACCTCCATTGACGTCTTATTCGGTGCCGATGCCGTTGACCCGCGCCTCGGTTGGGAGGTGAAGGATACCCCACTGCTTCTGGATAGTCGGACAGAGCTCTTGGAGGCTCGGATCACTGTCCGGAGAGGAGATCCACCGAAGACCAGGAAACCTGTGCCCAGGATCAACGAAAATGGTCGGTTCAAGATCATGCAGTTGGCAGATTTGCATCTGAGCACTGGTCTTGGTGTCTGTCGAGAACCCGTCCCGCCTGAGCTGGTCCCCGGGCAAGGGTGTGACGCGGACCCACGGACGCTGGAGTTTGTGGAGCGGCTCCTAGATGAAGAGCAGCCGGACATGGTTGTTCTGAGTGGCGACCAGGTGAATGGCGATACAGCCAAGGATGCGCAGAGTGCGCTTTTCAAGTCTGTCAAATTACTCATCGACCGCAAGATTCCGTATGCCGCGATTTTCGGGAATCACGATGACGAGGGCGACCTGGATCGTACTCAGCAGATGACTATTTTGGAAGATCTGCCGTACTCACTATCATCGGCTGGCCCCGAAGATGTGGACGGAGTTGGCAACTATATCGTGGAAGTTCTCGGCCGTGGAAAGACAGATCATTCCGCACTATCGCTTTACCTCCTTGATACACACTCCTACTCCCCCGACGAAAGACAGTTTCGAGGATACGATTGGATTAAACCTAACCAGATTCGGTGGTTCAAGAATACCGCCCAGGGGCTGAAAGCCAAACACCACGAATACACGTACATGCACATGAATCTGGCTTTTATTCACATTCCCCTTCCCGAATTCGCTCATCTCGATAACTACTACCGAGGAAACTGGTCCGAGGCTTCGACTGCCCCCGGATTTAACTCGGGGTTCAAAGACGCCCTTGAAGAAGAGGGCATTCTTTTCGTTAGCTGTGGACAGTGAGTCAAACTCCCATTTCCGGCAGACTAGACTTTTCTCCTTTTCGCTAACCTTCTCAGTGACCACGTCAACGACTATTGCATGCTCGGTAAAGACCAAGATGAGAAGCCATCGCTCTGGATGTGCTACGGCGGAGGAGCGGGTTTTGGCGGATATGCAGGGTATGGCGGTTACATCCGGCGCGTGCGGTTCTTCGAATTTGACATGAACCCCGGACGCGTAGTGACATACAAGCGCCTTGAATATGGCGCAACAGAGGCCAGAATCGATGAAATGATGATTGTCGACGGAGGCGCGGTCAAAGGACCCGAGGTAGAAGAGGTACCGCAAGAGCCGCCGATTCCCGACAGGGTTGTATAAATCATACACACAAGGCACCTTCTGAGCGGTATCATTTGCCTTGCATAATCTAATGCACCCGCGGACAACATCTTGTTATGTAAAAGTCTTTTCCTTCTCTCTCTTGTGTATATAGTATGAGCCGGCATATTGTTGAGGTGGCGTTGGTTGAGGTAAAATGTCCAACATTATTAATTAAATCTTTACGATAAGAAGAAGAGAAGGATCCCAGATGCAAACACCAAATTTCTTGAACCATATATCATATATACGAGTACTATGTTCAATCTACTCCATTCCTCCCTGGAATTAATTATAGTTTGGCAAGGACCCCGTTCGCTTCAAGAACCGCCAGATGGCCTTCGTTGATATCTTTGATCGTCTTGCAGCTGTGGAATCGAGCCCGGTTAGCATGTTTCCATATGAAGTATTGAAGGCTGGCTGGCTGGCTGGCTGGCCGGCTGGCTTACCCAGTGAGCATCATGGTGCGTTGGAACTCATCTAGCAAGATTTTGACGGCTAATTCAACGCCGGCTTCGCCATTGTACTTTATGCGGGAGCAAATCGTTTTGTGTTAGTGTGACGACTGTTTCCCTTCTTTTTGTTCAAGATAGGAAGGAACACGTACAGCAAGTCCCCAGATGGGAATCCGACCCACGAAACACATAGATGCGCCGAGGGCAATGGCTTTGAACAGGTCTGCGCCCCGGCGGATTCCGCCGTCGATTGCAAGGGGGATCTTGCCCCGTGCAACTGGTCCGCATTCTCTTAGCGCATCCAGGGTTGCGGGCACGCCGTCGAGCTGGCGACCTCCGTGGTTTGAGATGATCACGCCGTCCAGTTTGTAGTCGATGGCTAGTTGGACGTCGGCGGCGGTGTATACTGGTTAAAAAAAAAAAAGAAGAAGAAGAAGAAGAAGTCAGCGAATGAAAGAGAATGAAGCAGGAAAGGGAACGTACATACCTCCTTTCAACCAGATTTCCATCTTCGTGTTTTGTCGTAGCCATGGAATTGTCTTCTCCCATGTGATCGTTGGATCTATATTCCCCCTCTGTCAGTGGCTTGCATAGCCATCAGTTCGTTCGTCAATGACATACCGTAGCCCCGTTGGTATGTGTTTTTCAGCCCAGCTTCGGTCTCATCTTCGGCAAGGTTGGGAAACTTCATCTCTGGCGGGAATTTGAAGTTGTTGCGGCTCTCGTTCAGACGATTGCCGAGAATGGGAAGGTCGACAGAGACGAAAATTGCCTTGTAACCGGCCTCTAAAAAAAAAAAAAAAAAAACATATATTTAGTTATTGAACTCGTTGAAATAAGAAATACTCACTCTCCGCGCGGGCAATGATGCCCTTGGTAATGGAATTGTCTCTCAGAAAGGTAATCTGCATGGCGTATGGATTCTGACCGGCCTGTGAAATGACATCCTCCAGACTCGTGGTCGCCCAGGATGATAGGCACATGGGGATATTTTGTTTGGCCGCAGCTCTCGATGTTGCCATCTCGCCCTCCGGGTGTGCCATCCTGTGTGCTGCCGCCGGGGCAAAGCCGAGTGGAAACGCGACGCTGGTTCCAAAGATCGTCGTGGATGTGTCGACATTGTCCACGTCGCGGAGGACACGAGGACGGAGTTTGTACCGATCGAACGCTGCAGAGTTGTCTTTTAACCTGAATGGAAAGCCAAGTCAGCCTCAACATGGTGTCCGGTCGTGTGGTATACCATGATCCGTACGTGACAAGGTCGCCGGCTCCCTCATTGAAGTAATCTGCAACGAGATAGATCAGATGAGCAACTCGATGGTCTCCAGTCTGGAAATGGATGCATTACCTCGAACAATTGCGGGGATCCTGGCTTCGGCGGCTTTTGCTAAGTCCTGGATTGTGAGGACTGACGGGTCCAATCGCTCCGCACGGTTTGCCATGGTGAGTGCCGAAAGGTCTGGAGAGGGACTGAATGAAGGATTTTAGGATCAGGTTGAAGAATAGTTTCAAGTTGTGAGAATGAGCTCTCCGCAGTTATATTTGGCTTTGGCGGCAGACCCCAACCCTGCGTACAAATCAGTTACCCCAAATTTCCCCTGCAGCCGGCGATAAACAAGAAGGCAAGTCTCCCCGTTATCTGACGAGGATATGGAGTGACTTGCCTTGTCAGAATAAGGATAATCCGGGGATGTTGTGGTCGTGTTGTGATTCTAATTATAGAGAACAAAGATACCTGATAAGCTGGCAATCTGTACTACTGGTTGGATAGATTCTTATATACTAGTTAATTAAAAGGCTTCAGAGAAATCTAGAGCAGAAAGCCGCAGTCACGGCAGCTTAGCACTGCCCCCGGAATTTATTGGCCTTTCTAATCATATCCTTGTAAAGCTTCCAGATACGTTCTGATTTTCACCAAGAATTGGTTCATCGAGGGAGGCCTATCTATTTCCACTCATACCCCCGGTCTGTTATCAAGCGTTACTACCAGCCGGGGGATTCCTCAAGGGAACAGAAGAGCGGCTCCTTTACAGGCCCTGGCTGAGCTCTCCATTCGACTTCCAGATCTCATAGTTCAAGTCCGTTTGGAATTCATAGTAGAGAGTTTCCTTTTTCAGAGTCAGCCAATTTCTTCCCCCCCCCCCCCCCCGAAAGGGATTCCCCAAGGGGAGCTCAAAATCAACTTACTGGGTCTGCGTTGACGTTGGCAGTATATTCGGCTTCCTTGTCGCCAACAATGTTCTTTGGTAGCTTGGCACTTTCAACCATGAGCTGAACCTCACAGGTTCGCTCCAAGGACGTGAAAAGGTAAGCAGCCTCGTCCACAGTGCCTCCCGCAGTCAAAAGTCCGTGGTTCTGTAGAATAGCGACTCTTCCCTTTTCGCCCAAAGCCTCGGCAAGCCGTTGGCCCTCCTCAGCTTCGAGGACAACACCACCAAAGGAATTATACACGGTTTGGATACCGTAGAAGGTGCAGCTATCCTGGTTCAGAATCTCCACGGGGCGGCCAAAAGTCGACCACGCCTTTCCGGCGGGTGAATGGGCGTGGCAGGCCGCATTGATGTCTGGTCGAGCCTTGTGGATCGCACTGTGAATCATGAAGCCAGCAGCGTTTACGGCTACCTTGTTGCCACCGATGACCTGGCCTTCCTCGTTCACATGAACCATGTCCTCGGCTTTCAGCATGCCGAAGTGTACTCCCAGACTTTGCGGGTAATGTTAGACAAGCATGGCTTGAGATACAAATTCGGCGGACTCACGGGTTGATCCAGAAGGTATTAGGGTCGATGGGATCGCGAACACTGATGTGGCCGGCGGTGCCTTCAGTATATCCTTTGCGAGCGAACACCCGGAACGCACCGGCCATGTGCTCCAACTGCCACTGCCGCTTCTTGTAGAGATCATCGAATTTGGGCATACCAGGCACCGGATAACCTCCTGTGCCACAGGCACCGAGACCTGCTGGTGCAGCACTAGCCGGCTTGACCTCGGGCGTGGACTGTGCATTCTTATCCCCAGAGCTCCCGAGAGAGATAGTGTGTGTAGTGGTGGTGGTGGTGGAAGACATGATGATGATGGTGAATCCACTGAATAGGAACTGGTTACTGAAGAGGGACGTTTATGATAACATGCATGACCTCTTATATGGTACGCTGCATTGGGATAATCAATAAGGGATGTTCAACTTCAACATAGTTCTTCCTCCTGTGTGGGGGATGGTTGAAGTCTTCTCTGACTAATCCACGATCCCCAGGCCGAGATCGGTAAAAACAAGCGCTGGCGATAAGGCCCCAATCGCTGTCACTTGACGTCGCTCTGGGCTTCCTGTCTTCCCCCATTCTTAACCTCCAATGTCAGTCACCTCTCTCCACATCTGCGATGAAGACGTTATAAACACCTTTGCACCCTCTGGAAATCCACATACGGCAACTCACGGCGAAAACCTGTAACGCAATGCTTGGTTGCAAACCTCCTCGCAAACATAGCAAGACGTTCACAGGCTGCTGGACGTGTCGTACAAGGAAGGTCAAATGCGATGAGACGAGGCCCGTCTGCACGCAATGTATGACCAAGAGACTCGACTGTGCGGGCTATGGGGTCCGGCTCCACTGGCTGCCCCCAGAGCAAGGGAACAACACCAAGTCTTATGGAGATCCCCTAGATTTGTCCCGCGGTCGATCACAGAGGAGTCAAATCCCCTTTGGTATGCTGTGCTCCCCCCCCCCCCCCCCCCCAAATCCCTTCTTCTGCCCCGGGGGCTAGCGTCCATCGCTAAGCTGCCTAGAATCGTACCGACGCCCTCTGAATGAGGACCAACTCGACCGTATTCTAAGCACCATCGACGACTTGGAACCAGGGCGGAAGAGCGATTCCTCCGGCTTACCAGAGACCCTGGTCGTCCATAATTTTGGTGTCTTTGATACCTCTTCTTCCCGTCGTGATTCGTCCACTGAAGCTTTGCTGAGTCACACCACTTTCGATCCCGAGTCACCCTCCATCTGTGAGCCACTGCCCTCTACCGTCAATCCAAGTCTTACCGACTCTGTCCTCCCTCCCGAGACCTTGGACAGCCTCAATGCGTTGTTGTACCCCAGTGAGGATGATACAGCGCTTCAAGATGCATTTGACACTCTCCTGTTGCCAGAACTGTCCCCAGACTTTGCCGCCCGAAGAGGAGCACAGGAAACATCTCATAAACCCCCGGACAATAATTCAGAACAAAAAAAGGTAGCGCGCGTTACCCCCCGACACTACCGCTCGGAAGACGGCGGAACTATAATCTACAGTCCGTCTCCAGCATACCTGTCTCCCATGGAGCAGTTTTTGATGCACCATTATATGCATCGTGTCGTGCGGCTCTTCTGCGTGATAGACAACATGAAGAGCCCCTGGCAAAAAATCCATCTTCCACGGGCCCTTCAAAGCATTGGCCAGATGAACGTGGACGGCTCGACGTCAAACATCCAAGACGCTCTCCGAAATGCATTGTTGTCCATCAGCGCCTTTATCCTGTCGAATGATAACGGGTCACGTGGATGCGAGGAGGAAGCTGCGCGATGGGCAAACAAGGGTATGTTATTCCGAGGGAAAACCATCCGACTCCTGAAAGACTCGGTGGAGCGCAGCTTTGGGCATGAACCCCGGCCCAAGTATAAGGATTTCCTTGCCACCATGCTATCGATGATCTCGATCAATGTAAGAAGAAGAAGTCTCCTTTTTTAACAACGTTGGTCTAAATTTTCTGCTAGGTAATGTCGGGGGACACAAGCACCTGCAGTGTTCACTTGGACGGCGCTTTTCACTTTATTAAAATGGCGCGAAATTGGAAAGTAAATTACTCACCCAAAGCGCGGTCCCTTCACCGAATTTACGTCTACTTACGAACCATATACGAAAGCACGGCCACGAGGAGTCAAAAGGCAATGCCCTGTCGGTCCACTTCCATCCAGCTTGCCATCCCAGAATTATCGCAAACATATTCCACCGACATTAGTAGGGGCGCTTCAGACTCACCCAACTCGCATCCGTCCCCAGAATCCGACTCTCACATGAGCACATACGAATGTATATATGGTGTGCCACATCATTTACTAATCCTATTAAGTAAAACCACCGAGTTGATAGACGCGGTAACGGATGCCCGAGAAACAAGTGGAATGACAATGATTCCGGATGGGCTCGCCCGGGAATGTGACCGGCTTGAAAGTGCCATTATGGACTGGCCCCTGGAGCTGGAACTCAAGAAGTGCCTCGGGGACGAGATGAGTGCGAGCTCGGAAATCATTCGTAGAACTGCGCGTGCTTTCCATCATGCCCTAGTCATATACTTCGCGCAGCACATACGGCTGGTGGGACATCGCTATCTGCACCAATACATTGAATCCGTGCTCGACTGTATCGAGGCCATTGAGAAAATCAAAGCCAATACTGATTGTTTGGCGGCACCGCTGTATTGGCCTGCTTTCGTAGCTGCGAGTGAGGCATTTGATGAACACCTGCAGGATCGGTTTAAAGCATGGTATGAGCAGGTCGAAATGTACGGGATTGCAGCCGTGCGAACTGGGATCAATATCCTGACCCGAGTTTGGCAGAACGGCACGGGGGCAAGCAACCGAATAACTAGTCAATGGCGGATAGAAGTCCATCGTACGAACGCACACTTGATGTTAAGTTAGGGGTATGATTTTGAGTGTATATCTTTTTATATCCCGCGTCACACTGTCCCTTTTAATATAATCGGAGAGAAAAAAAAAAAAGCATTTGTCTTGAAATTCTCCCATCACATAACTATGCCGCCGAGGAGGAATCTTAAATCCTAGGTAATTGAATCAAGTTGAGAGAGAGAGAGAGATATATATATATATATACACATTTTTTAGTTTAAATGGACGCCCGGTGGGCAACGTTGACATTCCCCATCACGATCGTCTTCATTTGCATATAATCATCCATTCCGTACTTGCTTCCCTCTCGGCCAACGCCAGATTGCTTAATACCACCAAATCTAGATAGCAGGGTCAGAACGAATTCTCATTAACATTAAAGCAGGAGGGGTAGAGAACGTACGGTGCAGAAGCAACGGAAATAACACCCGTGTTCACGGCGACCATGCCCGAGTGCAAAGTTTCGGATACACGGGTGGCACGGCTGACCTGCTCGGTGAACACGTACGCGGCCAGGCCAACATCGCAGTCGTTTGCAGACTCAATCACCTCTTCCTCGGAAGTGAACTGTTGAATGGCAGCCACAGGCCCAAAGATCTCTTCGTTGATAATGCGCATATCCCCCGTGATGCCGGTCAGCACGGTGGGCTCGTAAAACGCGGGACCTAGAATGATTTCGATTAGTTCGTTGAAACCAGACTAGAGAGAAAGGGGCTTCCTACCTAGGGACGGAATTCGCTTGCCGCCTGCCACGACCTGGGCGCCTTTCGTCACTGCATCCTCGACAAGCTCTGCGACCCGGTTTACGGCCGAGGCATTGATCAAAGGTCCATGCGTCACGGCCGGGTCAATGGCATTGCCAACTTTGAAAGCACTCACGGCGGCCGCCAATTTGCGAACAAAGTCGGCGTAGATGCCGCTTTGAACGTAAATCCGGTTCGCACAGACGCAAGTCTGCCCCGTGACCTTGAACTTGGAGGCTATTACGCCTTGGATGGCGAGGTTGATATCTGCGTCGTCGAACACAATGAACGGGGCGTTGCCGCCGAGCTCGAGACTGAGCTTCTTGACCGTGTCGCTGGATTGCTTCATGAGAATGCGGCCGACCCGGGTGGAGCCAGTGAATGAGATTTTACGGATTTTGCTGGACGAGCACAGAACCTGGCCGATCTCTGGAGTGTTGTCTGCCGCATGCACAATATTGATGACGCCCTTGGGCACTCCCGCTCTCTCGGCAAGGCGAATGAAGGCGTTGGCAGTGAAAGGAGTTTCGCCGGCAGGCTTGAGGACTACCGCGCAACCGGCCGCAAGAGCTGGGCCCAGCTTTCGGGCAATCATCGCACCAGGGAAATTCCATCTGGGGAACACACCGGTCTATCAGTTTCGTGTTGCTAGCAGAGAGACAAGGGAGGAACCAGACAGAGAGAGAGAGAGAGAGAGAGAGAGAGAGAGAGAGAGAGAGAGAGAGAGAGAGAGAGAGAGAGACATACGGAGTAATCAGGCCGCATACGCCAACGGGTTCCTTGACCACTGCCACTCGGAATCCCCGTGCGCTGTGGGGAATGACATCGCCATATACACGGGCGGCCTCCTCAGAAAACCACTCGAGGAAGCTTGCGGAGAAGTTGACTTCACCCACGGCATCCCCGCTGGCCTTTCCATTTTCCCAGCTAATCAAAGTGGCCAAGTCATCACAGTTCTCCTTGACCAAGTCGTACCAGCGGCGGAGAATGTTGGAGCGTTCGCGCCCGGTGAGATTCCGCCAGTGCGGCATAGCAGCGGAGGCGGCGTCAATCGCCTGCTCGGCGTCTTGAGCAATGGATTCGGGGCATGATCCGATCACCTCATTTGTCGCAGGGTCTTTTGTGCCAAATCTGTCAGTCAGGCCATAGACATTCGATCACCTTCCCGACATACCGTACACATCGAAGCGCTTCCCCGAAGCCGAATCAACCCAGTTGCCACCGATCAGGTTCTGCCCGATCAGAAGGGAGGAGTCTCGCAAGGAATGGCCCGCCATTGGTTCAGATGGGAAGGTGGGATAGGAAGAAAGACGGACGATAAATGCCTAGGTAGCGGTGATTGCACTTTGGACTCGACGCAGCCAATATATCTATCACCCACGGACGCGGAGAACGGACGCTGCGAACGGACAACTGAGCGACTTTCCGAGATAGGCCTCTTTTCCTCGCGTTTTTTGGGGGGACGGGGTGGAGAGAGAGAGAGAGAGAGAGAGAGAGCGTTGGTGGCGGGCGATGCAGTGCGGCAACCTCAAGCGACGCTCTGGACCACAGCCGCGGTGACTTGCCATCCGGCTATCCTCAAGTTTTTTCGCAGTTGGTCATGGACTTAACGTAAGCATCCAAATCCTGGGAAACGGGATATCCGGAAAGTACGGCGAACCAACGTTGGCACGCATTTTACGTTGACGAGATAGAGCTGTCGAGCAGCGAATTCTGGTGATAAGCTGTGGGGCGGCGGTTTTGTTTATTAGCCGTCTTCGAGCTGTCTTCGAGCTGGTTTCTTCCTCTTCCCAACTCCATCTCACAATTTGCCTTCTACTTTCTGGTTCGAGATGGCTCCAAGCGTCAAGTCTGTGGACATTGCGAGCACCGCCAGCGCCTACCATGCCGCCGCGACGGTGAGCCCAGCAGGAAAGCTGCTGCACATCTCCGGCCAGCCCGGAACGACCAAGGACGGTGCTGTGCCCAACGACTACGAATCCCAGATCCATTTGGCTCTTCTGAACCTGCGGAAGATCATCATTGCCGCGGGAGCCTCCATCAAGGATATCGTCAAGCTGAACGTCCTGATTGTCAACTACGACCCCTCCAACCGCAAGCATACTCGCCACATCCAGCGGTTCCTCGCCGGTCACCGGCCGGCTATTACGCTGGTTCCGGTCACCCAGCTTGCTATCGCATCATGGCTGGTTGAGATTGATGCCGTTGTCGCCATCCCAGAACCGTCGCTCCCTCCCTCCCTCCCCCAGGCTACGGAGACGGTTGACGTTGTCATTGTCGGCGCTGGTCTCGCCGGTTTGTCGGCGGCGCATGAGGTTCTGCGCGCAGGACTCTCGTGTGTTGTTCTCGAAGCACGAGACCGCGTTGGAGGCAAGACCTGGAGCCAGCCGCTGCAGGACAAGGGCGTCGTTGAACTTGGCGCTGCTTGGATCAACGACGTGGACCAGCAAAAAGTTTACGGTCTCGCCAAACGCTACGGCGCCGACCTGATCGAACAGAATACGCAAGGCGATGTTGTTTTGCAGGACTTTGATGGAAGCTGCTCGCCTTTTACTTATGGCGACTTGCCTAACGTAATTCCCCCCCCCCCAAAATTTTCTTCCTTCCTTGGGGAGCTTTCGACTGACCTTGAAAAAAAAAAAAAAATTATTAGTTCGACGCAGCAACTCGTGCTCATATCGCGTTCATTCGTGACAAGTGCGAGGCGGACTGCCAGGCCCTTGACGCTTGGAGGCCCAATGACAACACCCTTGACTCCCTCACTTTCGAGGCCTACCTGCGTGCCAGTGGAGCCGATGACGCTGCCGTTGCCACCGCTACGGTCTGGACCCGGGCAATGCTCGGCCAGGACCCCCGTGATATGTCCGCTCTCTTCTTCCTGAACTACTGCAAATCCGGCGGTGGTCTGTTGCAGATGCGATCCGATCGCAAGGGTGGTGGCCAACATCTCCGCATCCGCCAGGGTACTCAGTTCTTCTCTCTGGGGCTTGCCTCGGACCTTCCAGAGAAGGTTGTTCGCCTCTCTTGCCCCGTGGATACTGTCATCCAGAATGTCGATCGATCGCTCAAGGTCCAGGCCGGCGGGGTCGTGTATGCCGCTCGCAAACTGATCACGACCGTCCCAACCCCTGCCCTCAAGAACATCACCTTTTACCCCAAGCTGCCCCCAGCCAAGCAGATGTGGATTGAATCTACCACCTACGGGTACTACACCAAGGCCATGATGGTGTTCAGCGCCCCATTCTGGATTGAGCGTGGTTTCTGCGGCCTGGCCCAGTCCTACACCGGTCCCGCCAGTGTGGTTCGCGACACCTCCAGCCCCGCTGACCAGAAGTACGTCCTGACCTGCTTCATGGCCGCGGACTTTGGCCGCGCCTGGGCCGCGCTGTCCGCCAAGGAGCGCGAACAGCAGCTGCTCGCCCAGTTGGAAAAGCTGTTTGGCGTGTCCAACCTGCAAGAGAAGTTCATCGAGCTGGTCATGTACGAATGGGTGCAGGACCAGTGGGCCGGGTGGGGTTGCCCGTCGACGTCCATGACCCCCGGCGTGCTCGCCACGCTGGGAGGCGACGCCCTGCGCGACAGCTGCGGCGACATCCACTTTGCTGGTACCGAGACAGCGGGTGAATGGAAGGGTTATATGGAGGGTGCGATCCGAAGTGGCGAGCGCGCTGCTGCCGAAGTGATCAAGGGCTTGAACGGAGCTGTCTCGCGGTTGTAATTTTGTTTTTGTTTTTTTTTTTTTTTTTTTTTTTTTTTTTTCCCCCAATTGGTGTACATAGTGGACGCCACACACAAGTTCCTCATTTGTTTTAAATATGATATCAGCTTTACAAAAATCATCACAGAATATTTCCAAAAAAAAAAAAAAAACAATTGTCTGCCTGGTAAATTCGGTATGATCGTTGCTACTTGAGGTGGTTTGAGCCTACTACTACTACTACTACTACTACTACAGCTGCGTCTCGTCTTGTATAACCTCAGTTCATTCAAACAAAGGTTTCGATTAAATTGAAATATTTGTCATTGTTTTCTTTATGGTCATAACTTGGCTGGAAAATCTAGCCTAATATCTGCTTTATCATATAAATTCACCCGGCCATATCTATATCTATATCTATATCTATATATATATATATATATACATGTTGAGTTTCGGGTCTATCTAGGCGTGGTTTCGTGGCATATCTACCGAACTTCCCTCAACCTATGATGAGAGAGAGAGAGAGAGAGAGTTATTACTCCGGATAAGATCTGTATTGAATTGCATTGTCTACCAGCGGCAATGATTGTTTATTGATAAGGGTTCCCCTCCTCAAACACTGGCTTCCACAAGCCTCTGGCTTCCTTCGTCTTCAATTGCACGCCCTTCAGGATGCCATACATGGTCTTCAGTGTGGGCATGGGCACCCCTTTCGCCTCTCCTTCCCGTAGCGGCTCGCCCACGATGTTTTCAAATTCAATAAAGTTGCCCTTCTCGACGTCTTGACACATGCTGGGCTTGAAAGCTGTGTCGGTAGGATCGCATCGGATCAAAATATCGGGCAGCTCCGACGGCAGCTCAATACCCTGGGCCTTCGCAGCGGCCATGATTTCGAGCATGATTGGCCGGATTAAGTTATCGATGATGTGCTCGCTCATCCGCATGCGCGCCGTGTCGATGCGCAGCACAGCGGCGGTCGAATTGAAGCTGGCGTTGTAGACCAGCTTGCGCCACCTGGTCCTGGGGGTATCCGGTTCGTAAACAATCTCCAGTTTGCCGCATCCGTTGTAGATTTCGACGTATTGGCGTGCTGCGGCCTCCGCAACATCCTGTGGGATGTTGGGGTTATGGAAAGGACCGATCTTTTGCGAGTCGGCATCGTCATGGACAATGTTCCCATGTCCTTTCTCGGTTGCGCCGATCATCGACACGCTGCTGATAATAGGGTTTGAGGGGAAGCGGGCGATAAAGGGCTTTTCGATGTTGAGGCCGTTCTGGGAAAGAACAATGCCGGTCTTTCCGGGGGTGACAGCCGGCGCAATCAGCTCGTCAACCGTAGGGGAAACATCAGGGATGTTCTTGGCGGTGACCACGATGTAGTCATAGGGAGCAAGGCCCTCTGTGACCACATTGGGGACTGTGTTCCGGACTGTCAAAAAGTAAACTCGGTTAGTTCTGGACCCCTAGCGTAGAGAAAACGCCCACACCCTCAAATCAAGACTTACTATGCGTTGGCCGGAAGCCCTTGATATCATGTCCATGTTCGATCGAGTCAATGTTCAAACCCCTCTGCGACACAGCTTGATAGTTCGAACGGAAAATGGCGGTCACTTCGGCTTTGCCCCCCACCTCCAAGGCGTACGCCGCCATGGCGCCGACACCGCCGGTGCCGAAAATGAGGACTCTTGCTTTAGCGATGGACATTGTAGCGGTCTGACGGGAGGATGCTGGGCAAGAAAGGTCCAGTGGCCTGATGATCTTATAGCCTGGCGGCGGATGGAGTCAAGGCAGGTCTTGCCTCATATCGTGGAGAATATACAGCAAAGTCCCGTGGGTGGGAAGCGCATTCGGAGTCACGTGTGGAGATCCGAGGAAGTTGTCGGCGACAATTGACCATACCTTTATCGGGGTTCTTTCAGCAATCTAGAACTACGATGGTTGTTTTATGACACAATTGCATTTCGTTCCCTTTTCATCGGTGACGCGGATTGCTTTTAAACATGAATTTCCCCATGAGGTAGCTCAATCTTGACGGCCACCTAGCTCCATTCTGTTCTGGACCCGCGCATCAAGATGGCCGAAGGACCAAGTACACAACCCAATGATCCGATCACCTTGAACGAGGTGGAAGCCCTCGCCAGAGAGAATCTTCCGAAACACATCTACGAATTCTATGCGTCCGGCTCCGATGAACAAAATGCCCTGCTTCGCAACGAAAAGGCGTTTGACAGGTATGCAGTTGCGTTTCTGCCTGTGGTTGTTCCCTGGCCGCTAATTTGGTCCGGATAGGCTGTGCATCCGACCTCGGGTACTCATAGATGTTTCAGAGGTCGACACGACGACTGAGATTTTGGGACACAAGACTAGCCTGCCCATTGGCATCGCCCCGAGTGCAATGCAGCGACTCGCGGGCGGGGATGGCGAGCTCGACGTCGCGAGGGCTGCGGTGAACATGGGATTGAACCTGACCCTCTCTTCGCAATCCACCACATCGCTTGAGGATGTTGCCAAGACCAGAGAAGGGAAGGGGAATAATGGCATCCCAGCACCTCCGTTTTGGATGCAACTCTATCTGCACGCGGACGCCCAGAAGAGTGTTCAATTGATCCGTCGCGCTGAAGGTCTCTTCTTGCCCCCCCCAAACCCAAACCCAAACCCAGAACTTCCAGTGGTAGATTTGTGCTGACAATATTTTCTTCAAATCGATAGCCGCTGGGTATCAAGCCTTGGTCCTTACTGTGGATACCCCGGTCCTGGGGAACCGCCTCTCCGAACGGAAAAAGGCGGTGGTGTTGCCACCGGGCATGGAGTTGCCAAACGTCGAAAAAGCGCCACCTACGCGCGCCAAGAACCAACCAAGCGTCAACCGGCTCCTGATGAATGCAAGGACGGCCGCCGAAGCAAAGGCATTGCGGGATTCCGTGGGCAACATGATGCACAGCTCAAGTTTGACCTGGACACAAACCATCAACTTCCTTCGTTCGGTGACCAAGATGAAAATCATCCTCAAGGGAATTATGACGGGCGAAGATGCCGCGCTGGCCGTTCAGCATGGGGCCGATGCAATTATTGTTTCCAACCACGGTGGTCGGCAATTGGATGCCGCCTGCGCTACCATCGAGGCACTAGACGAAATTGCTACCGCAGTCCAGGGACGCATCCCCGTCATTCTGGATGGCGGAATTCGATCTGGAACAGCCGTGTTCAAGGCGCTTGCGCTCGGAGCTGACTTTGTCCTTGTCGGGCGGCCAGCTCTTTGGGGGCTGGCTTATAAGGGCCGCGAGGGCGTGGAGACGGCGATGCATATATTGGAGCGCGAGTTGAGCCGCACAATGGCGCTGGCTGGGGCGAGGAATCTGCAAGAAATCACCAAAGATAAGCTAGGAGTAATCTCTCGGGACGGCTTTGGGATTGCCAAGTTGTAATTGTGTGTATGTATGTGTGTACGGAATAGTTTCTTATGTATAACTTGATCTATAACACTTTCTTAGCTCAATAGAACAAGAGTTAGATAATAGAAAGGCTACGGGGATAGTGGTTTCAATAATGGAGTTTGATCTCTTATGTCGAGTACTTCCGTAGCTATAGCTAGCCTTGATATCCGAATGTTGGGGTGAGAATTTGAAAATGCCATGTGTCAATATAGAACCGATTGGGAGCAGGCAGGCAGTCCAGCCCCCGTCATTTCAACATCAATTTTGACCCCGAGTGCCTACGGCAAGCCAATTACGTTTTCAGTTTGCTGAATCTATCCGGAGTACTGCGCGAGGGGAACGTATTGAATTCATTCATATCCCAACCCCCTCGGGCCGATTGTCATTAAACCGAAGCAACAAGCTCAATTTCCACCTCGGCATCCAGGGGAAGCTTCGCAACCGCCACACAAGTCCGGCACTGAAGCGAGTAAGTAGTCGTCCAGTCTCTCGTCAGCGCATTGTTTCCAAAAGGTCCAGACAGAAAAGGAAGCCCTCACCGGTTTGACATCATGGGTGAAAACCTTTGCATAGCCCTCGTTGACTTTTCCATAGTGGTCCATGCTGGAGAGGAAGATGGTCACTTTGACCACCTTGCTCAGGTCGCTACCTCCCGCCAGCAGGATTTGTTCGAGATTCCGTAGAGCTTGGACCTATTATTTTTTATTTTTTATTTTTATTTCGACTTGGTTAGACTTTTGTATTCCGTCTGTAAATCATTGGGGTGTGTCACGGGATTACCGTTCTGTCTGAAGCATCGCCTGGGACGAATTGGCCGGTCTTGGGATCGAGGCCCAGGCTGCCGGAGCAGTAGACCATGCCATTGCAGATGATTCCTTGGGACATCAGCGGGCTGGGAGGGGGAGCATTCTGGCTCAGGACGGGGGTTTTGGTGGACGACATTTTGGGTTGTTTTTTTTTTTTTTTTCGAGATGAAGACGGCAGAGGACGAGGGTTCTGGCAGGGGAGAGAGATCGCGAGGGGCGAAATCGAGGATAAACGTCGGGTTTTCAGGATGGATTATTCCCTTCCACCTTCCCCATAGTTCGTTAACGTTTATATGACTCCACAGATCCCACCTGGAATAGTAGTTGGATTGGTTCGCTCAGCATTTCCCTGCCTGATTTCGGATCGCTGGGGCCCAGTGGCGAACCGGGGCGGATCTTGATAAGATTAGTTAGTCATTGAGCTTCCCGATCTCGGAGACTCGGCCGGGATCGCGATCAACAATCTCAAGAGTCAAGTATAGGTTTCTTTACATCATCATAGTTCTTGTCTAGTATTGACTTGGAAAGGAATGTAGATTTTATATTATTAGGACCTACTTACTATTCCCCAGTCGAAGAGAGATGAGGGATCGTCCCCTCGAATACGAGGCTGCACGGTGGTGTGCCTAGGTAGGCACGCTAGGCTTCAGCCTCTCAACCTCTGCGCTCATCCATCTGAGTCACCGATATCAGATGGGTATTTGGCCATTTTGGTCCCGAGAAACCCTCGAATTGATCAATAATCCAACGCCACAAGAAGGAAAATCACTAAAATGTTGAATGCAGCCGCTGCCTCCACGAACAGCAAGGCCATCTTGACATCTACCGCCCAGGAAACGCAAAAGGCGATTCCAACGGTTCTCCGTCTCAGACCCGATGCGCCCCCAACGGGATATCAATGTCTGCCATCAAGATATACCCCGCTAAGTTCAAGATTCTTTCCAAACCTCAGCACTGAAGTCCAAGTGGTGGATGCAGATACCTACGACACGGCCATTCAGATCACCAATGCATACGCATCCAGCGGTGGAGATACCACGCCTGTCTGTGTACTGAATATGGCCAGCGAAAAGAATCCGGGAGGGGGATGGCTAACAGGGGCCATGGCTCAGGAAGAAGCGCTGTGCTACCGAAGCACATTGAGTGCGACACTCAAAAGGCGCTTCTATCCGCTGAAAGAACGCGAGGCGATATATTCACCAAAAGTGGTCATCTTTCGAGAAAGCTATGACAATAACCACCGGATGATGGACCTGCAACGGCCCGATTTTCTCCCCGCCGTCAGCGTCATCAGTGCAGCGGCTCTTCGACGTCCGGCTGTGAACACGAGGACGGTGCCAGCCAGATATGTATACCCCGAAGACCGGCTGTTGATGAAAGACAAGATGCGTGTGATACTTCGTGTCGCTGCGCGCAACCGCCACCGAAGCTTGGTTTTAGGTGCCCTAGGTTGCGGCGTCTTCGCAAACCCGAGCCACGACGTGGCAGACTGTTGGCGAGAAGTTTTACAAGAGCAAGAATTTAGGGGCTGGTGGGATAACATTACATTTGCAGTGCTAAAGGACGTATCCCACGGCACTGACAATTTCGAGGTCTTTCATACGAAGTTGCATGGCCTGAGAGTTTGACCCAATCCACAAACCACACCACCGTTACAGAACCCCTTTTGTGAGCGGGGAGGCAGCTGGGGGTGAGAATAAGAGCGCGGAGCGCGCGGATTATTTTCCCAGTCGCGTTGAGCGCCGTCTTGTTGGCACCCCTTCCGTCTTAATTTTTTCATCCTTATCCTCCGACTTGATGGGCGGTTTGCTCTGTGGCTTCGATTCCGTCTTCTTCAACTTGAGCTCTTCCTTCTTGGCCTTTGGCGCAGTATCTTCCTTTTTGCGCGATGTTCGCTTCCGCTTGACCTCGCGCTCGCCACTGCTTTCGTCCTCATCCACATCGCCTGCCACAGGGCCAGTCTTCTTCTGCACACTCGGAACCACAGCACTTGTCCTACCACCGACAGTAATGAATGTGATTTTCTCTCCATTTGGCAAGGCAGAAGCTTTGTTTTTCTTTCCTTTACTCCATCGGTGCTTGAACAACCAGTCCTCCGGGAATTTGTCCGAGTCGGCCAACAAATCGACAGATGTTGAGCAAACATAATGTATGGAGGAGTGAAGCTGTTTGATCTGGTCCCCTGTCAGTGTATTGCTGTACTGTTCCGGGTGTATTTTAGCATGATATAAGATTTCATCTCTAGACAAATGTCAGCTCGTAGACTATGATCAAGGTTCCGGGTGGAGGAGCACAGACCCCATCCAATTTCCGATCCCACTAATGTTTTCCTGATCGAGAAGAAGCGCCTTGATGGGCTTCTTCCTGCTTTTAAGCTTGTCCCCAAGCCACTTCTCTGTAACAAGATCTTCGTCGACAACGGGATCCGGGCCGTTTTCCTTGAGAGGGCTATGATTCCGGATCTCTTCCGCCGGGCAATCCACCAGGCGGATCCTACCGAGCCTGCGGAAGTCAACAAACGCGGCCTCTGTCTTGGGATCGCCATCGGTTTCCAGCAGAAATTTCCAGTACTTTGGAGGCCACTGCTTGTCCTCTGGCTTTTCCGTTCGGTAGTAATACGTGTCGGCATCTCGGATCTTGAGCCAACCTGCCATGCCAAAATGCATTACAACATGTGGTGGGGAGGACATGGTGATCCAAAAGTATTTCCCTTGTTGTCCTGCGCCAACAATAGTCTTTCCTTGCATCGCCTTCTGAAACTCTGCGGCACTCGTGCCTACTTTGCCATAGACAATGTCATCATGTTGCGTGGAGACTTTGGTAAGGGTCTTGCCAACCAGGTGGAGGCGAATGAAATGTACCACACGATAAATTTCGGCTAATTCAGGCATGGCGTATGATATGAACAGAAAATCAAATACAAGAAATCAAGCAATTCTATCAAGAATGAAAGTTAAGAATGGTTGAGCCCAGCTGTTGTCAGCTCTTAACAACACGAGCAGGAAACGCGTCACGGGTCACGAAGTCCCGTGATCTAGAGGCACCCGATAAGCGGATTGTCATTTAAAGCATCGACACAAAGTCATGGCTTCTCATCGGCCCGGATCGCCTTCGAATTCGAAATTTCCTATCGCAAACTAATAAAAAAGCTTCCTCGGTATTCATAGCATCTTCTTACAACCTATTTTCCACTTATTTCCCTCGTTTGCTGCTGGAGCACCTTTGAGTCCGCTTCTTTACCAAGCTCCGAAGCTCATTACTCGTTTCTGCAACAAGCAATCTGGAGTGGCTCTGGGACACTGCGGGTAAACAGGAGAGGAGTACCGGGGCTCTTGACGGTCGTAAGATGCCACAAGCTTCTTCAACGCCAGCTCCTGAGCTGAGTCCTCGGTTTTGCTTCAATGAGAGGTTACTTCGAGGTATGTGGTGCCATCCATCATTGGCTTAGCTTGGAAACCATGCGGATTTAGACTCACCGGTATATGACTGTGTGGAATAGACTTCTTAAGTCTCTCCAGGTCCACGATAGATGATTCAATTACCCAAAATGTCAACGCGCTGTTCACCCCCGCTCGAGAGGGGTTCGATCCTTCCTCTACTTCTCAGCGCCAGACAGATTCAAGAGCCGGCCGCCAAATAGACACCACTGCTTGCCAAAACTTCAAAGACAAAGTCTTGTTCCCCTCCTGGCAGACCCGATCCGATGTTCTCACATATTGTGCTGGAGTGGCCACAAGCCCAGACCCGGATGATCCGGATCTTCTCCTACGAGAGACTGAATCTGCGAAAGATCGGGAACGAGTCGTCGATGAAAGATTAGATCCATACTCGGCGAGATTCTTTCCCCGGGAGCCACGCACTGAATCGTTAGCCAATGTCATACGCAACCAGCGTACAGTGGAAGAGATCATACGAGCGCGCACATGGGGAATAGTTTCCGAAAGATGCGGCGGCTCTTCTGAAGGTTGGGAGGGAGCTCTTAACCGCTGGCGTGAACAGAATCAGCGATGAACCAGTTAATCCGGAATCCAGCATTTGATGTTTATATAAAGTTTTTTGTGAGCTTGATAAATCCCCTATCTTGGAAGCTTTTTTGCATTTACCTGTATTTGTACGAAAAAGAAGGCAATGTTAATCTACTGAATGAATTACGATTAATATGTTTGGATTTCGTTATAAGCAGCAGTCTTGCTCGGCCCGCAAGAGTCTGCTTGCTGTAGAATATACTTCGCCTAACCCTAGATCAAATCCCAATCAGCACAAAATAGTCCTGAAAGAGCACTCCTGCAGCATTATATATTCCTCACGAATATCCCAAAGCAATGTCAGTTGGCCCTGTATTTCGCTAGCTCCAGTGTATTGTCTCTTGACCTTGCAGATACATATCAAACAAACAGTAAATTGAGCGCGAGGAAACCCCGGAGGGAAGAATTTTTGTAATCTCAATACCTATGAATTGGAAATTGCGGTTGGTTGACGGTGATGCAGTCGTCGTCTCGGATAATTATTTCATCTGTCGCCGGGCTTGTCCTGGGAGCTTCGGAGTTGAAGCGCTATTGGCAACCGCATCAGGGCCGTCCAGAGGAGTGGTCTTTGGGAGTTAGGTATGGGGACTAATTGTTAATAATTGCTCTATGTGATTTTTCTTTTTTTTCCAAGAACAAGAATAAGAATAATAAAAAGAAGTTGTTGATATAGTAGAAGTGTTAGCCCATACATAGCTTATCGATGCGTTTGCCTAACTAATCGCTCTTCGTTCCCACATTTTCTCCCTTCCGCCCCCCCGCGCGCACATCAGCTTCTTTTAACGGTCACTTGGCAAGAAACCCCCCCCCCCCTTCCCCCAGCTTCGCCAACACTGCCACGTCTACCATGCCACAGCAATTGAGTTCCAAGGACGCCTCCTTGTTTCGACAGGTGGTTCGTCATTATGAAAACAAGCAATACAAGAAGGGTGAGTCCCAATCGGCGGAAGAGTCCTAAGGATCGACCAAATCGACCACGGTGGTGGTTGCTCATGCGGACGAACATATATGGCTGACCGTCACCCTTTTTGTTTCCCCCCCTTGGAAATATGTAGGCATCAAGACTGCTGAGCAGATCCTCCGGAAAACCCCTAACCATGGCGATACGTTAGCGATGAAGGCTCTGATTATGAGCAACCAAGGTCAGCAGGAGGAGGCCTTTGCGCTGGCCAAAGAAGCCCTGAAAAATGACATGAAATCGCACATCTGCTGGCACGTTTACGGGTTGCTCTATCGAGCTGCGAAGAACTATGAGGAGGCCATTAAGGCGTATAGATTTGCATTAAGGATCGAGCCGGAATCCCAGCCTATTCAGCGAGACCTCGCCCTCCTCCAGATGCAAATGCGGGATTATCAAGGTTATATACAAAGCAGGAGTGCTATGCTACAGGCTCGACCGGCCTTCCGACAGAATTGGACCGCTTTGGCCATCGCGCACCACCTCTCGGGGGACTTGGAGGAGGCCGAAAAGGTGCTCACGACGTACGAGGAGACGCTGAAGACTACACCGCCACTTTCAGACATGGAACACTCCGAGGCTACTCTGTACAAGAATATGATAATCGCTGAGTCGGGGGACCTGGAGAAGGCGCTGGAAAATCTCGAGTCTGTGGGTCACCGAGTCAGTGATGTGCTTGCCGTGATGGAGATGAAAGCGGATTATCTCTTGCGACTCAATAGAAAAGAGGAAGCGGCTACAGCCTACAGTGCCCTCCTGGACCGCAACCCGGAGAACTCCATCTACTATGACGCTTTGATCAGAGCTAAGGATATCCCAGCCGATGACCACAAGGCTCTGAAGGCTGTGTATGACTCCTGGGTCGAAAAGAACCCGCGCGGCGATGCCCCTCGCAGAATCCCTCTGGACTTCCTGGAAGGCGATGACTTCAAGCAAGCGGCTGATGCATATCTGCAGCGTATGCTTAAGAAAGGCGTTCCGTCTCTCTTCGCGAACATCAAGCTTCTATACACCAACTCAAGCAAACGGGATACCGTACAGGAGCTGGTAGAAGGTTATGCGTCGGGAGCAGCCGTTGTGCAATCTAACGGTTCTGCTGAAGGCGAGAGTGACAAGGAAAAGACTGATTTCCTCTCCTCCGTGTTCTACTTCCTTGCGCAGCACTACAACTATCGCCTGAGCCGAAATCTCCCCAAGGCCATGGAAAACGTCGACAAGGCCATCGAACTGTCTCCTAAGGCTGTCGAGTATCAAATGACCAAGGCTAGGATATGGAAGCACTACGGTAACCTCGAGAAAGCGGCTGAAGAAATGGAGAAGGCTAGGAAAATGGACGAGAAGGATCGCTACATCAACTCCAAGGCCGCCAAATATCAGCTGCGCAACAATGAGAACGACAAGGCACTTGATAATATGAGCAAGTTTACCCGGAATGAGGCCGTTGGCGGAGCCCTTGGCGATCTTCATGAAATGCAGTGTGTTTGGTATTTAACTGAGGATGGCGAGTCTTACCTACGACAGAAGAAGCTTGCACTTGCTCTCAAGCGGTTCCACTCCGTTTATAACATCTTCGATGTCTGGCAAGAGGATCAGTTTGATTTCCACAGCTTCTCCCTTCGTAAGGGTATGATCCGTGCTTACGTTGACATGGTTCGCTGGGAGGACCGTCTGCGCGAGCACCCCTTCTACGCCCGCATGGCACTTTCTGCTATCAAGGCCTATATTCTTCTTCATGATCAGCCCGACCTAGCCCACGGACCCCTTGGTCTCAATGGTGATGAAGGCGATAGCGCTGAACGGAAGAAGGCCCTCAAGAAGGCCAAGAAGGAGCAGCAAAGACTTGAAAAGGCCGAAGCGGAGAAGCGCGAGGCAAGGAAAGCTGCTGCTGCTACTGCTAAGGGTTCAGACGGGGAGGTGAAGAAGGAAGATCCGGACCCGCTAGGCATTAAGCTTGTTCAGACGCAGGACCCTCTAAAGGATGCGATGAAATTCCTTACTCCCCTGCTCGAATTCTGCCCTAAGAATATCGAGGCTCAGTGCCTTGGATTTGAGGTCAATCTTAGACGAGGTTTGTATTTTTATCCCACTTTTGGAAAGTAACGCCTGTGTTTTTAACTCATAACCTGTTTAGGCAAGTACGCACTTGCTCTCAAGTGTCTCTCAGCAGCACACGCGATCGACGCATCGAATCCAACTCTACACATCCAACTACTCCGATTCCGCCAAACCCTGGACAAGCTGTCTGAGCCCCTTCCGCCCCAGGTTGCAGAAGTGGTCGACGCGGAATTCGAGACGCTGCTCCCAAAATCCCAAAAGCTTGACGAATGGAACGCCTCATTCCTCTCGGCGCACGGTGACAGCATTCTGCATAAGCACGCATATCTTACTTGCCGTCAGCTTCTAAACCCCGATTCAAGACCAGAATGCGAAAGCGAGCTTAATTCAACTCTGGACTCGAGCGACGTGTCACTTGAGACGGCCCTCGCTGGTTTGAACTTGGTAACTGAGTGGGGGAGCAACCAAGCGGCGAAGGCGGCCTATTCCGAAAAGGCTAGTGGGAAGTGGCCCGAGTCGACCTTGTTCCAGCTCAGCTGAGATCTACCACAGCGGTTTGGTAACTGGTCAAGAGAACGATGATTTGCCTCGTTTTCTGTCGATATCCATGACATGTCCGCCTTCGCGGGTAAGAGGTATTTAATACCTCTTTTAGGATGCTTCGTCAAATACTAGCGAAGCGAGAACCTAGATAGGAAACCCTGAAAATCACGCGATAAAACTCCAAAAAAAAAAAAAAAAGACGCATGGGATAGATGAAAAATGAGTGTATGAATATGTAGGGTCAAAGGCTTTTATTGGTCTGGGAGTTCGTTCACCTTCACTTTTCTTGTTCTGATACCAAACTACATAGTATAGCCGAAGGATACCAAGTAGCACTTTTCTCCTCTTCTCTCATCTAGGACAGCGCATATATGCATGGAGACAACGAAGCTTGTGAAAATGTTTCTTTAGAGACATGGATTAAGTTAGGCACTGCCTGTTCAAGTTTACATGCATTCTTTTCTATAGACGAGTTGAGACCGTGGCCTACCAACATAGGGTATGTCTATGGAACGGAAACAAGGTCCACCAGTGTCCCACCATTTCATTTCGAGACCTGTCATCCTCCGTTATCGAATGAATATAGAAGCGAATTTGGGGTGCAAAATATCCCCAACGGCGAACTTCAGACGGTGACGTCGGGATGACACCGTTTGAGGCAATCAGGAAAGAACTCGTGAAACTTGTCGACTTCCCAAACCTTTCAGCTTCAACTTATTCTTGGAATTCAGTCTCGAGCTTCCTCACGGGGAAACTTCCAGCCCAACAAAGTTTCTCCAGGTACCTACCAAGTGCCATCCCCGCGGCCCAGATACCTAGCTACCTAGGGCCTCCCTTGCGTGTCATGCGAGGTGGGTGGTTGGCTCGGAGCTTCCTTCAGCCAAATCTTTGCAGGCCTTGTCTCAAACCCAGAATACCTAGGTATATATCCATGAGAATCGGAATGGCCTTGATTTGCTTCAATTGTACGATGATGACTCGTGGTTGATTACCATGCTATCAGTGGGCTGACCCGTTGGTCGAAACGACCCTGATCCGACCGCAGATCCCCACGATCCGAACCTCTCCCATGCATCATTCGGTCAAGCCTTGGAGATGAGATCATGGGTGAACTCTCGACTTTTTTATACTTTGATTCTTGGAGGACTCGTTGCAGTCGTTGCTCCTGCAACGACACCGTGACGTCAATACGGCCCGAGCCTACCTACTAAATGGCTGTTGCTGGATGCTGGCAAGGAACGATAATAAAAGAGGAGAAACATTTGGGTTCTCCTTGATTTCTTCCCTTTCTTCCTCCTTCACTTCCCCCCTTAACTCCCTTTCTTCAAACTAGGTGGACCTCCAGGTGTCTCTCCGGCATTCTCTCCCCCAAGACTCATTCCAGTGATACCCTAGCGACACGCCCCTTTCTCCTATAGTTTACTTGTTTTGAAATCCTCCCCTCTCTCTTCTCCCATCGTTTCACCTGAGCTTTGATTTCAATTGAAAGTGGCGGTCGTCGATCTCTCGTGAGATAAACATACCATTACTATCCACTGCAAACGTACTGCGCACTCATCTGGGAGGTGATAGTGCCTGACGCATTTCATCATGCCTGCACCGGTCGTTAATCGTCCGACAGATGTCCGACAGAAGGAAAAGGTAGGCCCTAACCTCTCGTCATGATTAAAGGAACTGTTGTATCTAACTGCCTTTAAAGGACATCAATCAAAAGCTGCATCTCTTCGGAATCTACCAAGGTAAGGCGAAGGCGCAATTGACCAAAATGTATGAAGACTAACCGAGCGTAAAAGCCTTCAAGTACGGCAAGCTTCCATCTGTAAGTATCCACCATCTGTAATAGTCTTCGAATCGATGCGATTATGTGCCTGCTAACTGGTATCTTTCGCAACAGAATAAGCAATGCGATGTTGCTTTGAATAGCGCCCTCAATTTCAAGGCTCTCACCCATCCATCACAGGAGCTATCAGAGGAGGGTCAAATACTCGTGGAAGACCTTCGACGGGTGATTGAACAAGCCAAGAGGCTGATTCTCAGCAAGAATGATGGCCAGCTACTTCAGGAATTCATTTGGGGAGCAGAACATGTGGGCGTGGAAGATGTGCAGAACATAGAAGTTGGGATCACCAAGGACTCCGCTCAACAAGATGCGATGCAGGCTAGGGAGGGATTAAAGACTCTTGGGACACTGTTAATTACCAACGGCGAGTTTCGAAAACTGCGTAAGTACATCGACCATTGTCCTTGTTGGAGATCATTAGATTGACTAGAACTCGTTTATAGTTAGTGATGCTATGATTGTCGTCCGTGATATTGCCAGCGATGTATCGCAGAAAGCTGCCGACAGACTCCGTCCATCAGAGGATCAACTGGCCCAAATTGACCAACCTGCCGAGGAAAATGTCTGGCATGAAACTTCTGATGTATCAAAGTACAAAGACCAGGTCAAGTCTCGCTTCAAGAAGGAGAAAGCTGTGAGTTATTCCTGCCTTCCTAAGGCTTGGCATTTAGGTTCTCACACCTGCTATAGCAAAAGGAAGCTGCCGACGTTGTCGATACCGCTGCTCAAGCTGCCACCGGCAGCCGACAGGCAGTCCAAATCGCAGATATTGATGCGCATGCTGGCGTTACTGCTGCGACTCAACAAGCGAAGGAGAAAATACCCGAGGAGCAAAAGGACCGCACTCGGGAGATGGCCGGCAAAGCGAAGAATTATTTGTCTCAGAAAATACCACAAGATCGACGGGAGCAGACTGTCTGGCGCCTTAAGAAGGTGGTTATAGAGATTCAAGGACACCGCGATTGTGAGTTTTAGCTATTTCTACGTTAAACCCACTCAACATGAGAACTGGGGAAGCTAATAATGTGATCCATCGGACGTATAGACCAACAGGCTATCGAAACATTGCTTTCAATGGCTGAAAAGTATGGTAGTCAAACAAGGAATATTTCTCAACAGGGCGCAGGAAATGTCCAGGGAGTCCGAGGACAAGAAAATGTCCAAAACATGGAAAAGAACCTGCGGGTATGTTGGTCCAATGGATACATTGTTTCACAACAAAGGCTGACTCTTGAATTGAATTGTAGGTTTTGATAGAGCGTTTTGCACATAGTACATCTCTAGATGACCTTTTTGACTCCTTGGAAAATATCTACCGTGATGCAGATAAGGACCCCGAGTTGAAGGGATGGTTCAAGAATGTCAACACCTTTATTCGGTAGGGTTGTTAGCAAACTATTATGGCGATGGTGAATCTAATATATGCCCAAAGGAAAACCTTGCAAGAGCAGGGATATGTTATGCAGGATACCTGGTCTCATCAATATGATCAACTCGCTGAACATGGACGGTATTTACTCCGTGGGCGCTACAAGAACAACACAGATCGCATCTTGGACGAGCTGAAGTTTATCGGCGATCAGTTTAACCAAGATCCACAGAATAAGGCCTTTGGAGACTCGATGCAGCAACTCTTCAATGACCTGGGGCGTGATTCGAATGGCAAAGTTGCATTCAAGAAGCATCTGCTGAAGGATATTAGGGATGTTATTTTGCCCGCTGTGTTCGAGAATATCCGCTATGTCCCTGTCCCTCGTATTGAAGTTTCGGACCCGATGGCCGATGTGGTATGTATCATTACCTGTTTTCTTGAACCTAATATGCTAACAATCATGTAGGTTATTGAAAATCTAGTGATTGAGAGTGACAACCTCATGCCCAACGTGGTAGAATTCGGAAGTGACAACTACTTCCGTTGGGGACGTAAGAAGATCAGCAACAAAAGAGACAACAAAGTGAGTCACCTCCACTATGAGAACATCATTTGGTATTCAGTACGCTGATAATGGATCCAGATCATGATTTCCGTATCGGGTATCCAAGCGGATCTTAGGGGTAAGCTCTCTTTAGCTAATGGAAACGACCCATTTTGCTAATTTTCCTCATAGATGTTAGCTACTATATCGACAAGAAACAGGGCTTCCCATCTATTACCGATACTGGAGTGATGGATATCTTCCTTGGAGGCACGGGTTTTGGATTCAAGATTGCCGCATCTACTGCTCACAAAGAGGACCGTCAACATTTTGTCAGGCTAGATAAAGTAGCCGTCAAGATTGACACTATTTCCGTGAAGTTGAAGAAGTCCAAGCATAAGGTCCTCTTCACCATCTTCAAACCTTTGCTCTTCCGGGTGGTTCGACCTGTCCTCGAAAAGGTGCTCGAGAAACAAGTTCGAGACGCATTCATGAAGGGCGATGCATTCGCATACGAGGTGCATAGCGAAGTCAAGCGCGCCCAGGAAACTGTTCACGAGAAACCTGAAGACGCACCGAATGTCTACAACCGGTATATGGATGCATTCCGTACCAGATGGGAGTATAAAAAGCGCAGAGCTGCCGAAGTCGCTCCGCGTGAGACCAAAGTGCAGACTACAACCACACTGAAGGATTCCCTTTTCCCTGATATCGAACTACCTGGCGGCATCACTACCAAAGCTACCGAATATGACGAGATCGCAAAGAAGGGTGAGCGCTGGGAGTCTCCAATCTTCACTATCGGCACCGCCCCAGAGTCAACTGATATCCCCAAGCCAGCCGACATCTCTCGTAAATCTCACACTACAGCTGCGGGTCAGTTGGCCGATCAGCCTGCTGCTGGTACAGGGACCCATGTTACCAACGGTGGTGCGGCGGGAGTTACCAATGGTCACACCAAGACCTTGACAACCAACGGCCGCACTCATGTCGAGACGAACGGCAAGCTTACCCAGAATATTTCCATGATTGCAGGAACGGACACTGCCTTTAACCCTCAAGCTGCGTAAATTGTATCCTAAAACCTTGAGGGGGTTGTGGTTGTACCTGTAATAGCCCATACGCACCTTTTTCTTAATACCTTAATTGCTATGCCTGTTTTTTACTGTCGCCTGTACTTGGTTCTCTTCTATTCTCCCTTTTTGTGTGCGTGAGTGAGTTATGTGGCCTTCATGTATTCAATCCAATGTTTATCGAGTTTTTAATCGGGTACCCTACCTTTTGAAATTATACAGAATATTGAAAGCCCTACCCTGCCGAGTTCTTCCTGAGTCAAACCTGACTTGTCTTTTTGGCTTCTTCTACAACACGTTACATGGACTAAGAAAAAAAAAATTGAAGATAAACAAGAAAAGAAAATCTATTATGACTCTATATAATGACTCCTGAAACTTTTCTGATATATATCATGCTCACCCTCTCACATTTGATTGAAGTACCTTTCCCACCCAAGCTCTCGCATTTTCGTACCCTTTAATTCCATGTTCTCTGCCCTAGCGTTTTCAGCGTAGGCCTCGACCTTGCTCTGGATGGCGGGGTCAAAGGCACCGAGAATGCGAGCGGCTAAGAGAGCCGCGTTGATGCTGTTGTTGATTCCGACTGTGGCGACGGGGACACCTGGAGAGGGAAAATGTCAGTAAGGGATCAACAACACTTGGGGTTGTTTGAAGGAGCGAGAGAGGAGAGGAAGAATTACCTCGAGGCATCTGCACAATGCTGTAGAGGCTATCTACGCCATCCAAGGAGCTGCCCTTGACAGGTACACCGATGACAGGGAGAGCGGTATGCGCAGCAGCCATTCCAGGGAGATGGGCCGCACCGCCTGCAGCGGCAATGATGACCTTGATGCCGCGGGCTGCAGCTTTGGCGGAGTATTCAGCCATGTAGGTTGGCGTTCGGTGAGCAGAGGTGATATCGACTTCGGGCTCGATGCCGAAGAAGTCGCGGAGGAGCTTGAGTCCCGGAACCAGGGTTTTCAGGTCACTGTCGGAACCCATGATGACTGCTACGGAGGGGACGGGCTTCGAGGGGCCGGACTTCTGGGGCTGGGTCTTGACGTCGGAGCGCTGTGAGCGGATCTCGTCTACGACGTCGATTAGGGGCTGGATGTAGGCCTCTGCTTCGTGCATGGTAGCAGCAGTCACTGTGACATGGCCCATTTTACGGCCTGGTTTGGCGGCGCCCTTGCTGTAGAGGTGGATGCTGGCGTTGGGGATGGAGAGAGCGGCCTCTGCGGCCTTGAGGTGGGTGTCTGGAGCAGCCCCACCGATGATGTTGAGCATAATGGATGGCTGGCGGATCTTGAGGCTCTCGGGAGGAATGGGGAGGTCGAGGATAGCGCGCAGGTGGGTATCGAATTGGGAGAGGGCGCATCCTTCGATGGTGTAGTGTCCAGAGTTGTGGATTCGGCTTGCAATCTCGCAAAGGAGGAGGCTGTTGTCTTCGAGAAGGAACATTTCGACACCGAAAACACCCTTCCCATCGAAGGCTGCAACGGCTTTACGGGCTAGCTCTTGTGCCTTTTGGTTGATGGCATCTGATACATTGCGGGCGGGGGCGTACACCAGCTTGCATACCGAGTCCTCCTGAACAGTCTCCACGGTGGGGTAAGAGAGAATGTCGTCTTTGGTTTTTACAACCATAACAGCCAATTCCTAGGGATAACTCTGTTAGAGATAATTGTTGTATTGCATGGTGGGAACCAAACTACCTTCTGGAAATAGGCCCATTTCTCTGCATACAATGGACGTCCTTTCAGGAATTCAAGAGCGTCTGGGATATCGTCTTTAGAGTTGATGCGGTAGTTGCCTATCAACCAATTAAGCCATTATTAGCCCTTTTCCCTTTGTGACGCGTATGGTGTTTCCTTCCCAAGACTTACCACGTCCATCGTAAGCCATAGTCTTCGACTTGAGCATCAAGGGATACCCTAGCTGCCCGCCAACCTTGGCCAATTCCTCCGCAGTATTTTCAACCAACTCGCGATGTTGTGCCATAGGAATACCATACTTCGCCAAATGCTCCTTCTGATTGAACTTATTCTGAATTGTGCGAATTGCCTGCCAGCTGGGCTCGATCTGGACCTGCGACGCAACCTCCTCTAAAGCATAGGTATCGACATGCTCAATTTCCGCGGTGATGACATCGCACTTTTTGGCCAATTCCTGCACAGCCTCACGCTCTTTGAAGGAGCCGGTGACATGGCCATCGTGGGAACTAATTTGCTTCGCTGGAGCGCTCTCCGCATCGAGGATATTGACTTGGATGTTGAGTCTATTCGCGGATTCAACCAGCATGCGACCCAGCTGGCCCCCACCGAGGATGCCGACCTTGGGAGAGTTCCACATTTTGAGATATGTAGCGATAGGGAAAGGAATTCGAGGGGAGTTGTGTAGACTTAAGAAGAGAAGAGGTACCTGAAGTCAATGCAGAGTAACAAATGAATCATTGCAGCCCCTCCATGACTCCGCTTTCGGCCTAATCGGGAAGGCAAGAAAAAAATCTGGTATCATCACGTGAGAGCATGATAAGCGTTTGCATCGACCAATCAGAAGTGAGAATTTGACGGGAGAGCCGCTCCTTCCCCGCGCCACCAATACGGTATTGTAATCACAATACAAGCCGTCCTGATTTATTTGTACCGCCTCGTTGCGCAACCGCAGATCGCGCTTTCAAGAGAAGCTTTCCCTTTCCAACGCCCTGACGTGGCCCTCTGGCTCCGATAAGTGCCGGGAGAAATGTCTCTAGGTAGGTCCAGCTTCGAGCAAGCTTCCTCTGTGTTTCTTTGGATTTTTTGGGTGTCGTGATTCCCCTCCGTCGAGCATCCTCCCGTCCTCGCCGCCAGCCCTCGGAAGTGTCCTGGACTAACTCTCAGCTTTACCGTAGATGAAGAAAGCTTGGAGATAGCCGCCAATGGCGGTTTGATGGATTGGTATGCTCTAGCTCTGGTCGCATTTGTGTTCTGGAGGTCTTGTGAGTGCTAACATGTCCATTATAGCGAGAAATGGCCAAGCCTTGTCGAGCCGCTGCTTGAGCGATTGGAATATGTGCGCGCACGAGAGCTTCGTCTCATCCAGCCTTGTCGCTGTGGATCTAACGATATGCAACTAGATCATGTACAATGTTTTCGTGATGCCGGAAATCCCCCCAGAGACTCCAAATACCTTACCTCTTCATCCTCCGTCGCTGAACGCGCCCACCTCGCCCTTGCTGCAAGATCCCAATTCCGCTCCGTCGAGTAGCAACAAGGAAAATGCAGCCCCTTCAGAATTACAGACCCCGCCACGACCTTCAACGTCATCAATGTTACCTCCATCCTCGATCGAACGTGTTCCTGATTCCCAGCCCGCATCTCAAATAGTCACCTCAAACGGGACCCTCCCGGCACCCTTACTATTACTTCTTCAGTCCATTAAATCGACACTGAGGTCTCTTTTTTCCTCCAAACCTCCTCATACTATCCAGAGACTTGCAGAGCTTATTCTTCGTCCCCATGTGCATTATAAGACCCTCCCAGCTTACTTGCGAGCCGTCGACCGCGTTGTCTCCGTCACTAGTACCGCAGACGTATTCCCGCTCCCAATGCAAAGCGGTGCCACGCAACTGAATGGCGTCATAAACGGGACTGAGAATACCTTTGTGTTTACGGATAATGCTTTAGCGAGTGACGAGTCTCTGGGGGGAGCTTTGCTGACTCCCATCCCGTGGCTGAACAATGCTGCTTCCTCGGAAACCGAAGGAGCCGCTATGGACGACGGTATTTCCCATACTCGATTTATTCTGATACTTCTTGAAAAGCAAGATCCTCTGACTAAATCTCCTAGATGCGGGAATTTTGACCTCTGCAGATCCGCTTCAACAGATTATGACCCAAGGAGTAAATCCTGAACAGCAACAAACGATAGAGACGGGCATTCTCGAGGGAGATATGATGGACAGCTCTGCCACACCGGCCGACCCCGCCGATGAAATCCCTCATGCTCGAGGCCCGTCTGTTCTCGGCGTGGAAGACATGGGTCTCCAGGATGGCAAGGGTGTTCAAATGACCCTGTTAAACACGGGTAGTGAGAATGACGCTTGCTCTACAGAACAAATGTCCCGAGACCAACCTGCTCAGTCATCCCAACCCAGCCCAGAAAACAAGGAATCCAGCCCTTCTACGAAAGACACTGATGGTGACGGGGACATTGCCCTCTCAGATGAACCTTCTTCTGCGTCTTGGGGAGTTGAAGCCCACTAACCAACCTGAGTGCAGATAGATAGAGCAAGAAAATCACAATGCAATTTTACTAGCAGCAGGAGTTTGCGGCCAGATTTCTCATTATACGATCACCATTTTTTTTTTTTTTTTTTTCATTAATTTGTTCATTTTATCTTTGGACTTGCCGCTACTTCATGATTGATGATCTGAAATATGACTTGGCCATGAGAGGTGTTTTGCATTGCATTTGTTTGTTTTCAGTGTCTAGTCCATTGTGTACCTTGTAGCTAGAACAGGATTCAGCTAGGAAATGAATGCATTACTTTGAAAGAGAATACCAAGTACACTGCTACTAGCACAGGGGCAGGGATAGGAATTGTACAGGTGTATTGTGTAGGTTGTATATCATTCAATAACATAAATCACGTAACAAATAACAAAAGGTATCGGGCAAAACAAGCACATAAAACATTGACAATCACAAGTTCCCAGGTCCAGGTCTAGCCAGGGTGTTGGTGAACTCAACAACAATCATCATCAAAAAATCAAAAGGAAAAAAAAATCATCAATGACATTCGATAAGCAGGTGTATAAACGCCTACCAGGCAGCAAACATACAACCTGGAATCGGAAACCAACAACACACACACAAAAACGAAAAAAAAAGACAGAGTTTTATACTGCAGGTTCAACAGTCTGGAGAGGGACATATCCGCCCTCGAGACTTGTTGTCTGGACCGGTCTCCCCGTGACATACGACCATGTCTTTGTAGTTGCGTTGCGGATCCATTGGACTGGGCCGTTTCTCCGACCAGAAGATCCAGTAACGGAGAAAAGGGCAGCATTCCACCAGCTCTTCTGTGGCCCGCGGAAACCAGCTGCAAGCTCCTTCTCGAGAAGCTCAGCGTCCATCCAGGATGGGCGTTTCCAGAATTTCAAGAGGAGACTGCTGACGACGACCGAAACACTGGAGAGAGCCATTGCTGCGCCGGCGGCCATTGGAGGGAGCATGTACCCGCCAAAGGGGAGGAAGAGGCCCATGGCGAACGGCAGACCAATGATGTTGTATGCGCAGGCCCAGATGAGGTTTAGTTTAATGCGGTTGAAGACGGAGCGGGAGAGAGCGAGACTTGCGGGCACGGAAAGAAGGTCGTCAGGCCGCATGAGGACAATGTCGGCTGCTTCCATCGCAACGTCGGTGCCGGATGAGAGGGCGATACCGACGGATGCTGTGGCAAGGGCGGGGGAGTCGTTGATACCGTCTCCAACCATTGCGACGCAGTCACCGGATTCTTGAAGGTTTGTGATGATGGACCGCTTTTCAGATGGGGAAACGGAGGCATGGACCGCGTCGGCTGGGATACCAACTGCTGTGGCGATGGCCATAGCGGCCGCTTGTGAGTCTCCTGTTATCAAGGAAGTGGTGATTCCCATTCGATGTAGGGCAGCAACCGCAGCGACTGCAGTTACCTTGATGGTGTCTTGGAGGAGAATGGTGCCAGCAAACTGTCCATCAATTGCAACATGAATCTGGGTGATACCAACAGGAGCCTTAGGTGCGTCGGAAACTTGCTCAGCAGATTCAGGGACTGGAATATGATTGGATTTCAAGAAAGTGGAGTTTCCAATTAAAACACGATAACGGATACGTTCAGCGCTGGAGGCAGGTTCAACCAAGGCAGATATGCCTTTGCCAACACAGGCATCAAAATCGCCCAAACTTCCCGGTAGCCCACCTTCTCCCGAGTGACCTGATTCAGTCTTTGATGCAGAGAAGATCGTCTTGCCAATCGGGTGTTCGCTGTTCATTTCAGCAAGTCCAACAATCAGCCACCAAAGCTGACGGCGCCATTCGTTTGACATCCAGTGACGCTCAATTTTTGTTTCTGCAACGCTCATTTTGCCGGTCGTCAACGTTCCGGTCTTGTCAAAGACAACATGATTTATTTTTGTGGCACTCTCAAGAACAGCGCCCCCCTTGACGAGAATGCCTTGTTGTGCACCAACTCCGGTACCAACCATCACCGCTGTCGGGGTGCTGAGTCCCAGGGCACATGGGCAGGCAAAGACAATGACAGATATGCACAGTTTTAAGCATACCATGACTTTGCCTCCGCCATCTTCTGAAACGAAAATTTTTGGAGGGTTGGGAAGCAAGTGGCTCATGAACATCCAGCCAAAGAATGTAGTCAGCCCAAGGCCGATGATTGTAGGGACGAAGTAGCCGGCAACAATGTCTGCCATTCGTTGAATGGAGGCCCGGCTAGTTTGCGCGTCCTGGACCAATTTGACTATCTTGCTGAGCTGAGTATCTTTGCCCGTACGAATAACTTTGAAATCTATAGAGCTTGTGCCATTCACGGTGCCTGCAATGACGATGCTACCCTTCGTCTTGTGGATTGGTAAAGCTTCACCGGTAATCATACTCTCGTCCACATACGTTTCGCCGCGAATAACAACACCATCTGCTGAAACCTTATCTCCTGGATGGAGGACAATAATGTCTCCGATTTCGAGAAGCTCAGTCGGGATAATCTTATGGCTAACTGGAGAGGAGGTTGATGACGGCTGTCGGTTCGCCGTGTCACTCTTGGTCCATTCTTCAGCTAGTTTCTCAGCAGCAATTGGGTCGTCATAGATAGTTGTCATTGACGGCGCTAGAGACATGAGCCGAGAGAGAGCCGCTGATGTCTGACCTTTGGCCCTATTTTCTAGCCATCGACCAAGAGTGATGAAAGTTATGAGCATCGTGCTGGTATCGAATACAGTGCTGGGTCGTGTATGGGGCTGGACAAGTACGGCGACCACCATAGTAAAAACACTGTAGAAGAAGGCAGCGGAGGTCCCCAGTATAACGAGGACATCCATAGTAGGTGAGCGATGCTTTAATGATTTAAAGCTGGTGACATAGAACCGTTTTCCAATGCCAAATTGTACGGGAATTGTAAGGGCGAGACAGGCCACATCCCCAAGGTAGAGGCCCGGAAGTAGTTGAAATTTGCCGAAATCGATCTTTCGGAGGTACATAGGTAGGATCATGTTAATCAGAAACACGGGAATGGCAAATGAAAGTGAAATTAGGAAGGCTCGCCTCCACTCAAGAACCTCTTTTGTCTTCGCCAGAGATTCCAGCTGTGCATTGTTATCATCAGAATCTGCCAGCAAGGCATTGTACCCGGCGGCTTCAATCGCGCCCACGATTGCGCGAATCCCAATCATGGAGGTGTCGTACGAAACAACCAGTCGAGATGTTGCAAAGGTGATAGTTGCTGAAACAACGCCCGATTTCTGCATGAGGGAGTCCTCCAGGCCCGTAGCGGAGTGCATATCGCGCAGGCCATGAAGGTCGAGCGTAACGTGGCTTAATCCTCCTTTCTGGGAGTGGGCTTGCATTTCTGAAACTACTCTGGCATCGAAACCCGCGTCTTCAATCAACTCGATGATCTTGTCAGACGAAAGGATGTTAGCGTTGTGAGTGATAATCGCCCGTTCCGCAAGCAAACTAATGTTGAATTGAACCAAGCCCTCTATCCCTTCGAAGGCACCCTGTACACTCGACGTACATGCACCGCACGTCATTCCCTCGATGGACACAGTAGTCACCGTTAACTGTGACGAAGGATCCGCAGATTGCTGAGAGCTGCCAGAGCCACCCCGGGGCGTCAAGGTTTCCAACACCTTGGCCCCAAAGCCACGATCCTCAATAACCTCCGCAATTTGCTCCGCTGAAATCGTAGACAGATCATGCTCCACTACCGCACGCTCTGAAAGTAATGAGACACTGACAGAACGTACACCAGGTGTCTCTGTTAGACCGCTTTCCACTGCGGAGGTACACGCCCCGCATGTCATACCCTCCACGGCCAATGTGGTGGATGCGATTTTCGTTTCCTCAGCCTCGAAAGCCCCATGCGCAGACGTCGGGATCGAGGAGCTATCGGTGGAAAGAACTGTCGCGTCGAACCCGCAATCTTCGATTATCTCGGCAACTTTTCCCGCAGGGAGGCGGGTAGGATCGTGATGTACAACGGCCCTGCCCATCATCAAGCTCACGGAGACCTCACCCGCCCCTTCGACACCTTTAAAAGCCCCTTCCACAGCAGAGGTGCATGCGCCGCATGTCATTCCGTCTACACTAACCGTTGTGGTAGCCATTTGCGACGATGATCGGCCTGCGGAGGGACCATCACCTTCGGCGCGTATTGCTGTGTAGGCCGCCATCTGCTCCGTGTTGATGGAGTGGGGAAGCAACAGAAGCCGGAAAGGACAGTTCGTCACCGCATAAGAACGTTCTCCTGGAGATTCCTACGGTCAACCCAGCAAAATATATAAAAGGAAAGAAGGGAGGAAGGGAGGGGGAGACGCAGAAGGTAACTAACAGGGCAAGGGAAGCAATTATTAAACGGTGGTGGATGCCATTTAAACGGAAAGATCGGAGGGATTACCTCACTTTGTACTCCGTACCAGACCAGACATACATCGGAGTCCGTAAGTTTCCACGTATCATGTACAGAGAAGTCGACAGAAGGCGGCTAAAGCTGGCGACAATAATAATAATATGATATAGTGGAGAATTTCAACTCCAAACACTTCAAGACCCTGAGCAAATTAGAAAGGAGCCGCCAAGGGGAGACTCATTGAAAGTTTTGGTCTCAGGCTCGAACAAGGGAAACTGAAATGGGGATGGAGGCGTTTTTTGTATGTATTGGTATGGTACAGGTATGGTACAAATAGGGCGCCGCCATGACCATGAGCAATTTTATTGAAGACCATATTAGGACCTGTGGATATTACTTAACAAGACTTGCGACTGCCCACGGGCTTTTCATAATCCCAGAAGTATCAGTACCCTTTGAATTATTTTTTTACTTTCGTAGTCAAGTGAGATCCACGATGACACTCCGACAGGTCTCGAAGCGCCTTCAATCATGTGTGTCCCATGTGTATGTGTTTTTGCTGACTGGGGGGCAGAATTTTCAGGATATAGCTTATTGTGCTTAGAGGAAAGTTCATCATGTTCAGACTAGGATTGGGATAACCTCATCAGGGTCAGAGATATGCAGACCAGGTAGTAGATACTCCGTACGGACTACGGAGTATCAAAAGTTGGATCTATATATTTCTGACTAAGCGACCCCGGTCCTCCAACCATCACCACCACCACCAAAGCAATCACCATCACAACATCATCCAAGTGGCCTAACATCCCCGGATTCATCTCACCACTCAGGAAGGCTAACCCAAACTCTAACCTCTCCCTCCCACCGAACTTCTTATTCCAACCTCAGCAACGTTAATCCTCCCTTTCTCAAACTTGACCTCAATCAACCACCCCCCCCCCTGCAACCGGGCAGTAGTTCCCCCGCATCTAAACAGATATCTATCGGGTATAGACAATGGACCAGATACACACCAGGGCTATGGATGCCCTCCAACCCTTCATCCACCTCGCAAACTCGAGCAGCGCCACATCCCCCCGGTTCGCAGCAAATATTATCACAAATGCCACCGCAAGTCCGCAGACCTACGTGTTCGCCGAATTGCTGGAGCGGCCCACAATCCAAGCTCTCCGCTCCCCAGACACTCCCGCAGAGTTCCACGGGTATCTGACACTCCTGGAGATCTTTGCCTGGGGCACATGGCAAGATTATCAAAGGACACCTAACCTCCCCCCTCTGAACGACGACCAAGCCCGCAAACTCCGTCTGCTTTCACTGCTGTCTCTATCTGCCACAACAAAGCCTCTCACCTACGATGCGCTCATGGGTGCTCTCTCCATCTCCGCCCCCGCAGATCTTGAATCCCTCGTTACTGCTGCAATCTACTCCTCCCTTATTACTGCAAGACTCTCCCCCGCTACAGCCCCGCCGACCGTAAACGTGACCTCTGTTGCTCCGTTGCGGGACGTGAAACCGCAGTCCCTGCCGACGATGATCTCAACACTCACACAATGGGAAGCCCGCTGTGGGGCTGTGATCAGCGATATCGAAGCCGAGATTGCCAAGATCAGAGCCGACTCTGCGCAACGCCGGGCGGAGGAAAGCGCCCGGGCTGCACTAATCGAGAAGACATTGGCGAGTTGGAACTCTGAGGGTAGTGGTGGTGAGGCAGGTGCGGGATTAGATGGCTCTGGTGGTCGGGCCACAGGATCGAAGAAGCTTGGGTGGAAGCCTCGGGATCTGGGGGCGGGCCTGAGGGGTCGAGGGATTATCGGGGGTGGTGGGAATAAGCGCGAGTTTAAGGCTGATGAGTTCGATGATGACGGGTTCTGGGATAATTCCACTGAGGGGGATCTTCCTGGGCCTGGGATGGATATTGATGAGGGTGCTGGAGCAAGAATGGGGTTGGGGAGTGCGGGGGCCAGACATGTAAAGCGGATTCTTGGAAAGAAATCATAGTACGATGAAAGATACGATGAAAGATGGACGGGGTAGATGGGGATGTAAACAAGGGCAACAATCACAAAATTCTTGCCTGATAGTTTTGCCTAGATTTCCCGAGGTCCATCGTAACTGCTACATGATACAAAACAAAATTTCCAATCAGGTCATTGCATTACGTGCAATCGCATTCGGATAGCCAACGAATTACCAAAGACTATATCCACAACACCAAGGGTTTCAGTAAAAAGTCATCGAACGTACACAAATCCAGCGGCGAAGGGGTATTATGAAGAAAGTGAATAGACAAAAAAAAAAAAAAAAGAAAAAAAAAAAAAAAACCAGTATTGGAGAAAGTAGACAGGGATGATGAACAAAGGCTGTAGACGGAGTAAGTCCAGCGGCCGCCCCTTGCAAGTTGGTGGCCAGAAATCTAGTCCACCAGGTCCAAGTAGGCCGTCCAAAGGCCTGGGACGCGTGGACTATAAGTAGGCGTGCTACTTTCCAGCCATCAGTGTCCCGAGACTGTGCACGGGACTGCTGCTGTGGGGACGAAATCCATACATGCTTGAAGAGAAGGTCCATGATTATAGCATTACCAGATTAGATTAGAGCATCGTACCAGGAACAAAAATAAACAAGACGCTCAAAGCAGTAGCAACACAGGCCGCAATGAAGACAGTGGCAGTGGCTCGCTTTGTCAAGAGTTTTCGGACATAAGGTTCGCGGATGGGAGACCAATTCATAAAGGTATATTCGCTGAACCCTACGAATGCCATCACTGGGTCGATCTTGTATTGATAAGAAACAACGAAGTAGGACGCAATGATAAAAGGCAGAATGACCTGAACCTTGGATTAGTATCTAGAAATTTTGACAAGAGTAGCTGTGTACGTACCCAACAACGGATATGCCTTGGCTTATCACGCAAAACCACATAGAACGCACCCCAGAAACCTCCACCGAAACTTATGAGGGCCAAGGCTAGGCGGGCAAGGATTGACAGTGGGACAAGATTACCGAGGGCCTTCGCCTGCAAAAACCCTGGAAAAGCATCGCGCTCCATCGCTTGGAAGACATAGTCTTTCGCCGGATCAAATACCTCGGGGTCGTCTCTGCCATCATCCTCAATCAAGTTGATGATGGATGAGACCATCTCTTGGGGTAGAACAATCTCTCTCTCGGCACCAGGAAGTAGGTATGTGTAAAGGATCTTCTCTGCGCTGGCGCGAATATCGGCGCGTGCCACCGTGTGACCAGGAGAGCTAGATTCATTCTTAGTCCCGAAGCTTGGGCGGGGAGGTTGTTCGTTTGACAAGGTGCGAGAGACAGCATTCTGTGATCCTAGACTGCTTTGTGGCGAGTGCTTAGAGGAAAGACCATCCGAGCGCAGGAAGGCGGACAGTCTTTGATCAGCTTCCCTCTCATCCAAATCACTAAGATCATGACGCAAGCCGGAAGGTCCAGCTTCCACTAGCGGGATATCGTTCATGCTCTCAAGGGTTTCCAAGGGGGTCGAAGAGCCTTTGCTTTCGGCTTTCTCAAGATCAGGCGTTGCTACAAGAACAGAGCGGCGTAGTTCTCGGACATAGTGACGGCAGAGAGACATGTGTTGCGATACATCGAGCCTATTCCAATCCGACGTTAGAATTGTAGGACCAAAGACGGCGTCCAGACGCGCCGTCGCCGATTACCTGTACATACCAAAAGTCCAAGTAGTCGACTGAGCGTTGCTGGTCGCGCATGTAGATATAGAAGGAAAAGAGATCGACAGGTGCAAGAGTCCGACGGCTGAGGACCTCGAACAGGGTTGGGAGGCGATTTCGCTGCTCCAGGTCGACCATACTGGGCGAAGCCATGATGAAAACGAGTGTCAATTAAAGCGAGAGGATAAGCAATGGGTTAGTTGGAGAGTGGCTTGAGGTATTCGAGTTCAGACCCGAAACAAAGGAGGGGCCGAAATAGGGGAAATCAACGGAACGATCGAGGTGGGTCGAAAACGAGAGTAAACAGTATATAAACCCTTCCACCAGGGTTTTATAGGATGCTTGACCCGAAATACAGCGCTCAATAATAGTCAATGGAAAAGAACGACAGGGCGAGTTGGGCGTGTGAACTTGGGGCGTAAAAGCTGCGCAGGGTGCAACGCCGTCTAGCACGATAAGGAGGAAGGGCCCCTTTGAAGAGTGGGAAGGGTTTGTGGGGAGATCGAAGGCAAGGAACCGACAACCACCAGACTGCAGCGAAGGTCAAGAACAAAAAACACAAGCCATGAAAGAAGCAGGACAACGGCCCAAGCCAGCCAGTGACAAAGACAGAGAAAATCGAGAGTGAGAGCGAGAGCAAGAGAGAGAGAGAGAGAGAGAGACAAAGAGACAAAGAGTGTGTGACGACTAACCTGAGGTACTCAAGAGAAAAACGGCCCGCCTCAATGATAATCCGAAATGAATGCTCCACCAACCTCAGCCAACAGGAAGAGTAAAACACCAGCAAAACACGTTCTTGACACCGGCAAGGAGACAGGCAATCCTTTCTAATATTATTATATTAACTATTGGTCTAGGTGTTGGTGACTAGTTACCTATTGTGGATGATGCAGATGAGAGTCAAGGAGGCAGGATGGATGCAGGAAAACCATCGAAATGCATGAACGCTCGGGATACATCCTGCATTTCCAAGTGGTGAGTCAAAATAGATACTCCGTACAGGAAAAAAAAAAATAATAATAATAAAAGAATAATGCTACAAATTCATTGGACAGGTCCGCACCCCCCTCTCCAATAAAGTCCATTTCCCCCATATAGTTCGAGAAGCAAGAAAAAGAAATGAAAAGGGCAAAAGCAAAACCGATAAATGCTCCACCATGCTGCAACGGGGTATTGGTTCATGATACAATAACAAATAGTCCTGAAATAACTATGATTCGCTCTCCTTAACTCCCAAAGATTTCACGCGACAAACCCAAAATCGATTCTTCAGTGGCCGTCTGCCAGGTGCTAGAATACACTGTCAGCTATGATAGATCCCCAAGAACACAAGCCATGCAGCGCTATTACTTACCGACCACTCGGGGATGTTTCGAATCTGCTGCCACATAAATTTCTCCAGCTTGTTCGCACTCTTGGCGTACGGTGTAGTCTCGTTGTTGTACCGTCGACAGTTGTCGAAGATCAACATTGCGTCTTTAATGAAGTCTTGTGGCGTTGGATACATGTCTTTCTCGTGTTTCTCCTCCATGCTTGACAAATCCATAGGCTCCTTAATGACTTCATAGTAATCAGGCACCTCATCACGATTGACTGGTTGAGTGAACGGCCATGCTGCGCTGTGATTTTGCATATCGTTGAGAAGGTGTAGTAGTTGATTGTAATTCGGCCCATGACGCGGTTGTCGTGCTAGCTCATCCATATCAGGAGACCATCCTGAATCCTTAATCGCGGGAATGCTCAACGGATCGATTTTACATGGCCCATTCTTCCACTCCTTCGGTGGAGCATGGATGATATGTGACCGACTGAAAGCGCGAATCTTCGCGTGTACCGCCTCCTTTTGTTTCAAGAGCATGCGCCCGACTTCAAGGTATCGAATCTTGGGAAGCATGGTACACTGCATGATCGTTCCTCCTTCATAATCCTTGATATATCCCATCCATATAGATTTATCCAGCTGAATCTCCTTTGTGAAGCCCTGTTTCTTGAAATAACCAATCGCATAGTTATCCGCATAGGTGAGGAAGTGCATAATATCTGATGTGGCTTTGACGTAATCCTAAACCCCGTCAATGTGAATGTCCATCGTTTTCAATTCAACCAGCTTCCATGTCATACCTTAAGATGAGACATCAGATGCGCGCCATATCCCTTCACCTGCTGGTCAGATGAAATGGCACAGAACACAATTTCTGCAAACCGGCGACTATTAAAAGGTCGGTAGGTGATTCCTCTAGGAACTAGTTAGCCATGTCTCTCATCTAGCCCTTGGGTCTCAGCGAGGAATATACCCCACGACCTCCAATGGATGTTTCACGATCGCCATAGAAAGATGCGATCTATCGTAGACTAGTCGCGCGATATAGTCTTTAGGCATTTTGGGGAGCTGTTTTTGGAAAATACACTTCAGACCGGTGAGGACAATGAAGCTGTCGCGTGACCCGTCATTATTAACGACCCGAAATTCAATCTCTCCCCGACGTTCTTCGATGACTGCAGGCTATCATGGTCATTAGAGATACCCCGATTCCGAAGGTAAAACAAGGCCTCACCTTCTCCGGAAATGGAACGATTCTCATCGGTGGCTTCGCAAGGGGATCATCTTCAGTCTATGCATAAGCCAGATAAGAATCAGATCAATCACTTTCAAGAATTCTTTCGAAAAATTCCGCAGGTAAATACCTTCAGTTCCCTTTCCAGAGAATCCGTGCGCGCCTTCTTGTTTTGTTGTTGGGAATCTGGGGAAAGAGCCTCTTCCGACGCTTTCCGCTTCGTGCCTGGGCCTAGGCTCTGTCAATATTACTATCTCACGAAAGAGATGTGATTCTCAAGCGGGCATTCCACTCACTATCCGTCATGTTGTATAGCGAAGACCCATAGATATTCCAACTGTCCGTCCTGAAAAAGCCGCGAACTGTCTTCTCCGCGTTTCTGAGGTCGTCGACGACGCTGATTGCTGACTGATCCGGGGAGGGGCCGATAATTGGGACGGAGACCGGCAGAACTATGGTCCGGCATACTTTGGGCCAGATCGACTTAACGGAGCTTCGAGAGCTGCATCCATATTCTCCCCGTCCAACGTTGTTGTAATGATTGTCATCTTCAACGACTCATTCATTTCGGGTTTCCAGTAAAATCCCTGTCTTTTCTATTTGATCTGCGAACCTGCTGGTCTGAGTTTGCCCTGTATCGTCCCCAATGTCTCTTAACCAGGTCTGGGAGGCAGCTTCCGCAAGCCCTTTTACTCCTCTTATCTCAAAGAACAGCCAGTTCTCCACCGGATTCGCCCTGTTGCTTCTCGGTAAGACTCAGAGCTCATTATATAAAGCATACAACCGCTAAGTAGGAGTTTAGGCTTCATTTTCACTGGACTTTTCGGTTTGAGTTAGTTGCATCTTCTCCCAACAAGATCATGCCAACTAGGCCAAGTTCTTACCTGTTGTGTCTCATAGATCGTTCCTTGTTGAGCATTGCATCCTTCGGGGTTCCAGCCTCTTTGGCTTTTGGGTGAGATCCTTCCTCCTGCGAATCCACCCATGAGCAATTGCTGACGCGTTTATTTGCACTATAGTTTCGGGGCCGTGTTTATGATCTGTGCCGTTGGAGTATACGTTTAAGTAACGGATTTTCCCTGAATACTTAATGTACAATCCCTTTAAAAAGGCAGAAGGGCTGTATCATTAGAAACACCGCAAGTTTCTCATTGAAGCCTGTCACAATTTAATTCCCGGCGTTTATTGTTCTATACTTCTTTATATCTATTTGCACTCTGTACGGATACACAATCCACAATCATGGCGGAGGCAGGCCCTATCTTCACTGCTGTCTCTAGCAATGCGCATCAACTATATGCCCTACTTCATTGCATCGGGTTTGCGCAAAATGCCATGGTGCAAATCACACCAGACGGAATCCGGTTTTCCGTGGAAGAAGGGCGAGTAATTCAAGGCCTTGCGTTTCTTGATAAAGCTCTCTTCACTACTTATACCTTCAACCTACCGGCAATCAATAACGAAAACGAAAATCCAGTGGTGGACAGTTCCGCGTCTGAGAACTTAGACTATCCTCACTTTGTTGTCTCGTTATCAGCCCTACTCGAAACATTGAAAATCTTCGGCATAGGCGATTCCACTGCCACAAATTCCATGAGGGCCGCTAGTGTTCAACCGTCAAATGTTTCTGCAACGAGTGCATTCACAGCCCCTTCGTTACTTCTTAATCGCTCTTGCACATTTCAATATTTGAGTCATGGCTCTCCTCTCAGCATTACCTTGGCCGAAACCGGCGTGAAAACTATTTGTGAACTCACAACTTACGAATGTGATGAGGGTGATCTAGATATCCCCTTTCAGCGAGACGGCATTATCATGAAGATCATCATGAGATCTGCCTGGTTACACAATGCAATCACCGAACTCGGCGCCACAAACCCTCAGGTCTTGAAAATATCCGCATCTGCAAAGCAGGAACCTTTCTTCACGCTTTCTGGCTCTGGAGGTCCGTTCAGTGAGTCTTTGGTGGAATTCTCAATTGAGCAAGATAACCAAAGCAGCGGAAATCCATCCGACTTGCATCGCAAAGTCTTGACCGATGACGGGACATCCCGTTCACGCGCGACAAGGGCCAAGCTTGCCCCGACCGTCACAGAGACTTTCCTTGTGAGCCCACCATCCTCCATGGGCACTCGCATCAAACAAGATTATCGGTTTTCCTTCATTCAGAAAGCTTCCCATGCCATGGCCGCAGCCAACAAAGTAAGCATTCGGGGCGATAGGCAAGGGGTTCTAAGTCTCCAATTTATGATTGAATTCGATGGCACGGGAGCCATCACTACCAACACCGGCTCACGGTCAATTAAAGAGGCACCAGCATCTACTGTGAGCTTTGTGGATTTCCGCTTTGTGCCGATGCTCGACGAGGATGAGCTTAGGGATGAAGTGACTCATGATGCTTTCGAGTAGAATGCACCACAGGTGGTTGAAAGCCTGAGTCTTTACGGTGAGGTTTTCTAAGACGTTCAGATGTAATGGTTTTTACTACATATAAGGGTCTATATTTCACAAGAAAAGCTTTGCACTTCACAGCGTTGTAGTATTCTGATTAAACTGAGGGCTAAATTTCTCCCTGCCCCAACGCCAGCCAAATATGTTACAAGAAGGTAAGTATCAGGATATACAGAAATAGAATAGGGAAAGAAAAAAAAAAAAAAAAAAAAAGGTAGGTGTAAATTTTTTTTTTTTTGAATTCCACAATAGGAGCGCGCGCGTACATGTCTCCGACTGAAAGACAAATCAGCTGATACCAATAGGTGTAAAATTACATCACCTAGCGAAAGTTAGAAACCAGCAAACGAACAATTAAGTGCTACATGAGTAAAGGGTTCCAAATCTTACCTCGGCAATAGACTGCCTCTCAATAATGGACTTCTGTCTCTCGTTTCTCGAAACACGGTAATAGTAGTCACTAAAGTCGCCGCACTGCATATTGCGCAGGAACTCTTCATCATGGGTGATCACAATGAGCTGGAAATTCGCCTGCTGCTGACGAGCGCGAATGATGTCGTGGAGGGACGCAGCTAGGGACCGGATATTGTCTCTATCCAGGTTAGTGGTGGGTTCATCTAGGGCGATAAGGCCACAATTGACGCCGAAACACTCGGCGAGGGCGAGCCGGATGATGATACTCGCGAGGACCTTTTGGCCAGCACTGCAGCGGCCGCGCATATCCATCTCCGCGTCTTGTTTGACCATGCAGACTCGGTAGTTGTAGGAGCGGTTGCCCTTGGCGTTTTCATTGTCGGAGCGGATGAGGATCGTGTCGACGTCGGTGCCGCGGTAGGTCTTTTGCCAAAGCTCGCCGATGATGGCGTTGATTTCTTCCATCTTCAGCCCGTGGTACTTCATGATGGCCTTGTCGAGAGCGCTACCGTAGCGGGCTAAGTCTTCAACGGCAGCTTTGGTGGTCTCAACCTTGATGTGTGCTTCCTTGTACTTGAAAGCTGCGTCCTTGTAGTCGGTGTTCCAATCCGTTAGGAGTTGCATCAATTGATCGTCCTTGGATTTCATCTCTCCCATTTTACTGGATTGTTTGGCTGCAAGGGCGTTGTGTTCGCGCGTTCGACGTTCGGATTCTTCTTTGAAGCGACTCCGGTCAACTTCCGCGTTCTGCGCGGCCAGTTGTTCGATTTCTGTCGTAACTTTGTCAAGCGATCGGGTCGCCTGGCGGTATGTCAGGTTATCTGCGTACTGCCGTTTGGTGTTTTCGCTGTCCTTGAGTTGCGCAGATATCTTGTTAATCGCCTTGGTTATGGTGGCTTGTTCGGCTTCGAGCTGGCCGATTTCCTCTTCAATAAACTGGAGCTCCCGTTTGCTGCGATCAAGCTGGCTGGGGCCACCTCGCTCGTTATATGCATCGATTTCTTCATTCGCAAGTTCAAGCTGATGTATGTTGTCGGAAAGTTGAGAAATTGTTTGCTGCATCTCCCTTTCGCGCGCCTCAGCTCGTTGGCTGATATCGTCATACTTGGCTTGGATTTTGAGTAGCTCCGGTGTTAAGTCCTCGATGTCTTTGTCGGCCTTCGCTATTGCTTGACGTTGCTGGCTGTTCATATTCCTATACTCCTCTATGCGCGCAAGGAGATCTGCTTTCCTTTCGAGCTGGAATTTGGTATTGTCAAGGCTGCTTTTCACGTCTCTGAGTTGTAGCTCTAGGCTGTTGAGCTCCGTTCGGGCTTGTTCCTTATCACCTGTAACCTTGGAGAGAGATTTCTTAAGTGCCCTAGAATGTTCTCCAATGCGGGCTATTTCGTCCTGAATATCTTCAAGGGTGCGCGGGGTACCCGAATCTTGCTTCTTTGACGAAAGCTCCTCAATCTGGGAGGTAATGGACTTGATTTCACTGTCATATCTGACAATGGTGTTGACCGTTTTAGAAAGAGCCTCAACATCTCTCTTTTTCTCTGTCTTGTCGTCGACAACCTTGTCGCGATCCTCCAGTTGCCCCAGGAGCTCATCCCGTTGGAGGACGTACTTGTCCTCATCCTTCTTTAGATCCGGGATCTCGGTTTGTTTAAGACGAGACCAGGTATCGTAGGCGGTGCTAGCCGCACGAGCCGCATTGAGATCCTCCTCAAGGTGTCGCACCTCCTCATCTTCCGCATCGCGTTTGGCTTTCTTCACCAGGTTCTCCAACTTACTGCGGAAAGCAGTCAGTTCATTCTCACTTTTGAACGGCCGGGTGCACAATCGGCAAACTTTCGCCTGCTTGACGGTCTCCAGGCAGGTGGCCATGTACTCCCCAATACCCGCATACTGTTCGGCGTCCTTCCTCGCGATATCAAGTTGAACCTGCCGTTGCTTGACCACTTCGGGGTACTCTTCGGGTTCATCGTCGATCGCGTCACGGATTTCCTGTATACATTCCTTGAGCTCTTTCTGGCGCTGATCTAATGTCTTCTTGATGTTATTTAATTTAAATTCGACCTGTTCCAGCTCCCTGCTGATGCCATCTCTTGCACGTTCGGCATTAGATACGGCCTTCGATTCGTCTTCTAGCGTCCGGTGGAAGTCCTGCTCGAGGGTTTCGGGTTTCCAATTTTGATCAACAAGCTTCGAAAGACGATCGCCATGGGCGCCCCTCATAGTCTCCAGGCTCCGCTCTCGCTCCTTTAGCTCCTTCTTCAAGTGATCTAATCGGGCCAGGTCACCTGCCTTCTTCGTTGCTTCGATAAGCTCCGAGTTCAGGCGAGAACTTTCATCTTCGAGCCTGCGAATCTCCGAGTTCAAGTCCTGAATTTCTTCATCCCATGAGGCCGCTCGACTGCGCTCCTTGGCCTGGTCCAAACGAGACTGGATATCCTCTACATTGGATTCGAGAGCCGCTTGAACACCTTCATCAACACTGATTTCATTGAGCTTCCCCTGGTAGTTAGCTGCCTCCTTATCATTGGCGGCTATCTGCCTTTTGGCAGCATTCTTGCTTTCCTGCAATGCGGATTTTTCCTGTCCGATATTGTTTAAAGATTCCTGGGTTTCACGTAGTTCAGTTTGTGCTTCCCGTTTGGCTCGATCTAGGGATTGAGTGTGATCCTTCAATATTTTCCGGATTTTTCTCAGGAATTCATCAACCTCATTTTGATCCACAATGCTATCAAATCCCCGAATATTGTAGCTCCGCGCGAGCTCCTTCGACATTCGTTCTCGCCTCTCCACTTGGCGCTCAAAGTTGGCCTTGTCATTTTCGAACTTTCCGTATTCGGCCTGTTTAAGGCCCAGCTTTTGTCGAGTTTGTTCGATCTGTTCTTTGATCTCCATGTATTTTTCCTTTTGTGACTCCTCTTGCTGCTGGTATTGGATTTGCTTGGTCTCGAACTGCTCCAGGTTGGATTCTAACCACTCATCCGGATCGTCAAGCTCGACCAAATGCCGCTTGAGGTTATCAATTGTCGACTGGATACTTTTCGCCTCGATGCGTTTGCCTTCTAGTGCTCCCAGGACTTGGGCATAACTTTCAGACTCCCGCCAGGCTTTGTCCGCAAGCTCGGCTACACGACGCATCTCCTGAGAAAGCTGGTGAGTTTCCGCACGCAAAGCTTCAATTTCATCCTGCAGTTTGATAGATCTCTTCTCAGCCTTGTCGGCTTTCTCCTTATCTTCCTTGGCGTGCTGTTCCATAATTTTATACTTGGCAAGCTCCTCGTTCTGCTTTTTCCGCAAGGATTTGATATTGTCGATAGCCTTGGTGTACTTGATCGCTTCAAAAATCTCATCAAACCGTTTCTTCAAGACCGAAGGTTCGCTCATCGGCCATAGACTCTCATCCTGGTGACAGAAGATGACGGAATCCAGAATAGCTTTCGAGACACCGAGATATTGGGGCATAATCTGGTCCAGTTCTGCAACGCGAGACGAAATGGCGGTTCGCTCACCATCCTTAACCATCAATAGCTGGCCCTCTAATGTCTTCTGTTGCCGCGTTGTCTTCTTGACTGTGAGCTGCAAGCTCCTGGTCGCTACCATCTTCGCACCGGACGTTCCCTTGAAGGACAGCTTCACCTGAGCTAGGACTTCTTTTTCTCCGCAAAGCTATCTCATCTCTTAGTTATAATTCCTTTACATCGGGGTATCCATCGCCATACCTTCGGATCGTGGATAAACGCGCCGCCCTTACTATTAGGTGGCAGGTCACCGGTTGTAGCATACTTGAGGCATTCGATAATGGTCTAGACGGCCGTGTTAGCGTCAGCGGTTTTGATTGATCACAAGAACTAAGGATCACTACCGTCTTTCCAGATCCATTGTATCCGACGATGAGGGTAAGAGGGGTGTGAAACTGGATGGTCTCGCTGCGTGTGTTGTCGAACGAGCGAACACTAGAACGAATATTTAAATCAGCAAATATCCTTATAGACAATTCAAAATTTCTCAGAAACTCACCCCAAAATGGAAAGTTTGTCTATCTTCGCTGTGATGCGGATTAGTCTGTCTGTTTGTTTCTAGACGTCATGGGAGTGAGTACTTACACCTACCTGATGTTAGTGAATCCAGCGGCACAAAATTGCGAGAATCTGCACTTACATATTTAAAAGAAAACACACGCCTCAGCTCTTCAATCTTAGACACGCTTAGGGAGAGATGAAAAGAGGTCTAGAGTGCATCCTGTCGCTCGGCAGGCAGATTTGTCTCCTCGTTGTCTGCCTGCGCGTCGGCCTTGGAGAAAGACGCGGGGAAGAGCGCGCGCGATCATGTGACTATAGGGTCTATTGCTGCGAAAAGAAGCCAGGTTTATTCTTGATTTAATTATGAGGATAACATGCACATTCTAGTTAGCAATTAATCATAAATCAGTGTATTTTTGCAGGCACCAAGATGGTATTCTTTCTCAACACCTTCACAGGCCTTCCTGGCCTTAGCCGACCCATTGCAGTTCCGGAACCAACATACGGAGTACGGAGTACAGAGTACTACTGAGTAGGAGTAAGGGGGTTAATAGTTGCTGATGATTGATAGTCATGTCAATCTTTGGGATCTTGAGAATAAGGACTGTGTTTTCAAAAACTCATTCGTGCACTCTGGTGAGCGAGGTTATGGCAGACATCACTACTGAGGTGTCCCAGCCCTTCCCTTCCTTGTGGCCTTTTTTTTAACGACTTCGTAAGAGGACTGGACTGCAGAGACTGGATCGCATCGATCATTTGTAGAGCGTAGACAGAGTATGAGAGCATAGTGAACTCATAGTCTCATGGTCATTTGGCAACCGTCTGTTCCAAAATAACACCCGCTTATGACAGGCCTTTTTTGTCGCTCTCTCTCGGCCTGGATAGCTTTTGCATGTGGAGCAACACCGAAGATGCCTGTGCAGGACCAATCATAGCAACAAGATGCTATGGCGGCCCCTGATTCCGGCTACACGTTGAATGGATGGAATCCTCCCGTTGTGACAACTTGCTGGATGTCACTTTTATTGGCAACTCATAGTGGGTCAGGACACCCTGGTATACAGGCAAGAATTGACAGCTCTAGCCTGCTTTCTCTTGTCTTTGTGGATGTGTTTGTGCATGCATGCCTGTGTGTGTGTGTGTGTGTGTTTGTAGATGGTGTAAGAGGTGTTTGAATGTAAGGTGAGACCTTTTTTTATCTTCTGCTCTGCGTCTTCTCTCGCTTCCTCAGCACACCCTTTTTTTTTTTTTTTTGCCTCTTTCGTCACCCCACCCCAACCTAGAAAAAGGACAATGGACCTCGCCCATCGCCACCATCGAGTAGTGCAAGGCACTCACATTTACGGACTTCAGACAGAGGCTGCATCCACACCATATGAAATGGCAATGGAAACACAGCGGATCCCTCGAACTCTTGGGCCAAGTTTCGGGTTACAGGCCTCGACACTCAACCAGTCTGCTGCCCCTAGCCGGTCCGTAGAACAGCCGTGGCCGAAGCGCGTTCTGAGTGAGATAAGAGACCTGCTGCTTCTCCTCAGCCCCGATGGCAGAGTAATGTATGCCTCCCCGTCATGCAAATTCGTCACGGGCTTCGACTCTGCGCATTTGGAACAGAACCTTCTCTCGCGATTTATTCACGATGACGACAAAGCGGTGTTCACACGGGAATTAGAGGAGTGTATGGCGGTGGCCCGTCCCCTCCGGTGCCATGTCCGTATCTACAAATTCGACAACTCGTCGTGTCTCCTAGAAGCGCATGGCCATCCACATCTAACACCTATCAACGCCGCCGGTAATCAGAGACAGCTCTGTCATGGAGTTTTCGTCCTTTTTCGACCTTACCCCACGCGTAGCTCCCAGCTGCTCGACTCTTTCTTGGAACACAAGGTCGAAAATATCCGGCTAAAAGAACGCATCGCGCAACTAAAAGAGGAGGAGGAGGAAGACCTAAACGCCGCCCAGCAAGCGAAGCAAGCATCCTCAACGATCACAAGCTACCCAGTCGCCCAGACCACTCATCAGGTCTTCGCTCCATCTGGTCCGAGCAACTTCGCCTCCCTCCGGGACACATCAACATCCGGGGAAGAGAACGAATCCTCAGACACGCTTGACAACGTGAACGAACCGGATTCACAACCTCTCCTCGACCAAGCCATCAGTCGAGCCGTCGCCCAGGGCGAGGATATGTCGCATATCGATGGAATCGAACTCATGACAGGTCTATTTTACGGCGACGGAGAGAGATCCCAGGGTATCAGTACTGGTATCCGCCATGGCCGTCTCATCCAGTGCACCGGTGTACCCTCTAATCCAACCCTGATCGCCACGGACGGAGAAAGAAGAAAGAGATTAAAGGGAGAATATATGTGCACTGACTGTGGAACAGCAGACTCGCCCGAGTGGAGAAAAGGTCCTGAGGGACCCAAGACTCTATGTAATGCTTGTGGATGTAGGTTTCTTTCCTCCCCCTTTCTTTCCTTACTAACAACAGTGTTTCCTCTCTAGTGCGATGGGCCAAAAAGGAGAAGAAACGTCAAGACGCACCCTGATTCTCCATTGTATACCCACCCCTCTACGTGTCTGTTCCGACACGTTATTTTGCTGGTTTTTTTTTATGTCCTGTTTTCTCCTTGCGAGGCTTGAGTAATGAGGGGGTCGAAACCGAACCATCGGAAACTGCCGTTATACCCATGCGCTTTAATCTTCCAAGCGTGATTCTTTTTTTTTCTTCTTCTTTGAGTTATATAGGGGCTGCCCGTGGGTTCTCCTATTTACAATTTGGCCTGCCGAAATTTAGGTAAGAGGTCAATACAATCACTTAATTTTTGCGTGGTATCTTTTGGTGTACTATGTATGGTTATCCTAAATCAGAAAGCTTTTTAAGTCAGTGATTTTTAAAAATGCGTTGGAAAAAGCAAACCGGCCTTAAACCATGTAAACGTCCATGATGATGAAGAAAGCTTGCCCGAACAATATGGAAACCATAATTATTGCGCTTCTGGCCAAGGCCCCTGGAACGCGCCCAGTGTAATGACGCAATTAATTTGGCAATATTAAATAAATGGCGAGGTAAGCTGCTCCTGGTGCCCCCTTTCACTGCAAGCAAAAAATGGTATCAACATGACTAGGTACTCCGTATGAGTTCAACAAGGAAACTCGACATCATCATCATAGTTTTCAGCAACAAGTAAGAACACTATATAAGTGATAACATTCTCACACCCATCATAGACACTCGACCGACAGCACAACCTAATTGTGGAATGAGGCAGAAAGGAGAAAGCGTTTCATTTTTTCAGCGCCTTCTTGGGGGGTGGAGGGAAATATATCTGAGGCTGTGGCTGTTTTACAGATGAAGCAGCCTCCACCTCTTGCTGGACCGCAGGTGGCGGCGGGTTTGGGGAGCTGAAAGTTTCCCGGAGGGGGAGATCGGAGGAGCTCGGGGTGTCCAGTCGGTTGAACGCCAAACTCCTGGGTATCATCACCGGCATTGCTGGAAGAGGATATGTCGCTGTACCGGGGTTCATGGGGACAGCCCTGGGCGTCATAGGTATGAAGCTGGGAGACTTCAGGATCATGTCCTCGTATTCCTTCATCGTTCTTTTTTCTTCGAGTGCTTCTTCACGCTCAGCACGCTCCTCATCCGTTATGAAGCAGTTGTAAACCGCAACAACAAACTCGACAAAATAAAGAACTCTGCACAAATCTATCAGTATCAAAGAGCGAAGCGACCGCAGGAACGGAATATCATCTTACATAATGACGATGGTGAATGCAAAGAGCGACTTTGCTTGCTCGCAATATCCAATATTGCCTTTATCGTAAGCAACACTACAGCTCTTGGCAATATACCACGGCGCGCCACGTTGTAAATGCCTTGGGTCGGATGTGTCGCTGCCTGCTTGAAAAGAGGCAGATGCGCAGTAGATAGCCACTAACCCAGCATGGAAAAATGCTGATGGGGCTGGGTATAGGATGCGAAGGACATGAAGCGGAAATTTGGTGATGAAGATAAACGTGCTCAAAATAGCAATGACTAAATTATAATTCGTGGCACTATTTGATATTAGCCTTGAAATCACCTTGCGTCTAAGAACGGGAGATAGCAACAAGGTATAGGTTTAACATACAAGGAGCTCCAGACCATTGGTGTCGTGTAAGGTCGATAGTTAGCAGCTGCATAGATAGCCGCGTCAGGAGAGCTGTTGAAGCCATTATCATAGCCGTCCTGCCATAGTTTGGTCCGGTACCGATTGTGCGAAGCAATACCAGTAAATGTGAGGATGATGATGATGAACGGTAGCTCCAGGGCGATTAAGATGAAAATAAGCCTGTCATTGCGGTACTTTCTCGCCACATACATGGTGGTAGTGTTTGCCGGTGTTGCAGACCGACTCGCTGAGAGTATACGAAAGAGGATATTATTGTTTTTGCTTGTTCAGAAAATCCAAGAGTGTACTAGCGGCCAGACCGGCTGGCTGGAGGTTCAGTTCACTTGCATCTGAAGCCAAGCAGTCGGACTTACGAAAAAAAAAGATAAGAAGAGAAAGTAAGCAACGGAGAAAAAAGGGCGAAGAGCCCAGGCTGGGAAAGAGGCCATTGATATGGAAATTGAGAGTTCCCCCCAGGACCCGGAGGGCGGTCATAGTAGGCCTATCGAGTCTCTGATCCTGGAGGTGCAGAAGAGGGGGAACCATTGGCGCTTCAAAGACAAGCACCAGAGTTGAAAGGAGAACGTCTACTCCGTATGTGTTTCTCAAACATACATCTGGCCAATGTTTGTCGTCGAGAAAGCGCCCTCTTCGGCGGGAAGGGCAGGGTGGCAACCAATAAAGCAGCAGAAGACGCCTGTCGGCACTCGGCCATCACACACTAGCCCGTGTGATGGTCACAGCGATTCTGCAGATCAAGGACAGAATTCAAGCGACGCAGCGGGCGACCAGTCACGTAGTTTTGGAGGGTACTGGATGGAGTCTACCCAGCGTCTAGAGTGAGGTTGTTCGTAAGCCAGAGAATAAAGAACGGGAAATAAGCAATATCGGATCATGCAACATCACCCATACCTATGTGAGCGGGGAATTAGTTTTTTTTTTTTTTTTTTTTTGGTTTGAAATACCATCGTAGCTGCGAGCATCAGAATAGTAGAATGATGTTTCGTAGTGGATAGTCAGAGGAGAGGATAAAGAGTTCGAAGGAGGTGAGAGAAGACGTCACTCTTCAACTCTATCTAACCACCAATCTTTTGATCCATCACATTGTTCGAGAAGGAAAGAAATATTTCAAAGAATTCATGTTCACTGCCCAGGATTCTCTGAATGCAGATTTCCAAATTGTGCCTGTGTCTCCAATTCGCTCGTTACCCTTATACCCGACCTTCCCCCGCTCTTCCGTACCTCCCTGCGGCATTAATCCGGCGCCAAATGAGTTCACCAGCCAGGAAAGTATCTGTACCTCATACGGTGCGCACTGCGGCAGAGCCCCGTCAGAATAGACTCTTTACCGTCCGGTTATCGCATATCGAACAGGCCAATCCGACGGTGCGACTTCTGCAGTTGACAATTCCTGCTAGCAATGTGCAAGATCCAGAGCCGGAAAGTCAAAGAGAGGGATTTGAAGGAGTATGCATTGCCTTGATTCTCAGTGGCTTCTGTCACTCCTCGGGGGGTTCAATTCCACATATACGAAATATGTCATTCATACTGCACCAACTAATCATCTGGATAGGCCGGTCAACTGCAGCCGCTCACATTTTTGCCTGGACAATGGCTCGACGTTTACATACCTTCTGTCTCTAATGCCGGTGGGTTCAGCATAACCTCCACGCCAGCAGATGCACAGGTTCTTCCCTCGCTAGAGCCTACCACTGAGCCTATTTCCGCAGAGGAAAATGGGGGTCCTCCAATGGATCCCAGGGGCCGTGATCCTTATGTAGAATTGGCTGTCCAGAATGCTCCCGCCAACCCGGCCAGCGCCTGGCTCTGGAAACCCAAGGAAGAAATCCTAGGTAAGGACCTTAGCATTCGGGTCGGTGGCAGCTTTGTATGGCCTCCTTCTAGCATGGATCTGGAGAAGATCCGGAACGTTGTCTTTGTGGCCGGCGGGGTTGGCATAAAGTAAGTTCTAGTGTAGAAATGAAGTGATAGAAACAGAACTAATAATCCCACAGTCCTCTTATATCCATGCTCTCCCATTTAAACAACAATGACGAAACCACCATTCTCCACCATCCATCTTTGAATATTCGCTTTCTTTACTCTTCCAAGCTCCCTGAAGCCTCGACCCCAGAGAGGGCCCTCGATCAGATCCTCTTTCTCCCACGTCTACGCCAAATTCTCCGCTCCCAGTCACAATCCCACCGTCTGCAGATCACTCTCGATCTCTTTTTAACTAACCTTCATGATCCGCCCTCTCCGCTTCTAGTCCAGCGTCCGGAAGATCTAACGATCCATCCCCGGCGAATCAACCGGGACGATTTACAAAGGACGATCGTCGGAACAGATATACAATTCACCCCTCAAGACACCGTATGTTACGTCTGTGGGCCACCCGAGATGACAGATGAAGTTATCAAAACCCTTGGAGAGCTCTTAGACGGGCGGAAAGAGCAGATAATCTTCGAAAAGTGGTGGTGACATGAGAGTGAAACATTTACGTAGTTAATAGTAGAGGGAGTTCTGGTAAGATATTTAGTTTAGTATTTACAGACATCTCTGCTTTATAGTTGATGAACTGAATATGTATAGTAAAAAAGTAAAACTACCAAAATTTGCTCTAAACTGCTTTTTAACGGATTTTGCACGGGGGTTTCATTTGAACACACTGTTGGTGCTGGTTACAGTGTGGATTTCATAACTGGGTGCGTTATACGGGGGGGGGTTTCGGATTTGTTCCACGGATTCCGCCCTGATCAAGCCTCCGTCGTAGAGCTAGGCCTTGCCTAATTTCTCCGCCTCCAGCTGAACGGTTTGGGGAATGATGGTCTGTAAATCCTCGTGAACCGGCTTCCAACCAAGCAGCTCTGCTGCGCGACGGACCTTGCTGCGGGCGTTGCTCGCGAAGAAGACGCGCGCAGCGGGGAGAAGCTTATCGGCCTCGGCCTCGTCGATTTCCTCCACTTCGCTGGTGGGGATAAAGCCCTTTTCGCAAGCTGCTTTGCCGATTCGCTCCGAGATTTCGGCCCAAGTCTGTGTGTTCTAATTAGCTTCCATAATAAAGAGAAAAAAAAAAAAAAGGGGGGGGAGGGGGGTTCATTACAATTTCTCCAACACCACTCAGGTAAATACCGTTATCGTTCCAGAGGGGAGCATCTGCTTTACCCTCGGCGCCGGCCAGCGCCAGGGCGGCAATCATGGATCCGAGATCGCGAACGTGAATATTGCCCCAGCGACCCTGGCCCGAGCCCAGACGGATGGCCTTGCCTCTCTCCATGGCTCTCTTTGAGAGAATGGGGATCTGGATACTGCACTGGTTGACGGGGCCCTCTCCAATGCCGTAAATGATAGGAGGCATCACGATAGCTGTCTTGATAGAAGGGTTCTGCTTGGCAACATCGAGCAAAAAGTTATCGACCGCACGGGCGGGGTGGGCGCGCACGAGCGAGCGAATCTCCGCAATGCCATCGAGATCGTCGAAGACGGTATCCGAGGGCTGGCCGGGGGTGTAGGAGGGGGAGGCGAGCTCTCCGACAGCGATGGCGCTGGCACCGGAGATCTGGACCCAGTATGCTGTGTTTGTGTAAGTTACTGTTCAGGGAGAAGTAGACTATAGAGAAAATTCGTACAAGGGGATGATCGTTTGGCAAGACCGCGTTGAATTGCCTGCCAGCTACCAAGATGCTTGTTCGAGGCGAGATCTGCTCTGTAGTTAGCGTTGAGGTGTTCCAACTTGGGGGGCGATACTTACTCAGAACGATAGTAGCTTTGGAAGCCTCCTCCTCGATGACTGCAGAGTCATCAAGACTGGCAATAACTGGTCGCACATCGGGGAAAGCTGATGTGACCTTTTTTGCGACTTCCTCATCCCGGATAAGGGCTGCAATCTTGTATTGGTGATGCGATCGGGTGAGGTCTTGGAGAACCTGACCACCAACGTAGCCAGTGGCACCAGTGAGGAAAAGGGATGTCATTGTTGTTGATCAACGAAGGTTCTTTGTTTTATAAAGGATAAAGAGGATGGAGCAGATGAAAAGTTTGTTATTGGATTGAAGAATAAGAGAACAGGCTGCGAGGAGATATATATGTATATAACCACATCCAGACTCACCTACTTGCTATGCTCTATACATTACCAATATGTCGCTCTCACTTGCCTAGCTCAATCGCATTTGGAGAGTTGAAGATGAGGACATATTATCAATCAAGGGCTGCTTTTGAATGATAACAGATAAGGGTATATTATTAATTCTATATCGCTTTTGATTGCCTCACCAAACGATATCGATAAAGGATCAAGATTAGACACATTATTCGAAGGAAATCCTCCCTATCGAGGTCCCTTGTTGCTGTCGACTACGGAAATGAGGGGTATAGATTAGGGATTGTTGAGGTTATCCCCAAATCGGAAGATCCCCCACAGATAGCGATAATCAACCAATCACAGCAGTTCCCCGTTGTTAGAAGAGTGGGTCCAATCGGATTTGAAAAATAAAACCCAAATTTCTGGTTTATTACAACATTACTGTATTTTATGCTGGCATCTTTCAAGTTTCGTATTGATACTCTTCTCCTTAGGTGTCCGCCGGAGTACTGGTGTTCCCCGCAGAGCAGTTAGTTAGCTATATAATCTAACCCCATATTCCACCTTATATATCTTGGATACAGCAATATATCTATATTGCGACTCACAGTTCCTAGAAATATCTGCCTATCTTGAAGATGTAATTTACCTTTGACTGTAAAAAGGTTCTAGTGATATATGGTGGTCTTACAAGTTATAGTTACCGAACTCAAAACAATTAAAAATATATATACCTAATTGATTGAGATGGGAATCAAGTCAAATTCAATTGATACAATCCTCTGCTATATATATATCTCATCATAGTGAAACAGGTCATACTATATTAACCCCCCCCCCCCCCCCCCCGAGAAGATAAGATCATACTCAAGTTAACATACCTTGTTCTCCCTTTTGAGCGTATATTCCCAGCAAATAATAATATATTGCTCAACCCCAAAGCCATCGATTGACCTTCTGCCATTTTGTGTTTGGCTCAGGCTCAGCATATCCATCATCTATATCTGCCATCGAGCGGCCCGCGTAAAGCGGAACCTCATGCAGCGGGGCCATAACAGGACGCATGATAAGCTTGTATCCTGCATATGTGACAATGAACATGGTAAGAGGGAAATAGGCAAATATAAAGGAAGAAATAGCCCAATTCCCTTTCGTAAAGACCACCCAGCCATTAGTAAAGAAGATGATGATATAAAAAACCAGTGAAATGATTGAGTAGTAATACTGGTTGCGGCGGAACCAGGGTCGTTCGGTGACATTTTGTGCCATTTGGGCGCGGCGGAATCGAATGTAAGTAATGTGGAAAATACAAAAAATAACCAAATTCGCAGAGCCAACAATGTTAGTGATCCAAGTAAATACTGTTAGCGAGCTATTCGAGACCGCCATGAAGGAGATTAAGGTGATAGCCCAGATGGTGATGACGCAGAAAATTGGGGTGCCTCTCCAGGTGGATAAGAAGAATTTTGGTACTTTCCCATCAATGGCCAGGGCATAGAGAGAGCGAGTCGCCGCAAAGTAAAGTTCCAGACCACAAGACCAGGCAGAGGTGAGCAGCGCGGCATTGATGATGTGTGGGAGGACTGGGATACCAAGGCGTGTGGCACCGATGACGAACGGCGAGGCTCCGGCACCGGGCTTGTTGGCACCGAGATCACTGTCGTTATAGGGGACGAGGACACCGACAGCTAACACTCCGAGGACGTAGAAAAGAACTAGGCGGTAGATAACACGGCTGAAAACGGTAGGCAGGACGCGGCGAGGTGAGCGTACTTCTCCGGCAGCCGTAGCGATATAGTCGGGGCCACCAAAAGCGTAAGCGGCTTGAACGAAGACGGACCAGAAGCCTAAGAAGTGACCTAGATGGCTTGTTAGCAGGTTTCAAAGCAACAGCAAGTGACAGTATGGCCTACCCCAATTGCCGCTGCCGACATATTCATTGAAGAGACCCGGGTTCTTCCAGTACCGGAATCCAAAGGCATCATGCTGGGGATTTCCCCCGACCATGAGAATAACTGTGATGATTAGCAAAAAGGCATCGCTATGTTTAATATGACGAATTTACATGTCATTATGAGAAGACCCAGGATCAGAAGAATCTTAAAGATAGAAAAATAAAATTCTCCCTCCCCGAAAATCCGAATACCAAAGACATTAAGGAGAATATAAGACGACGTAATGATAGCTATATATACCGCTAGCAAAAACAAAAAAAAAAAAAAAAAAAGGTTAGTTGAGGCTTCTGGATATCGGGATGTCTAATGACTTACCATTATTTACCGAATCAGTCCAAAAATTGATAATAGCAGCCACAGCAGCTGCTTCGCCAGCCGCAGAAAGCGAGCTGTTCGCTGTATACAGCCAACCCAGTGCGAACCCCCAGGCATCATCGAGATATGCATGTGCATAGACAACAAATGATCCATCGACTGGCAACCAAGTCACCATCTCACCCATGGCGTTGAAAGTCGACCATACGAGAAGTGAATAGACCGCGTAACCTAGAAGCAAACCAAGCGGCCCAGCCCGAGCAAGAGCAGATCCGGACCCGACGAATAATCCGGTACCAATAGCTCCTGAAATGGCCATCAGTTGGATATGGCGAGGCAGAAGTTGCCGCACAGTGTGCTTTGCACCTGGCAAGAGCAAATTCGGCCTAGCCTCCTCAACCTCGCCGTTGATGTTGGATACTGTATGTTGCAGTTCATGTTCGCCTTTTTTCTCGTTTGCAAATGAGACAGGAGGTAAGCTTTGTGATGAAATATCAGCCATGGTGATGGTGGATATAAAAATATATTCACCAAACAGCTAGGCGTTTAGTTTTCAATCTAGACACATTAAGTCTCCAGGTTGAAGTATGTGTATATACTTATAGCTCCTTTCCATCGATAGGGCACATCACCTTACCCAGCTTAGATATTGTGACCTGATTCCCCTTATCATGACGATAGGTACAGACCAACAGGTGATAAGTGATAAGGATAGGTGTATGCTATCTGAGGGCTACAAACTCTGTATTAAAAGGTATCTCTCGCCGAGAACTTCTCTCGTCCTGGCTTTATCTGCTATAACTTACCTATCTCTTCCTGGGGGATCAGCCATAATATAGATAACAAACCTTGTACGGATCCATACCAGAAGTTTATATAGCCACCCTCGTATTCTACAAACAACACTTGACCAGATTAGGTGATATATTACCATCCTGACATCTGCACACGTCCTGTTAAGGGTCTGCTTGTCAGGGGTAGAACCCCTGGCGACTAGGTAAGAAAATGAAGGCCAGAGACTAAATTAATATGCCTTAGTTTAAGGAGTAGTAGACTTATTGCCGAGTCCCCTACTCCTGTATAGCTTCACGTTTTCTATAGGTATATCTTGAAGGTAAGAATTAAGCTCTTATTCAAGACCATTTCGTTGTACGATCAAGAAACAAGAGGGTTACATTAATGACACCTTCTATCCAAGGCCTGATATCATAGCCTGTTACATACTACTAGATTTGAAGCTATTCAATGTAAGAGCATGCGATTCGGGCAGCATGTCTAAGGCCATTGGACCAAAAGGTCACTATGATCAGACCATCAGGTATATACTGCCAACTTTACTGTTCAGCTCAAAAGGTGCCTAGACAACCATTTCGTCCTGATACAATATTGTCGTTTGTTTTGCTCAACATATACCCTACCTCAGTACTTGCCACGCGCCTGGCGCACCAGCATGCCGCGACACTCAGACCTTATAACGTGCCTCGAAAAAGCAAGGAAATAACCCGGCTATTTATAGCTATGCCTTCAAAGCTCAAAAGCATTATTTAGACTTATCTGATAATCAAATTGAACTCATATCAAAGGTAAAAGATATCAGGTGAAGATGGCAAGAATAATACATATCAAGATTAATAGTGCGGAGTACGGAGTAGAAGACCGCTTTAGTATACTTTTACTTCTTAGGATTAGAAGACCTGTTAATTTAGCAAGAAAATAAAAACCAGGTAAAATAAGATAGATACTAGAAGCAAGAGAGATCCTTTGCTTCCTGTTGACTGTCTGACTCCGGGGGAATCAGATTTGGCGATTGTCATTGCCGCTATCTTTGCCAACTAGCGTCGATTTCCTAAGTGGGGATAGTCTAGTTTTAATCTTGCTACCGGTGCGGGCCGCCGGGACGATACGGATACAGCGGGAACGAAAAAGGTTCGTACAGACATTTTGGTAATATTAGAATGTACAGCTCGCCAGGTCGCCAGGTCGCCAGGTGGCTACCAAATTTGACAAGTTGGGACCAGGTAGGACTGGTAATGACCAAATTCTATTACTATATGTAATAATACTAGTAGTAAGTTAGTAATATATTTTATAAAGCTGTAGGATTTAAAATTATTTATCTAGTAGTACTAGTTATAACTAGTCATGCCTAATTCAAGTAGTAAAATACTACCTGGTAAGACAAGATTTAGTATAGTATACTTTTTATAGTATAATATAGTATATTATTTCTAGTTAAGACTAGTTAATACTAGTACTTACTTAAGTAAAATATATATCTAGATTAGATTATTATAATTATTTTTAAAAAAGAACTAATCTTATTAATAATTACTAGATATTACTAGTAATTACTAGAATTTCTAATTTTATTAATATTTACTAGTAATTACTAGAATCTTTAGTTACTATTATCTAGATAATAAGATATAGATTACTAGAAAAGATTAGTATATATTTATTTTTATTAATTATAACTAGAGATTCTAGTAATTACTAGTAACTACTAATAAAATTAGAAATTCTAGTTATTACTAGTAATATCTAGTAATTATTAGAATCTCTAGTTACTATTATCTAGATAAAAGATATAGATTATTAGAAAAGATTAGTATATATTTATTTTTATTAATTATAACTAGAGGTTCTAGTAATTACTAGTAACTACTAATAAAATTAGAAATTCTAGTTATTACTAGTAATATCTAGTAATTATTAGAATCTCTAGTTACTATTATCTAGATAAAAGATATAGATTATTAGAAAAGATTAGTATATATTTATTTTTATTAATTATAATTAGAAGTTCTAGTACTACTAGTAATTACTAATAAAATTAGAAATTCTAGTTATTACTAGTAATATCTAGTAAAATTAGAAGTTCTAGTTATTACTAGTAGGGCTAGTAGTACTAGAACTTCTAGATATTACTAGTAATTACTAGTAGTACTAGAACTTCTAGATATTACTAGTAATTACTAGTAGTACTAGAACTTCTAGATATTACTAGTAATAACTAGATATATATTCTACTGTAATATACTATGAAAAGTATACTATACTAAATCTTGTCTTACTAGGTAGTATTTTACTACTTAAATTAGGCATGACTAGTTATAACTAGTACTACTAGATAAATAATTTTAAATTCTATAACTTTACAGAATATATTACTAACTTACTACTAGTATTATTATATATAGTAATAATACTAGTAATAAGTTAGTAATATATTTTATAAAGCTATAGGATTTAAAATCACCTATCTAGTAATACTAGTTATAACTAGTTAGGACTAATTTAAATAATAAAATACTACCTAGTAAGACAAGATTTAGTATAATATATTTTTCATGATATAATATAATATATTATTTCTAATTAAGATTAGTTAAGACTAGTACTTACTTAAGTAAAATATATATCTAGATTAGATTATTATAATTATTTTTAAAAAAGAACTAATCTTATTAATAATTACTAGATATTACTAGTAATAACTAGAATTTTTAATTTTATTAGTATTTACTAGTAATTACTAGAATCTTTAGTTACTACTATCTAGATAATAAGATATAGATTATTAGAAAAGATTAGTATATATTTATTTTTATTAATTATAATTAGAATGTAAGCATCTCACTGGCGAGGCGCTTGGGTATGGGTAGTGTTGGTAAAGGAAGCAAAGCTACACAGAGTACAAGGATAGTAGGAAGGTATTAGAAGTAATAAAATAAAGTACTTGCCTCTTAGTACTTCAGGGGTTATTATATTACTATTTATATTATCTAGTTAAGTTACTAGTATAGTATAAGTAACTTAAATATTATTATTCTTCTAATTATTCTTAGTTACTAGATATATAATTTAATATATAATTTAATATATAGTTATATATTATATAATTATTATAATAATTACCTTCTCTCTCCTTAGTAGCATATCCACGCGCTATATATACTATACCTGATCTAGCTTAGCACTCTATTAAGGAAGAGCTAGTCCTAATTAGTATAATATAATCTATTTTTTTATTTAATATTAGAAATAATAATAATATATATAATACTACCTTTATTAATTATACTTTATTAAATAGGATATAAATAATATTATATTTTATTTTAAATAAAATAATAAATAAGAATAAGTAGTTTACTAGATATACTAGTAATAAATAAAGATATTATTATAGTATAAATATTATAGAGAAATATTTTTCTATATATATTTCTTCTAGTTTAATCTATATTTTAAAAAGTCCCTCTTAATAGGTTAATATATTATATTAGGTAAGTTATTATTATTTAAGTATTATAATAATAGCTAACTATATTATAGATCTTATAACTCCTTTAAAATATTCTTTATTAGATACTATACTAGCTATATCTCTATAGAAGAGAATCTATTTAACTACTACTATTTCTTTCTCTATAGGTGCCTTTATTCTAGTAATATAAGTCTATTATATTAATTATATATAAGCTCTTATAGTAAATCTCCCTATACTTATACTAACTATAGCACTTATAACTCCTATTACTACTAGTATATCTCTTATAATTCCTGCTATTACTATTTTATTATCTAGCAGGATTATATCCTTCTTATCCTCTATAGCTACTTCTAGTATTATAGTAACTCCTATTATCTCTCTCTCTACTTCTTCTACTATAGTAACTCCAGCTACTCCTGCTATTATTATTACGCTAGCTCCTATTATTATGCTGGCTCCTGTTATTATACTGGCTCCTATTATTCCTACTATTATTATAATCTTAACTACTTGTCACGGGGAGCAGGCGGGCAGTAGGTGTAGCTAATGGCAGGGTGTATATTCAGGCTATCTATGTACAGGTACAATAGGTAGGGGTCAGGTCAAGATAAGGATATAGCTTGAAGAGCTATAATAGGATTAAGAATAATATAGCTTAAATATAGGAATAAAGATAGATAATTAGGGTAGAATCTAACTAGATAAGTATATAATTATATTATAATAATATTTCCTTTTTTAGACTAAGCTTTAGTAAAGTATTCTTAAGATCTAGACTTTCTAGAATAGTAATAATAATAAATAATAATATATTTAATAATATTTTTTAAATAATTAATAAGAATTTTAATAATAATAAAATATTTAATTTATTTAATAATATATTTTAAATATAGATAATTATCTTAATTATAATAATTTTAATAAAAATTAATTATTTTCTTAATTTCTTATTCTTTAATATTATTAATTTTAATATATAAAGTGTCACGGCGTAGCCGTGTACCTATCTAGTTAGATTCTGCCCTAATTATCTGCCTCTACTCCTGTATTTAAGCTATGTTGCCCCTGATCCTGTTGTAGCTCTTCGAGCTATGTCCTTGTCCTAACCTGATCCCTACCTGTTGTACCTATATGTAGATAGCCTGAATATATATCCTGCTATTAACTATACTTACTGCCTGCCTGCCTTCCATAACATTACATAGCTCTTACCCTAGGTATGG